ACAGTATATCGGGAACTGCTACTGCATTCTGCTGTTTGCTTTCGCGTGTTGCAGCGAACCCTAACCCTCTTCCGCTGCTGGCGAAGGTGGTTGTTTCGCTCTTTCGTCTCATGATGCTGGAATTTTATCGAGATGTTACCAACACTCTCAGAATTATGGTTACCACGATGCCCCATGAACTCCTCGAGACCTGGCGGGTAGCAAGGGAGATGGTAGACGTCACATTTTCTGGCGATCTGTTCGACGATCCGGAACTTATGGGCGCGTTTCCCCAGAGACACCAGGAGTGGGTACGCAAGCTGTTGGCTGAATATCGAAAGTTCGAGAAAGACAGACACATACTCGTGCCCATACCGCGGGGGCGTAGGAGCGGCGACGATGGAGTACCGGCAGCGAAAGGGCGAGGCTCACTACCTTCGAGGCGACGTCGAGAAGGTGCTGCTAGTATATCCAAATCGCCTTTGAACGATGGCGGCGAATTTGCTGGAAGAATCTCACATGAAGGAGACGCAGCAGGTTCCGATGATATCGATTCCGCAGACGAAAGGGAAAGGGCGAGAATTACTGCGGCAATTTATCTCTACGAACATGCTACATCTCCCACGTGGTCTTCGGCGAGTGCAGCGAGGTCTTCCTCTTCTGGTGCAGCACGACCGCTGCCACGTCGTGGAGCACAAACGCACAGAAGACAGCGGAATCCATCTGCAGAGGCAAAACCTGGCCCCTTAGATGCAGCTCCAGACAGCGTCGTGGGATCAAGCAACAGTATTCTCGGTAGATTCCTCCGGTCCCGACTACACACGCGAGTGCAGCGGCAGCGTGCGAAAAAGATAGCACTAGCATTTCGCGTTAACTTGCGGGCCGCTCTGCCTTTCGCCGTCGTCTGGTACATATTTCAGGTCGCCACGCACATGATCAGCGCCCTTTTCTTGTGCAACTCTCTCAGCGAAGTAGAACTGCTAAAGGTTATCCCTCCGTCAATGCTTCACACTGAGGCCTTTGATCGAATGTGGACAGAAGAGAGCCGTTCGTCCTTGACGGCAAACGGACAGGACTTTCCTCGCACGGGTACAGGTCTTGATCCTGGGCCCGATACTGGTGCACCCGAATTCATCACGTCTTTCGTGAAAAATGTCGGTAGTACTCCTGGGCATGACGTCGACCCAGAGCCTTCTAGCCAAGAGGATGATAAGCATACAGGTGATCAGGAGCAAGATGGTACTAGTGCTGGGAAGGGACAGTTTTCTTTGCGCGATCAGCCTTCCATTTTACAGCGTGTGAACCTGTGCAACGAGGCCGTGTACGATATGGTAAAGTACGAGGAGGTTGCGAGGGCCATCATGCGCTTATCCCTTCGCGCGGAAGAGGAGGAATGCCACACTGCTGATCCTGGTGACCACACGTCGCAAGAAGCAGAATCAGGCTCAAGTTCTTTTTCATCTTTTAAGGGTAGGCAAAAGGTGATCTTGTTGCCGTTTGTTTTGCCTCGCCTAAAAGAAAGGCGCAACAAACGGGAAACAGAGACACCAAAACCCTACCTCTAAGTCTTCTTTTGGCACTGGTTTTTCACGTGGATTTTTCGGTCCAATGGGGCTCAGTCCTTTAGCAGACGACGAGAAAGCTTCTGCCGCGCCAGATCGTCAGCGTCGTCGAAGTTACATCTCGCGTATCTTTCAAGAAATGTGGACTGAAAACCAGTTAGGGCCGGTGGCGGATGATATCAGAAGTGCTCGCGACAAGAATCAAGAAGTAGACAGTGCGTTCCGGAAAGCTCGAGACAAGGCACTCGAAGTGCGAAACGACTTTGAGTATCAGTTCGGCGGCTGGCTCACGAGGCAGATCTTCTACGCTTACTTGAACGTCGCACACCCGCGTGATCCCCACTCCTGCATGTCCCTCACCAACTTTTTCGAGACGCAGTCAAAGCAAGTCATGAAGCACATGCAGAATGAGGGCGACAAAGCGCGCCAAGAAGTGGCGAGGACAACAGCGAGGGAGTTGCATGCAGCTCAGAAACGGCTAGCAAGCGCCACGGAAACCGAAATAGAGGTGTCGTCCGACCCTAAGCGGCAAGCGAATCTAGTAAACTGGATGAAAGTGCAAGCGAAGCGCATGCGAGAGCAAGCCAACTCTGTTTTCCAGGCTTTGGACCTACAAATTAGAGTCCATGTGGGCCGGGACATTGAGGAAGTTGAAAACGTCGCTCGCAAAGTACAGATGAAACGCGAAGGACTCGAGAGGGAAAATCCGGGTCCTGCACAGCAAGATGACGAACAGGAGAAAACAGCGGAAGTTCGCGATCATGAATACGACATGGATGGCTCGTGCTTTACCTCCTGTGATGACGCGCCAGATGCCGATATCGCGGAGGAACGTGAAGATGTTGTTGTTGAGGACGACAACGGGTACGGCGGGAGCGATGAGGATTTCATCAGTGTTGGATCCGCGACGTCTCCTCCGACCTTCTCTAATGAAGAAGGGCGAAACAAGGAGAGGGGGCCTCTTGCAGCTGGTCAAGAAGATGAAGGTAACCGTGGAAATGCTGGAAATAGTGCTTCACGTTCGTCGTCCTCCCTCGATGTGGATTCGCTACCTCAAGACATGCTGCGTTCTAAAGCGTGGCTTGCTTTCCTACCTCCCGACCTGCTTTGGAGCACCACCAGCACTCTGTCCTCGTCCCTGCCCAGTAAAGAAGAGTTTGGAGAAATGTTGCAAGAGGTGAAGCCACCCCATGCCTTGAGTCCAGACTTAGTCAACGCTTTTTCGGGTCAGTTGCAGTCGTTCGCGGCGATGCAGCAGGCTCAATCCCGACTTTCGGATGTCGCTACCCGAGTGGAGGCGGATTTGAACGAATTAACTCAGAAATTAGAACAGTTAGATCTGAACAGCGCCAAGCTAAGTAGCAGTGATCATCCGGCGTTCGCATCTGACCCGGAAATACTCAAAGCGAAGGCAGAAATAGAGAGATCTGTGGAGAGAATGAGAAAGTTCTACGATCAGGCGAAAAGTACTGTCCTACAGGACCTTGCAACTCATCTACGAGAGAGCGTGGTTGGCGATCGTCATCTTCAAGAACATCGAGCTAGTGAGGCGAGTGCTGCCCCGAGAACACGCCGTCCTCGCGACGTTCAAGTTCCGAATGAATTAATGGGCAGTGGGCCGTCGGCGAGAACAGCTGGAGATGAAACACCTACTACCGACAAGTCGGGTGGGCGTGGGAGAACTGATGACAGTGAGAATGCCGCTTACAGTATTAGAAGGGACAACAACATCAACGAAGATGTTGAAAAGAAAAAGAGTTCTGCCCATCGTTTGGATCTGGTAGACATCGACGATGCGATCATCAAAGAGAAAGTTGTTGAAGAATATAATCCTCCTGTTCGTGAAGATAAGACTAGCACCCGCGACACGAAACAAGCCAAGCTCAAAACTGGTCGGGACAGAACAAAGCCACGACCAGGTGACACTTTTTTTGAAACTGTAACATCAGACACCATGCCTGATACCAGCAAGGTCCCGTTGCCATACTCGAAGTACATGGTCAATTGGGACGCTGCGCGGAATTTCAAGAAAGCGATACAATTAGCAGAGCAGCGCCACTTGAAAGATGATATTGTACTACCACTTTTGTACTCAAGACCGTCAACACACCAACAGGTAGTACCCCCTGGTATTGTTGATTCTCAACATTGGCATTGCCACTTGAGTTGTCTCATTTTTTCCGAGTCGTAAGTACATTTACGTTTTCGTAGCTGCTGTCTGCTCACTCTGATAGCAAAACTCGTTTTTTTCATATCGATATCCCAAGATTGATGAACTTGACCACGACGAAAATTTATAAAATCTTCTACTTGTCGTTGTCCTTAATTGATGACGCACGAACACAAGTCCTGAAAAAGATTATCTCTCCACGTGGATGTGCTTGTGCATGATGAATGTCTAAAAAATCAGCATCTTCCAACACTACAACAATTTCAGGAATTCAAGTTCCGGCAGCACGAGACGGTTTCCGCTTTGTTTTCAACGCAGGATCGGTACGATGATGGAAGCGTGCGTGACACCTCATTTGTGCGTGTAACGCAAGCTCGCTACGCACCGGGAGATCGAAGCTTGATCGATACGTTCGGCGGTGATCATACGGTTTTTGACGAAGCAGACGTGATTCTTGAGTGTGAAGGGCCTGATATCTTCGAATCCGAAAGCACTGACCGAGTCCGCATTTGGAACCACGAGCATGGGGATAAAACCAAACAAGATCATGTACAAGATTCGTATGATTACCCGAAAGCAAAAGGAAAAGACGATCATGAAGTGCAACTGCAACAACAACAACAAGAACAACAAGGGCTATCTTCTTCTCGGGAAATCGCAAACCAAGAAGTTCAAATCAAAACTTCCGCGAAAGGATCAAGTCCAGCCGCTAGAGAAATCCTTGCTAATTTTAATGGGAAAGACTACGCTGATGTGCCATCATCTTTTTCTGCAGAACCGAGAAACCAGCGGTCAACGCTCGAGGAGCAGAAAGAACTGATTGATCTCTTAGAGCGGCAGTGGAAGCTGGAGACGGTGACGGGACAGCCTCTGGATGTTGATGATACAGGTAAAGCAAGCGGGTCGTCTTCATCGTCACCTGGAAGTGTAGTTGTAACTCCTCCAATGCCAATTTCCTCGTCAGCTGCACATCAGCCACTCGACAAAACAGCAAAGTCTAAAGCAGAAGAACAAGGGGACAAAAAAAGACAACAAGAACTAGAAGAAGAGGCAAAAAGAAAAAGGTCAGCTCCTGCAGCAGCCGCGTCGGGCCTTCACGCATCTTCAGGAAATCTTCAAGGGCAGCAGCAACATCATCAGGTCGCACGAATGAAACAAGGACTACATCATGAAAATGAGCATGAGGAATATCGCTTTAAGGTGGAGAAAAGCCACCTTCGGCGGGGTGATGGGCAAGAGTTTTCAAAATCGGCAACAATTAAAGTAGGCGGTGCCGTTGCCAAGAAGCTCCGGGATAACCAGCCGCTTACTAACTCGGAGTACGAAAACTTAGTGAGGATTCTTGTCCAGAATGAGGCTCTCGACGTGCTCCACCTAGAGTTTCCGCCTGACGGTACTGCGCGCGGTGACCCCACCACGTCAAAAACAGTCACGATACACATCACAGACGAGAATGGTATAAGGCTCGGTGACGGGCGCTCTCTGACGGAAATATTCAGCGAGAAGCAGGGAGAAAGTCCCTCAGGTATCGCGGAGGACAGTCAAGATAACGCTAGCGATGAAGATACACAGAGCGATGATATCGAGGGCATCGGGCGTAGATCAAGTAGCATGAATGGCAGTCCGAAACCACAACCAGATCTAGAAGTAGACGAGGATATTGCAGGATCATCGAAAACAACTGCCCCAACTTCGGCGGTGGGCGCTGAATTTCAGACAGAACGACCTGGCAGGCGACGTCGCGTTGTAAAGCCTGTTGTGGAGTTCATTGAGGGCCTCATTTTCGGGCCATTCGATCATCTTGCGGATTACGTTTACGAAAACCTCTTTCCCTATACCGAGGCCCTCAACGACGCCAGGAAGGCTGCGCATAATAAAAAGTCACAGGAACAACCCAGGGAGGACGGTCACGAGAGAGCATCAGACTCCGACAGCGTTGAGGAGAGTGGAGACAGTGATGTTAGCATGGACGACTTCTCAGCATCTTTTCCTGAAATTCGGAATATGGGTTCTGAAAATATGGGCACGGCGACGATGCTTCCACCAAGACTTGACGAGCGCCCCGGGTCAACAAAAATAGAGAAAAATGGTGATTTAGCAGGCGGAATGTCGCGCAGCAAGAAAAAGAAACAGAAACGCGCGAAGACTCCAAACGAACAAGCAGGATCAGCAGGAAACACGCAGACACACGCAGGTTCATCGTCTTCCTCGAGCATGCCAAGCGGGCCCAGGTCTGAGACTCTTCGCGAAGCTCTCCTCACCTTGCCCAGCGTTTACAATAGGCAGATGAAGCCGCCGACGTCGGATGGAGCTGCTGCCGAGCTCATCGCTTCCTTTGGGGGAGGCAAGAAAAGCGCGAGTCATAGAATGATTGAGGATGACAGGATGGACTTTCTTTTGTCGAGGATGGACGATCCAACCTCGAGATTTGTGGTCAGTCGCGCCATTCTCAGAACATTTCCTCGCGACCTTTCTGGCTTCGGAACCGCGATTTCCTCTGACGGATTGCAATTGTATGACAGGTTCTTCTAGAATGGAAGTAGATGCCATGTCCACCATTATCGAGTTAGTAACTGGATGAAATGGAATTAACATGAAGAAAGTCTAGACCACTGGCTTTAGAGCATGAAGATGCATTGCTAAGTAGTTCATCTTCATGCTTGTCGTGGGCCTACTGGTAGTGGTAGACCACGTAGACCTCCGACGTGTTATACCATAGAAAAGGTACTCGAAAAGGAAAACTGAATCTAGCTTTGTAAAAAGGTAAAGAAGTATCTAAGGTAAGAAAATGATTCATGGTTTCGCGGATCCAGAGGAGGGTATTAAGCCTCGGTCGAAAGAGGAAGCCGCGCATGCTAAGGCCGCTGTTGAGCCGCGAACCATGTGGAAGATTGAGGCTAGTGTGTGTCGCTTGTTGCGCACCAAGTCCATGCCAAGAGCAGAGATGGAAGAGCGCATGGGCCCCAGCTGGTGGCAGGGAGAAAGGATGGCCGACGACGATCCTCTGACGAGAGAACGACGGGCAACTTTAGCAGATGCATACTTCGAAGATCAAAATTCGCACCGAGACCAAGTGAGAAAAAGACTCCTCAGTAACAAATACTTCCCAGGAAACGATGCGGTTGCAATGGTTTACAAGAAAAAACTACAAGCTCGAGCTCGACAAAAAGCGGAACCACCCCGCCCAGCAAGAGCAGCGACAGGAATTACACCAGCTGCGGGAAGCCACGAAGGAGATGGAAGTCGAAGACACCATCAAGATGAAGACTACACGATTTTGAACGGCCCGAGTCAAGTGGTCGATCATTTAGGGTATTTTCCAGGCGGATTGTCGATGCATTTGCGGACACAATTCGACAAGGATGTTGAAAAAGCCGCGTCCAAGACTCCTAGGAAGAATCACTTCTTCGACGATCTCGTCGGGAAGCCAATTGTCGACCTCCGAGAAACACTCAAGGAAAGACGCCTTTCGCCGAGAGATCGCTTCTACTTTCATGTACTTATCTACTTGTACCTTTATCTGCTGTAGTACAACATGCCTTTCTTGTCAGTGAACAATATCTTCTACTTTTTCTACACAGGAGAGGAGATTTTTGATGATCGACCGAAACAGTATCCTAGTGCATTATGAAAGTGATTCATTCTCATTCTGCTAGAATGAATTACAACAAGTCCTGCTAAGACGTCCTAGCTAAGATTCTGGAATATTGTTGACCACAACAGGTTGGGTTGTCCCAGTTGAGCCGCGAGCTGCAGGCCCAGATGGTTTCTCAGCTGCCTCCATCTCTCGGAGTGCGTAGCCCATTTCTGAATCGAGTCGATAACAGACCCCACGATGTTCTTGGTTTTTTGCGGCTTCCTGCATCCGTGCGCGACGTGACGCTGTATCGGGACCACTCATGGACAGCGATTGACTTTGGTCACAAGGTCGTGCCAGGGAAAAAGGAGAGCACTAGTTTCCATCAAGCGAAAGATGGCAAGAGCTCTCAGTCCCGTCAGCATTCATCGGTTGAAGGAAAATCATCTTTAGGGACTTCGAGCCCTCAAGCTGCATCTTCATCTTCAAACGACGAGAACCCGATGGGGTCCGCAGCTGCCACGTTTGTGAATCATCTTCTTCTAGTATCTGAGGCTCCTGAAGACGACTTTGAGATGCTTAAGAATGCAGTAGAGGCAATCAATGAAGATCTTTTTCACATGGAATTGCCGCCGAATGAACGGGGAGAACCCATGAACCCGATCGAACGCCTGCAGCTAGCTGAGCAGGCGACGCGGGTCTTCAATGAGATCCTGGCTGATACTAGGAGGCAGGATTCCAGAGAAGGGGGGCAAGGATCTTCAACAGGTAAGCAGCCAGGCTATGAAATCGAAGTAAGACTTGCTCCAGCTCCCAAAAGTGCAGATCGAGAAGATGCTAAACTTGGAGGCCAAAGACTGCAACTTCATCTTCTTGCGGGATCACACATCGCCAGGAATACGAAACAACATCGGCCGAGTACCTTGCAAAGACCACTACGACCACCAGAACACGTTGTCGAGATGAGGGATGGCGAACAAGAAAGAAGTGCTGATGCTACAAGGACGGATTCTGGCGGAGGAGACACAACAACAGGAGATAAGGAATCCCAATCAGGAGGAGCAGTGGATCCCTCGTCAGGATCAGAGTCGTGTCCGGCGAACACGGTTCCCAAACCTCCGCTGCCCTCTGCAGCTGAAGATGGAAGTTTTCTACCTCACATACTAACGTACGAGGATCAAGTGGTCCCCAGACACGATATCGGACAGATTTGGGACAACGTTCTGGGAGAGAATGTTCAGTCTGCGCATGATGCAATCAATGCTGCTACGGCTGCAGGCAGTCAAACGCAAGGAAAGACTGGAGAGGAGGAGAAAAACGGTGCTGCGAATCACGACCCCGCATCGTCTGGCACACCTGGAGGGAGTCGCGGCCCCAACGTGAAAAATGATCAGGAGGCTCCTGAGGACCCAAGCACCCTCTTCGCTGACGAGCGTGAAAGAGTTGAGGTTTTGAAGATTCATCATATGCCCACGGACGACTATGAAGTAACGACACCCGCCGAGAGGCAAGTTCTGCCCGTTTTCGTTGTCTGCACGTTGGATAGACTGAAGTGTTTGAGTCATGTGTCGCGCGTGGCTCTTGAGCTCGCTCCTGATCCAGACAACATTGCTGTATCCATGGCACACATCACCAATTTCGATAAGGAACTCGCGCTGCATCATGGCCGGCCAAGCTCTTAAGAATAGAAAATCGTAAAGACTACTTACACATTTCTTTTTCCAGGAAGAAACTGTCGTATATTTCAATTTCAACTTTTACCGGTATTCGTTTTTTTTGCTGGTTGACACGTCGTCGGCCCAGGATAGATACGGTTCTCTTCCTGGTGTTGTTCAGACAGAAGAAAGAGTAAAAGAAAGGTCTTTGCTGCTCTAATCCCTTGCGCCCGACAAAGAACGGAGGGTTGAACAGCGGCATGAGTTGGCAATTGCGGAGTTGCTCGGGACCCTCATGAAGCAGACAATCCGTCCACCGGCGCAATTTTTTCGGGATCTATCAGAAAAAGAGAAGGACACCTTTAACGCCGGCCGACTTGAGGTGTTAATGCGGAATGACGCCAAGATGAAAGAGAATCGACGCCAGCACGCAGAAAAAGTTTTTGCTGCGCGAACTGCTCTCAATGCAGCTGCACAGAATGCTGGTGGCAAGCCGAGCGACCATGTCGAAGTGAAATCCTCTCCTGGAGGCTCCTCTGCTGGTTCTAGTGAACATCAACAAGTAGATGACGTTGTAGAACTCGCTCATTTGACTGCCGAGGAACGCGAATTCGGGGAGATTTCGCACTCCCTGTATCGTTTAGAAGGACGACGTTTACAGCGCTCGCATCGAACGAGTACGCAATACTCGCCGAGTCCACTGCTAAGTCAGCGAATTGCCGACCGCTGGTGGCACAACCTCCAGTTGGGCAACCCGAATGAAGAAAATTTTTCGACGCAATCCACGCATTATTTTATCCTGCTGAACATGCTGAAGCGCAAGTTCCTGGATGGCGCGACGCGCTTGACGCTCGCGCTCATTGAACCTGCAAGCGTTGTCTATCCACGTCCTTCCCGCAGATCAAACGCTGGCGCTAAGGATGTTAACAAGAGGTCGAAAGACCAAGGGCGAACAGTCGTCGTGGAGTAGGCAGGAATACTAATAGCTTCATGGTTTTTGCACCCTTTTCCTTTGTGTATAATCTTTTATCTTAATCATTTGAAAAATAAAACGAGGACGAAATTCTGGCATGAGAAGATTGATAAGTACCTATAAAAATAAATATATAAAGATTAAGGTACCAGCTTCTGATGCTGTTTCTGTACTACTACCGTTAGGAAATTTACGCAGATTTTTTTACACTGTGACTGCTCCCTAGTAGCACGACATAGATCCAGGCACTCAGAGGATCTAGTTTGCGACGTGGGTCTTTTCAAAGAGAATAAACGAGGAACAGAAGAATCCATCACTTTGGAGGGCGGGAAAAGAAAGACTGGGGTTCCAAGTGAACACACGAACATTAGAATCGCCGACTGACAACCACACAAATGACAGTGACTTATTGCTGAAGAACTAACTTCATTTCGCCACGATCACGAAGTTTTACCTCTAGGTAAATCTTCAAGAAATTTAATGGCTCTTCACCTTAAGGACTGAAGGAACTCAGATCCTCCTCATAATCAAGATCTTCAGGGTAAGGAACAATAGCAAGCTTATCCTTCTGCAATATTGAAGGTTTAAGTCTTTTAATCCTTTTACGGATCGTGAGCAGAACTGACCGCTGCGCCCTCCCCTGTCCTTTTCTCAGTCACGCTTCGAATTTTCCATGGCAAAACTAGTGCTTGTCAAGCAATCACCTTTCTATGGCAGTTGGCGTGCCTGTTCTCAGGATGCCCTGAGTGATTTCTGTCTGCTTTAGGATCTTAAATAATTGATCCCTTTGTCTCTCTAGAAGATTTTCAAAATGGTCTTCAGAGCTATCAACATTTAGCTCCGTCTTTAAGCAGTTAGCAGGGTCACTTTCAGCAAAAATATCCATAAGGTCACTGGCTTAGCTATGTAAGCGTGTGGTGACCTATGTAAAAAGGGTCAGCATTAAAAAAATATTTACGCTTTGCGTTTTTATAGTTTCTGCTGGTGTTCCTTTGCTTAAGTGGAGATCTTTATGAGGGCTGGAGAGGTTTGGCCATAAAGATGATATGGAATAAACTACTTATGTATCGTTCGCTGCCAATCATTCATGTGATCTCCAACTTCAGCTTTACTTCAGTTTCCGTATGCTTATCTCATGATTATCAGGACGATTCATTCATCTGATTGACAGAAGCAGGGGCGATGACTTGAGCTTTACTTCGATCTAGACTCTCAACATTATTGGTTTCGGCTTTTGCAATTGCAGAAACAAATCAATGCAGAAGAGCCGAGCGGAGATGTGTATCGCAGCCTCGATCTTGTGGAATTAGTCTGCATCAGAAAAATCTTCAGGGTCGTCATCATAACTACATCAACAAAGATGAATATCTTTGTTGTAGTTGGCATCTTGATTTTCTCAGATAAATATTCAAGAACGGGATGTACATGTGCCATGATCTATCTTCATCGCATAATTTGTTCAACTTTCATTACGATTTGTCATCTATTGCCGATCGATGGACGAAAAAATAGGGAGGTGGGACGAGAACTAGAAGAATCTCTCACCAATTCAACATCATATGAAGACTGCAGCTCCTCACTGTCTAGTTTTACTCATATCAAAACGCGAAATTTCTAGCAATTAAATCGTTTATTGACAGCATATAGATATACACGAGAAGGTCAACGATGCAAGCATCTTTCTCTGTGTCACTTCCATGGCACGAATTATCGCCGAAATGAAACTAGTCATCAGCTGCAGGTGCAGCTGCAGATCGGAGGGCCTGCGTCACAGAGAATGGCCATTGTTTCCGAGAGAGACACAAAAGAAAAGGTGCATTTGGATCAAGGATGGAGTTAGAGACAGTCATACCTACGGAGCACATGTATTTCTATTCAACAGCACAAAAGAAAGAGAGCATACTTGGTTGCGTGGCCAGTTGAAAGTTGTAGGACCAAAAACATTACCCCGATAAAAAAAAACGGAAGAACCTGTTGAACGAGATCCAAAAGTGCTAAGCGTGTTGCCCCACTGATTACGAAGACCGCACACCGATGAAATCGTCGCGGACTTTGTCACTCGCTTGCCGCTTAAATCGGAAAGCTGTGGAAGTTGTGGCAGTTGCTGCGACTAGTCTCAGACTGACCCTGCTGCGACTCGTCTCAGTTTTACTGTGACTAGTCGCAGACTTGCGGGGACTCGTCTAGTTTTTAACTTGCTGCGACTAGTCTCAAACCTGCTGCAACTAGTCTCGCGCTCGCGTCGTTGTGACTAGTCTCAGACCTACTAACTGCGCCTAGTGTCAGACTTACTACGACTAGCCTCAGACTTACTGGGACGGGCCTCGCGCTCACTGTGACCGGCCTCAAGCTTCTTGCGACTACTCTGTGACTGAGTTTGTGACTGTAATGGTGTTAAGATTCGAACAGCCTGACAAACTCGGTAAGAGACTAGCTACAGCAAGTTTGGACTTAGACTAGTCACAGCGAGCGCGAGACTAGTCGCGGCAACTTTGAGACTAGACACAGTAAAGCTGAGACTAGTCAAAGTGAGCGCGACACACACTAGTCGCGTTGATTCTGAGACTAGTCGCCGTAAGTTTGAAACTTGAGCCGGGGCTAGTCATTGTCGCACTTGTAAGCTCGAGACTAGTCACAGTAGCGGCCACAACTCTCACAACTCGGACGCAGCTCGCCACAACTTCCACAGCTCAGAAGTTGGAAAGTCTGCCGAGCGCTTTCGTAGGTGGTTGGTCTTTCTAAACTGACAGCGCGGCTCGGTATGATAAAAACGAGAATGCTGAACAAAGACAGACGCGGGCGCCAATGTACTCTATCTCAAACACTTGGCCAGCAAACAAATGAAATGATTTGGGCAAAAATGAAACGCAAAAAGCATCGGCTACGACCGGAGTCCCTGAGGAAGACGTCGCGACATGCGGATTTATTTCCAGGCCAAGGAGGACGAGGAGTTGCCGCACACGGAATCAAGCATCGTGTATTACCCACGGTAATCCTCTCAGCATGCGTTGGCGGGGACGTACTCTGTGGCGCTGCACGAGGCGCGGAAGCGGCCGAGGAGAGCAGGATACCACAAGAAAGCGAGGATGCGGAGTGGGTAGACGAAACGAACGATGATGTAACGTCGACTTTTGCTAAGTCTGATCTAGTCGCGCTTCTTTCAACAACATCGAGTAGAAGTCAAGCTCTTGCATCTACCTCTGCCGCTGCACCTCCTCCGTCGACGCTATCCGCTTTCCCGAGTTACACCTGTGCCCCAGGACAGACCCGAATTTCCCTCGGACATGCTGAAAGCTGGTATGGCTACAGACCAGAGCCACGTTTTTTCTCCCGTCTGTGGCGCTGGTGGGATCCGGCTTTCGATCGCACGGATCCACCGGGATACGTCTACATCGACACCACGCTTCCCATCCAAAAGTCCGGTATGGTCAGAAAATGGCGGTTTTTTTCTGGTGTAGATACATCAAATCGCGACTCCGCGTGGGCAGCGACAAGCAGTGGAAGCAGCGGATCAGCTGCTGCCTCAGCAAATGTGATATCGAATAGCGGTTTCCCCGCCACCTCATCCACACGGGAGAGCACTCTGCTTCGACTTCTGGTAACATTATGTAAGTCAGGGTGGTAGTTGTACTAGTACTAGTACAAGTACAACAAGAACTAAAATTACAATTTGTTATCTACAATGATGGTATTCCCAATGTTTCTTTAGGTGTGGCGTCCCGTGTTGATGAACAAGAGGCAGACGGCAGCAGCGGCCGCCGCCGTCGGACCGACAAGCGCAACACTGACGACGACGAGCCCACCTACCACATCTTATTCGTCTAACGGTGGGCTTGCAGGCGGTGCTTTCGGGAATGTGATGGCCGCTGCCGCGGCGGCGGGCCAAAAGACTACTCCTCCACCACGTGGAGCGGTGCCTCTCTATGCGTCGAACATTTCTTCAAATGGAACCGCATTGCCTGCGGTGCCACCAAACAGATACTTCGAGACACTAGGTTTCGACTTTGCTACTGACCGAATGCAGCTAGTCTGCGATGTGCCCGTCACAATGGATCTCTCGAAGAGCTCACTAACGGAGTTCTTGCAGCCTGCTGCGCTTCCGTGCGTCGTCGAAGCCGGCGACTTTCTTGGCTGGGAAGATAGCGGCGATCTCCAAGGCGTATTGCAGTACGACGAGGGCGTATCTATAGAAGGAGCAGTCCACTTCTGGAAAGAAAAAACCGCAGCTGTAGCCGGCAACGCAGCGCAATTGCCACTACAAATGTTCTCCTCGGGTGGACTTTCTCGCCGCTACTCCTTGCAGGTCGGATTGGAGCACGATGCGAGTACTAGTTCTTTGTCCTTTTACGCAGTCGACATATGTTTCTTTGATTTTAGAAGGAGAGCAGGATAAGCTGTATAAGAAGTGATTATAGAGATAGAGAACAAGATGGAGTAGAATGCTTCAGCAACAGGTCCAATCTCGCTGCTGATTTACTGGCGACCAACACCACGTTTGCAAAAGCAAATCCTTGCACTAACCATCTTTCCAAATTCACTGCAAAATTGAAACTTCCTCCAGTCGGCTGTGTCGACAACGTCTGTTCGTGTTCTAACGGTGTCGGGATAGTCGGATCGGATCCGCGATGCGATGCTCCTGGAAAGGAGGTTTGCGTAAGCTGCGAGCCCGACTTTCAGCTCGTGGGTATTGAATGCCTTGCCAGTGGCTGTTCTTGCAGCAACGGCGTGAAGGACCCCTACTGCACCTTGGACCAACCGGAGATGTGCCTGTACTTCAGTGTATAGCCGGCTTGTTTGTTTACACTAAGTGGAGGGCTTCTATCATGATTGAAATAGTTCCCGTTCGACAATGTGCGAAAACCTCTATCCGAATTCTGCTGAGAATATGTGAATGTGACAGTACTACTTCGTGATTGTAGTAGATCATGTTGCGGAGGTACAAAATTGGCGTTGTTTTTCGCAATGACAGGTCTTGCGATACGGATTTCGAGTTGCTTTTACCAGAAAAGATCTGTGTCGAGGGGGGCAAGTGTGTGTGCGATCATGGAACTCCGACGAAGACTCCTGTGTGCCCGCGTTCTGGTGATAATTACGGTCTTTTTGCGCATTTCCATCAGGAGCTAAGTAGCCTAACGGCACGCATTCGCCTCATTCCTTCTTGACCACCTCGTCCTCTTGTCAACGGGGATAGATACTAGAATGAATGAAGCGGCTACATCACTTCGTTCTAAAATTTGTTCTTTTCACTTTCAACTTTTCCTACTCGACGAAATAGTTGAAAATGAAAACACATTTTGGCAGAATAGCAACAGCCCAGGTGATTGATGCGCAGCTCCAGCTTCTGGGGACGGAATAAATGGAATTGCGCAATGTCTAACATTAGGGGTGTCGCAGTTGCGATGATGGTTTCTATCTCTCGGATGACGCGACCGAATGTCTTTTCGATCCCGATAGCCAGAATCCGACACTCACTGTTCCCTTCTCGTTCTTGCAGACCACGACCGCGACAAGGGCAGGAGGTGACGCAGAGGAAGAAAATCAAAATGACGCAGTAGAGCAAGATGAAGTGGACCAGGCAGCAGCTGCAGATGATGATGTTGATGATGTTGACGCCACCAGCAGCGTGGTACAAGAGGTAGCTAGCGGGGACAATGTTGACCACGTTGCTGAGTTCGAGGAAGATGAAGATAGCACCGATCCTGTGTCTGATAAACAAGATGACGACATCGACATCGAGGCTCACGATCAGCAGAGCATCATTCCTGGCGTCAGTGGAGATCTTGTCCTAGAAGAAGCACACAGTGAAGCAGAGGAGACAAAGCAATCTTCGGGAAAGGAAGGCGCAACTTCTTCGGATAGTATTGCGAACGAGATGGCCAGCGAGCATCCGTACGAAGCCAAGATTCAGCGTGCGAGCAAACGGCTCGCTGCGATGATGAATTCCGCTGGACGTCGTGGTCGTGGGCGACGAAGGAGGAAGATAAAGCGAAGATCAGTAGAGGCGATCAGGAAGAGGGTAGAGGAAATGAAAACGACACCACAGGGGCAGCAGCTGGACACTTCCGAACAGAGCAAGCAAGCTGTAGCTCCTTCAGAAAATCACGACGCAAAAGCAGAAGAGCTAAGAAAATACCCTTTCCCAACGAAACCAGAAGATCAGCTACGTGACATTACCTGGAACAAAGGGCCTTCACTGGGAGCCTCGTTATCCTCCGGTAAGTCGGCTTCTCTCTCAGCGGCACTAGGCGGGGCCGAAGATGAGTCAGCATCTTCAGAAACGAAAGAGGACAAGCCACAAGAATCGCAAAAGATGACGTCCTCGAGGAAAAGCGCAGAGGATATCGCGCGTATAGCAGAGAAAATCCAGAACGGCAACCAGGACAAAGAGAGGACATCTGAAATCAGCGCCGCGCTGTCTTCAAAGAAGATCACGAAGGTACAGCAAAAAACAACCAATAAGAAGAAGAAACAAATAAAGAGTCGTCTTCACATGACAATGAGCATGAGAAAAAAAGACGCTGCTGCCTCTGGTACATCTTCCAAACGGAACAAAGCCATTAAGTCCAAACATCACCAAGAGCAGGAACAAGATCAAAAAGTTAAAAAAGTTGTTGTTGAAATAAGTACAGGCACGGAGAACAAGGTCGAAAGCGAAAACTACAAGCAAGAAAGTGAAGTAGCCGAAGGGCAAGGCACGGACAAGAATATGATGCAAAAAAATCGCAATCCATTCGCTCCGCTGTATGGGTACGGAACTGGCACTGGGAGTTATCCTACAACCTTGAGCTCTCCGACCGCTTCGGCATGGACGCCGACTGCAACCTACGTATCACCAAACTACAATACTTGGTGGGCACAACTCGTCAACCCTGCAGCTGCGTCTTCTCCGATCGCCGCAGCTTCCTCACCTAGCGGTGGACTTGCTGTCGTTCCTGCAGCAGCGGGTACTTTTTTAACTAAATAATGAAGGCAGTCTTTACAATCATACTAGCACTTACTAGCTGTGGTGAACTCATCAAGTTCTTAGTATCATGCGTGTGCGTGATATGCATGTTGTAGATCTAGATATTCTATTTCCAGTATTGAGGGCCACTTCTAAGTCGAACTATCGATCTTACTCGATTTCAGGAAGTACGGTGGCACCGGGAACATCGTCAGCAGTTGCTCCAGGGTCTTCACCAGTTCTTCCAGGGTCTGCGTCTGCGGCGCCGGTTGTTCCAGGGTCTGCGATACCGGTTGTGGCAGGGTCTTCTACGCCAGTTGTTCCAGGCGCTTCTTCAGCAGTTCCAGGAGCTTCTTCAGCAGTGCCTGCCGCGTCTTCCGGAGGCTTCTCATCGTCAGCCGCACCATCGGGTGCAGCAGCGGCATCAGCCGCAGGAGCTGCAGCAGCGACGAGCGGAAACCCACTTCCAGGAGGATCGACTTGGGGTAATCCATCCTCTGCTTCGGGTGGAGGAGTCGTCACAACTCCTGCGCCGGCAAACAAAGTGATATGGCAATGGGCGGCGCAGCCTACGACCTGTGACGTGATCCAAGTGGAGCCACTCGCCACGGGTCAACAACTGATGCCCTTTCAGCCCTTAATCCGGGTCAACGCTACACGCGCACGCCTCATCGCTTCCGGTTGCGGCTCTGTGTCGCAGGATCAGAAACGACTGGTCGGCCTGAACTGTACCAACATCACCATCTTCTCCACGTACACTGGTGCAGACAAGAGCGAGAACTCGTTCGGGGACGTGAAGCTTTTGCTTGAGCACGTTGGTACTGGCTTCACCACCGCGCAAACCGCGTTCGAAACCTCCGGAAAGTTCGGTGTCATGAGCTGCTTAGATGCCGGCTCGGTCGAACACAACGGGCGCACGAACCAGTGGGAGTGGCGGGGAGCGCTGGCGCGCATGCCAGGCGACCCGTACACGCAAGGAACGACGCCGGATGATTTTCTCGACACCGCGGGAACGGAAACGCTGCGTTTTAACGCGATTCAGTGTGGACGGATGCTGATCAAACGGACAAAAAACGACAAGCAGATGACGCCGATAGTGGCGCTCAGCGACGGACAGAAGGCGGCAACAAAACTTGTTGCAACCGATTGCAACAGCATCCGACATTACAACGAGGTCGACGGACTGAAGGTGTGCGGTATGGACTGCTATCGGGTCGGTATTGAACTCGCAGGATGGCCTGTCGTGGATAATGTGGCTTCCTTTTGTCTGGAGGGCTGCAGCAACAGCGTGGACGCAGCGAAGGCAGCCCGACCAGGCTCGGCTCTCTCATCTCAAAGCTACCAACGCAGTGCGATCACAGCGACCCCAATTGCGACACCAGGCTCTTCTTCGAATAGTGCATCTAGCAGTAGTGGAGGAGGCTCTCCTCTTCTCTTCCGACAGCTTGGGGACCAGAAGGTTGACACGAGCAGTCTTTCTGATCAAGATAGTGGTTCAGATTCAGCACTGGTTTCTGCATCTAGTACTTCTCTTTCAGGTCCAGGAGGAATGGGAATCGCTTCGAGACTACCAACTAGAGTTACTTCGAAGCTAGTATCGATGTTCACTGATGGACAAGAAACTTCTGCTACAACAACACGACGAGCAGGAGACACTACAACGGCATCTGCGCTCAGCGGCATTATCAGTGTCCCACATCTGAACGACGGCGACATTACCACAAGTAGAGACGACCAAGCAGGGAGCAGCAAGAGCGACGACGAGGATCCCCTCAGCGGCGAACTGTCGTCCTTCCGAAAGGCAAATTTGCAACTCCGGAACCACATTCAGCAAATTAGGAATCGTGGATACAATCATGCTCCGAGCTCTAGCTCAGCCGAAGCTTTAAACGGCCTCCCTACAATCCACGATCCGTTGCCGATCAATGCTGGACTAGGCGTGGGGCAAGAAACACCATCACTTTCTAGTAGTAGTCCTACTGGTAGTCATACTAGTACTTCATCAACATCATCAATGCAGCAGAATGTTGGAGCAGGAAGTCTCATCAAAAGCAGGAGTGAGTTGCCAATTGATGACGGACATCTCCTCGAAAGAACCTCATCTACGGGTAACAAGATGGATGACGAGATTGAAAATTTCATTCAGAGTAATCAAGTTGTCGGGGATGATGTGCAACTACATACTGCATCTACTTCTCTTCATCAATCAGACATCACGGCAGGTGGCAGGAGAGGCGCCGCAGCAGTGTCGTCTAGTACGTCGTCCACAAGCAGCACGCAAACAGACGCGATCGAAGAGGCGTACGAAGAGCTATCTCGCAATAACCCGTCCATGCGTGAAGCGCTGGAACGCGCACGAAAAAGGTTGTTACTAAAGGAGGATAGCCATGGGCAACGAGATGAGAATCCGTCATCTCTCGGTGTCGATAGGACAACTTCGGATGAGCAGAATGCAGCCCGTCCTCGTGGTCTACGCCTCGTCGAGGGGCAACCGGGTGCTCTTGATGTAACCTTCCAGCGGTCTCGTGAACCTGATCCTGCTTTAGGTCTAGGCGAAACTACTTCTCTGAATAATTCTCGCATGTCAGATTCAGAGCTCGAGAAACTCGTCAATTACGGAAAGCAGGAGGCGGATCTTAAAACCACTGTGAACAAGGACAAGGATAGCTCTTTGAAAGAAAAAGATGCAGAACACGACCGGGAGATGCGCTCCAGCGCTGCTTCCTTGGCATCCGATATTCTCAAGAAAGTCGAAGCACTAGGTCTGAATCCAACCCCCTCAGGTGCTGTTGACGATCCAGCATCGTTGAGGTCCATGGTTGCCGCGGTCCAAGCAGCAGCCGAGGATAGCGGGCGCCCTCCAGCAGAGCTGCACAGGGCGATCCCTTCAGCCGAAACTTCATCAACATCAGAGGATGAAGGAAAATTGCGAGCAGCCATAGCTGGTACCATCAAACCCGTGGGAGAAGCTTCTTCTTCGGCTAGCAGGAATAGTCCTCTGGCATCTAGAAGTAGCACAGCAAGTAGAACAGCAGCAGCAGGTACAACGGATACAACATCCATTTCGAGGACGTCTCCATCAGGAGCAGCATCAAGTTTGTCAAGAGTGCCATTGTCAAGACATGACCACGAGTTCGGATCGTCGACAACGGAGCAGGATGTTCTGGCACTAATGAAGGGACTTCGTATGGACGCTCCTAGCAGCACTGCACGTCGTGGTGCTAGCCTCTTGCAGATCGGAGATGCTTTGGCAGCCGCGATCCGGAGTAGACGCGCACCTACATCGAGCAGACCTTCATCTACTATTTGGTCTAGTGAAGACGAGCAACCTCATGCTTACCACGATGGGGAATCAGAAAATTTTCAGTTTCACGAGCAACTAAAAGGCAAGGAGTTTCACCATGATAATCCTACAGTTGGTGGGCATTCTCAAGGAACAGGTACTACATCTCACCGACTAGAGGAGAGAGGACAACCCTCGAGTTCATTATTCGCTGTGGATCTAGTGGGCCTTGGGTGAGGATCTCCTAGCGTAAAACATGAAGACGATCGTACCGGTACTCAGGTAGGTTCATGATTGTGTCATATGTATAACCTTTTTCGGTTTTCTTTTTTCTATTCTAAGAATTTAATCTAAATCCATTAATCTGACATTCGACACCTTGTTTATACGCATGATTATACACAGCACGAGCACTACCACACGGATTATATCAGCGGGCGGGTGCCAGTGCCACGCACGCATCGGTGTCCTTCTGCCCCCCCTGTATTTGTATAGTTTGATGATTGAATATGAATAATGTCTCATAGTGTTAGTGACACACTCACACCTCACCATAATCCTGATGATCTTCACATGATGAATAGATGATGGTATTCCCAGTTCGAAATGCATACTGATCGTCTTACAACCTTTCTTCCCTAGTTAAAAGAATTCGTCATTGTAACTAAGTAATAGTACAACTGGTACCACCGTGGTAGCTTCCTGCTTTCATTTCGTCTCAATGCAACACAGCAACAGCACTTCTTCAGACTTTCGGTTTCGGTAAAAAGTGAAAATGAACAGACACAAGAAAATCCTCAGAGTGAGAGAGTTGATAAGATAAGGATGATGAGTTTTGTACTTCTACAGCATTGATGCAATGGACGCCCTCGAAAAACTTGAAGGAGCGCGATGCTGACGAGAATTCAGATGATGGGTGCCTTTCCAAAGACAGGCCGTGACATTCAAGTTCCACGTCATGTTTCGGCGCCGATTAGAAGTGTTGGCAGAAAATGCAGACGGTGGATTGTTTTTGCAAGTCTCCCACTAGGATGAAGAGAGAAAAAATCGAAAGATGAGTGGTGAAGTGTCGAGGAACGACAGGACAGGAAAGGGCGAAATTTCAAAAAATGCGACAACAGGGACTGCCCGAACACAGAAAAACGATGAGAGGTAGAGTCGGCAGCGTTCCCTCACTGACTAATGAGACGCTCTGGAACCATGGCCCCTGCAAAATGAGAGCCTTAGCTAATGAGACGTTCTGGAGGATAGAGTAATAGAGGAGCACCAAGTCTAAGCTCCGCCTGCCGCCGGTTTGCGAACTGGATAAAGCTGAGGCCGCTCTTTCAGTAGCCCGCGCCTACAAAAAAATCGCATGGCAGAAAACTCTTAATCTTAATCTTAATCAACAATATGAAAAGAATGAGTTCCTCAGAAGTTTTCTCTTGATGTAGAAAATAGTACTCGTCGATAAAGTTTCTCTTTGAGGCAGGGGCAGGCGCTGGACGCTGTGCTACTTGATTTAACAGAATAGATGTTATCCTCGAGGAGTTGTAGAACTAGAAGTAGCACTAGCACGACTATCATCATACTCATAGTTGTGCACACATAAGCTCGTGATCAAGTATTAGAAGTACAACCTGGTCAAAAGTCATAATATCGGAAATTGAATGATAATACAGAAGGGGATCGATAACAAGGGTAAAATAGAATGCGAAAACTTCGGGCAGAAACACTTTGATCCGGCTTCGTCGGGATGCTAACGGCGCCGCCCGAATCTGTATCGTGTCCTCCGTAATGCCACAGCGTAGAGATGTTGCGCGGTTGGCCTGGTGGTTGCTTCTTTATCAAGCTGGAACAGTAACCAGTCGCTCGCTTGGGGGCAGTGAGGAGGTCCTTGTCGGAGCGGACTGGGATGAGGATGATAGGCGGCGTTACACTCTCAGTACTAGATCGCGGGATAAAAAGGAGAAGAGAATCAAGGCCCGAGGACCCCCCGGCGTTTCGGCTGTAGAGGTTGACAATGGTGAAGTCGGGGAAGAAAATCATGTCGATTATGGTGGGTGGACGCGAGCTCACTTCCTTCTCGAGCCCCTTCTCCGTCAGCGGGATGTCGCAGATCTGTTGCCGCACTGGTCGCCTTTCGGCAGCCAGTCGAGGGAACACCACACGGGCAGGAGGTTTTTCAGCGACCAGGATGAGCAAAACACAAGCACTTGGCAGGCAGCGCATGAAGATGCACACGCTCATGATCAGAGCCGTAGAGGCGTCAACCTCGAGAAGAACAGGTGGTGGAGCAAGAAGGGACATCAGAGGCATCTTGAACCAGATGTCGACGATGAGGAAGATGACCTAGAAGACGATCCGCTTGACGGAGATGCAGGTGGACAGCGTCGAGAACGACGCGGAGGCCATGCAGCTTCTCCCAGAAGGCGTGCTGTTCATGTCCCAGATGGAAGCTACGAGAATCATGCTGGAACATTAGACGAGCATCAGCAAATGAGCACTGACGAAGATGACGAACACTACGATATGGAACAGCGTCGACGAGGACATGATGACGGACCACTTGCGCTAATTACGTTGATGAATCATGGGAAATTTTCTTTGCGTGGAAGAGACGGCCCGCCGCCACCGGGTGCTGGACCGCCGGAAACGCCAAACATCTTGAACCGGCTCCATCCGACTGCGAACAAAAACACTGTAGACAGTGTTGTGCGTGCCCTCCTTGTGAATGCGGCGTTCGTTGATAGCCTGGCAAGAACCATCGTGAAGCAGCAAACTTTTCATGAGCAATTCATGAGGTACTAAAAATACTTAGACTTAGACTATTTACTTTGTATTGGATATGTCAGCATTAACTTGTTTTGCTGTGATTTTTTGATGATAGATGAAGAGAGTCGAAGCAGATCAATTAATTTGAATGAATAGATCGACGATCGACTCGTGTTCAAGCTACCCGTTGTCCCAGTCCCACGTGGAGGTGTGCGAGCATGTCGGCCACCGCTCTCACGTGGTGTGTGAGCATGTCCGCCACCGCTGCTACGGTACTGCGGTGATATTCCGGTTGTATGACGGAGTCTCGATCTCCCATATTTTCATTGACTCTGCAACTAGGTGCCTCGCGCAGCAGCTGATTCAAAAGCTAAGCAACGATCTTCCGTTTGTTGGTGGTACGCAGAAGAAGATGATTCCCATCATCATCAACGACGGGTTGCGCGAGAACTACGCTGCTTGGGCCAGTATCATCGCGGAAGACGTGACTCGCAGTGAGAACTTTCAGATTGCAGTGTATGAAGCCGTTTTGTCGATCGTGTTTCCGGCGGAGTCCATAGGGAGTTCGAATGCCTCGTCTACCTTGCCCCCCGCCGGTGCGCGCATACCCACATTGGACGCGGCTGTTAGCAACGTGCCAGAGTTTGCTGTAAACACGTCGTCAACATCATCGAGCAGCCCGCCCCCCGTCTATACTACTACCACTGTTAAGCCTTTTACCGCGATCCCTCATCTCGATGGTCCAATGCCGTATGTACATCCGGAGCTAGGTAGACCGCCACCACCACCACCACCGCCACCAGAAGGAAAGCCGGCGCCAGCCGCTCCACCTGCAGTAGCAGCTACTACCGCAGCACCGTTGACTGCGCCGCCAGCTGTTGCGCCTGTCGACACAAGTAGTCCGGTAACGACCCCCGCCGAGTCCGTTGCCCCCGCTGCGGAAACGACGAGTGCTGCACCTCCAGAAATGCAGCCTTTGACTGTAGGCAGAGGAAAAAGTGGAGCTTCCACGCCTCTACCCGCCAGTCCGGCTTCCGACTTTGCGTCATTGATGAAGAGTGGCAGCGCGGAAGCACAAGCAGGGTCAGCACCGTCACTTGTTGCGTCGTCTGCGGCGTATGGTGGAATGACAGCACTCGAAAAACCAGCGGCCTCAGGCAGAGCAGAAGGAAAGGACGCGGCTTCGAAACTTGCCGCCGCAACCCAGCAACAGGATCTTCAGTCGGCCGGCGCCAAGCTGAAGAATCAGCGAAATCAGAGTCATGAGGAGCATAAGTATGAAGCGAAAAAGTGCACTCACACTCAAGAAATTGGCTAGGAGTTAAGTAGGAAAATAGCCACTTTTTTTGAGTGTGAGTGCACTTTTTTCTTTCATAATAAGCACCCTTCTTGTACACAGCAAGTTCCAGCTCCAGCACCTGCGGAGCCAGTTGCGCGACAGAAGCAAGCTTTTCCTGTCGCTGCACAACAACTGTCAGAGGGACCCGCACTGTCAGAGTTGACCTCTAACGCGACGCAACAAATCGTCGAATCAGCAGTTGAAGAGGCATTAGACCAGGTTTTTCGTGAAGCCGGTGCGACTGTAAATGCCGGTCAGGACGAAGCTGCATCGAACTCTGGAGGATCTACCGCAGTCGCAGCGACTGACTCAACAGAGGCTGTACACCACCAGAGCACCAATGAAGATATTACAGCAACATTGGCTTCGGCCTCCAGGAGTGCAGATGAAACGCGGGGCCGCGAACGCGAAACTGAAACGGAAACTGTGAGCATTGCAGGACGTACTACTTCCTCGACTTCAAGCAACATCGATGAAGAAAGCGCTGATCTTTTTGACACAATCGAGAGCAGTTCTTCAGTCAACGACGCCGCATCAAGATCATCATCAATGTTTTCAAATGCAGAAGCACAAGGAGAACGAGAGCCCACGGGGGCAGATGAACTTCATGGCCATGAGCTAGTCCAGCACGAAGACGACGAGGACGACTTCAATGAAGCAGGAGAGACTGAAGAAACGGCACTCAGTCTTCATGCGGAAGCCGAGGAAAGCGGTGCATATGATGATCAGAATGCGGAATTCGCATCTCCTTCAGCTAGTTCTAGTGAACTCGGTACTTCTGACAAGAAGCCTGAAACTGAACATAGCTATGGGAGCATGAGCATGCAGGACGCCTCACCGATCCGCAAACTTGCCTCACCAATGTCAAAGCCGACGATCGACGTATCGAAGGATAGTGGCACGGCTCCACCTGGTCCTCCTGGTGCTACTGTTCAGAACGCAAATCATCTAGATGGTGACAGAATTTCTTCCGTTTCTTCGAGAACAGGTCCAACTGCGGGAGTAGGCTTAACATCCACCGCGACATCAGCACCTCGTAGGAGTTCAGACTTAGCGAGCCTCTGGGACGTGGATCACGCGCACCATGCAGAGGGGAGCGCACGCCCCACAGAAAGAGCAGCAGTGTTGCATGAGCAATCCGCAGACGTCGAACGACCAGGAAGTGGAGCAGAGAGTATGCTTTTCGGCGACAGCGGCAGCGGCACTGACGTTAGGCAAATTCAGATGGCCATCAAGGAGAGAAGCAACATAACACCGACCAGCACCAGTAACGATAAAGAAGCGAAAATAAAGACCGCCAAGACGGCGCGAACTCAGAAGGCCGTCACACTGCTTCTCCAAGTAGACTTGGACTCTCAATTTAACGAGGGACGCGGATCGCATGGAAAAAGCAAGATTCGCCATCGGCGAAGATCATATGACCGGGCTGAAGAACACGAGCACAAGCACGGTAAAAATGCGCATACGCTTAATCTTCAAGAAGGAGAAGAAGATCAGCACCAACAAGAACAACAGCAAGGTGTACATCTACAAGAGGAAGGACGAACAGTCGTCGAGAAAAAGAACATGCGTCACCACGACCAGCAAATAGCATTCGGGCAACATGAGCAGGACATATTGCCTGCGGATTCCGGAACAGCTTTTTCGCCCTCTGGTATCGAAGATGAGGCTGACGAGGATATCGTAGATGAACAAAACGAAGACCTCCACCATGGAGACAAGCGCTACAGTACTATAAGATTAAGAACTTCTAGTAGTTTTATTGGACGAGACGGAACCGCAACCGGAAGCCGAAGCCGTAGAGAACATGGTGAGGTGTCTGATGCAGGTGAAGAGTACCACGACATGAACAGCAGTGCCTCACTAGTCGAGGCAAGTGCACAAACTGCTGGGCAAAATGAGGGGCCTCGTGAGGGCAGCATCGTGGAAAGTCCAGAGTGGAGAGCGACAGCCACCGCTGCAAACGATCGCTCGGCGCCAAACAATATCGGCGAGACGCTGAGGAAGATGGAACAGGCCATAATTTCCTCGAAACAAGCCCAACGAGAACGAGCGATAAATGCGCATGCGCTCACGGCGACGTCCAAGACTCACTTAATGCACGACGTAGCGCTTGATCAAAGTGAAGATAGCACCAGACGCGCAGGAAGATACGGCTCCGCTCAACTTCGAGTGCCACAACTATCAGGCCACAACTACGGTGACGAGGTAGGAGTCAACGATGATGAGTATGTACTGCCTAGCGACCAGTCTTTCAGAAATTTGCAGCATCTGGCCGGGATGTCGTCACTCACAGACGTTCTCCACCGCAACCACATACAGCTGGGGCTTTCATCGTCGAGTAGTTTATCTTCATCAGCACGGCACCACGCACAAACAGGGCATCAGATCGACAGTCTGGCTTCCCGGCACCTTTCACCCGTCGTGTCGAAAACACATGTAGAGGGCAACACTGCAGACACGAAGACACAGGCGAAGGCACCGCTGGCGAATGAGCAGAAGTCGCCAAAGAGCAATCAAAACAGGAAGGAGTTGACCGGAAAACTAAAGATGGGCATTAGTTCTCCCGTGCAATTAGATGTTAAAAAGATAGTAGCTCCACCGCCAGCCGCAGCCGCCACAAAAACAAAGAAACACGAGAGCGTGGCTGGAAAGAACCAAAAAAAGAAGATTAACCTTACGGTAAGCGTGGGGTCAGCTGGAAGGAGAGATAAAGCTGGTAAGAAGACGAGCAGTTTGGCAAGTACGTTGAAAACAAATAGTAGTCACGGAAAACAGTCTTCATCTTCTTCACTTCACCCTCTAGCAGAAGCTCCAGCAGGGGCGCCGAGCGCACCAGTGAAAAAGGGTGGGCCATCCTCGAGTCGTGCTACGCAGATGAATATGACGAAGAGTTCTAGTACCAGTCGGGAGATGCAGAGCAAGCAGCAACCGCCAAGACAAGAAATTCTGAAGCAAGGAAGACCAGATCAATCGAACCCTAATAAGGCAAATTCGAGTACCGACGTCAACAAATCTGATGCTTCAAACTCGTCGACTAACAAATCGAAGAATGAAAATCACGATAATCCACCAGGAAGCGCGCCTGGTACCTCATCAACACGGTCGGACAAGAGCGCTCGAACAGTAGAAAGCAAACAATCATCTCCAATCAAGGCGGGCAAGTTGCAACATGCGCAGAAGGCGCCAACATCTCATGCGGTTGCCTTTTCCGGCGAGAGTAGCACCACAAAAGACAGCGTTGACAAGGGAGAAATCCACAAACGAGATTCCAAAGAAGCGGGTTTTGGCGTAGGTTTTTCGGCCCCGCATGGGGAGAAAACAGGAGCGCGTGACAAATCGGATCGCGCAGCAAAGACAAAAAAGTCTCGCGAATCTGGAAAGAGCGAACATCATTCGAACCGAAAAGCTACCAGCGAAACGAGCAATCTGCGAAAGAAATCTTCCAACACATCGGCAAAGACGTCGAAGAAACAACAGCGGGAACAACAATCTGCAGTAGGTCTAGGTGCAGAAGGGACGAACAAGAAAAAGAATGCAGAAACACCCCGAGCACCAGCATCGACATCTTCCGCAGGAGAGAAGCGGCGTGCCGGAGAAATGGCTGCCTCGAAGCGACAAGTTCTGAATTTCAAGAGCAAAAAAGAGGGACAGCCAGGAGTTGTCGGGCCAGCTGGGATTCCAGAGGACTCTTCGTATCCCGATCCACCTGAAGGTGAACGCGTCGTCATGGACAACATGGACGAGGGCCGCAACGCTACTGCTGTTGGAGATGCATCGTTTTCTTCTTCTTCTGCCGCGCCAGCAGCTGGCGGAGGAGCAAATAATACGACACGCACCAGTCCACCAACAACTACTGAGAAGCCGGTGGTCCAGCAAACTGGATTACCTGGTGATGCGGGGGACAAACACTACGCTACGTATCAAGAGAGTCATCCGCTGACCGATGCAGATGTCGCCCAGCAAATCCACGAAAGCGCCCATGCCAAGCCGGGCGAAGTCGGAGCAGGAATTACGGACTCAACTGTGCATCACGATGCTGGTGAGCGGAGTTACGCATCTGCCGGCGGCGTAGGCTCGCCGCTGCGTACCGAAACTTTCGTGCGGGACTTTCGGCAGGGCGTCCTGACCGAGTTGAGCAACGCTGACTTGTTGTTGGAGATTTTACAGAGACACAACGAGTCCATGGCTGAACTCGGGCAGTCGTTAGTGGAGGACCCCAGCACAGTGCCTGCCATCGTGGCCGCATTGAGAAAAAGCACGCCGATTCGCTCACGCATCGCCTCAGGAGACTTCGACCGCGACACAGTCACGAAAACACTCATAACGCAACTCGCCTACTCGCTTGTGCACGATCGTGGCTTCATCGAGTATCTAAAGCAGCGGCTTCTGGCAACCGATGAGCACTACGCAGTAGTCAGACCGCCTGCAACTAACAAGATGCCTCCGCCTGCTTCCGCTCCGCAGGAGCAGCAAATGCTTCTGATGCAAAAGCACGACCATGATGGAACAAGGGTAGCTCCCTCGTTTTTGCAAGAACTAAGTGCCACGGATGCATCTTCTGCTGAAAGCCTCTTTGTTTCTTCGGAGCAGCACGGGGACGAAGAGGAAACGACTAGCACGCTCCAGCAAATGGCTTTCCTTCTTGACCGCCTAGTGCGCAGTCACGCTCAGCAACACGGAATCAAGATGCACCATGCAACGGCTCCATCTGCTACTCAGCAGCACTTGTACTCAGCCGCACCGGCAGCCACGACCACAAGGTCAAGAGTCAAGAAAGACCATGAGCTTCCATCTGAGCAGCGCCTACCACGTCTTTCTCCCGGACACCGTGGACGACGTGCACGGGGCACTGTCTCTAATATGGCTATGAAGGATCTGCTGCCACATACGAACTTGCAAGAGTTGCGGCGTAGGATAGAGAAGAGCGCTCAACTTCCTACAAATTTGGCCTTCGGAAAGCTGACCGCAACTGACGATGGATCTTTCACCACGCTCCCTCCTGAGCCAGCCGGTACGGTTTCGTCACTACCGGAGGGCTTGCCGACGGATGAGGAGGCCTCAGGAGACGAGACAACCCTACCTCCAGGTGGCACTGAGGCCCTGAAGCAAATCATAGACGATCCCGCTGCTCATGCAGCCGACGTCGTGTTCCCACACGCGACTACGAGTTCTTGGACCACAGCAGAGCTGAAAAGTTTTGTACTTCGTGTCTCCGCTTTCTTTGCCGACGATCCCATTCTCATCAAGAGCATCGCTGCGAGCGACGCTGCACTCGGCGCTACAGCTTGCAATCTAGCAAAGCGTATCGGATCCAAAATCAGGGTGGGACCGGTATGAACATGCTCTTTTGGTTTACACATGATCATGTTTATCAGCTTTTGATAATTTTCCCAGTTATTTCAGATGAAGAAGTACGACTTACTTCTGGTTGGTTGAAGCATGAGCAATGAGAATGACAGAACAAGAACATCGACCATTACTACTTAGCTTTTTACATCGAGAAGACCTCATTCCCATACGTGATTATGAATCGTTATCGTTCTATTTTTGAAAAACACAACAGAAATATGCCAACAAAATCGCGGAAGCTCTGGCAGATGTGAATGAAGTGCAACACGAGACGGAGAACAAGATTTTCGCTACATTTAAAACTTCAGACGTCTCTAAGATGCTGTCATCACCGACTTGTCCTCGAAGCAACGAGATGTCTCTACTTGCGGGCGCTGTGGCCACGGGTTCCCCAGTCGAGGTCGAGGAGATACAAGCGCTGATCAAGCAGACCTACGGCAATGGGCGCACCTTCCGCGCCCAGTGCTTCGGCAAAGCGCTTCAGACAGCCACTGCTCTGGCTATCGTCAAGGGAGGCGTTTTTCATAGCAATGGGCCTAGTGGTGCCGCGGGTGGAGGCGCTCAGGGCTCTGCATCCGAGCAGGCTGGTGGGAAAGCTTCTCCAGACGAGGAAGAGGCGGGAGGGAATGCACAATCACCAAAAGCCAAGGCCGGAGGACCAGCTTCATATTCCGTCGCACCAAGCGAATTCATGCCCGCGACAGAGGCTGCGGCCGATGCGGCCGGCGAAGCTGACAGGACTGCAACTATGCCAATAGAAGGGGACAGGTCAATGTCTAGCGCAACACCAGAGGACTCTTCTGGTACAGGTGATATCGAAGAGGCCGCCACTACACTGCAACCGCCTAGTGCTGTCGCGGAAACTTCATCTCCTTTCACGAATGGAAAGCCGGGGGCGGGGCGTGGCTCTACCCGAGCACCAGCTAATTCTAGTGCAGGCACGGGTGAAAATTTTGCAACAACAGCACAACCGCAAGCAGAGGAAGTGGGGGGCACTGCCACATCTGCATCGCCAGAAGAGAGCGTCTCTTCCGACAACTATAAAAGGGGCAGGAGCACATCATCACCACCAGGCAAGGACTTCGAAAACAAGTTTTCTGACAAGCCTGAGGAGAAGGCTGACGAGTCGTCTGACAACTCTGAGACCACAGGCACGCCAGCAGAATCCTCGCCAGAGTCTTCATCGGAAGGGCGTGCATCAACACAAGCCCCAAAGTCCAAATCTTCGTCAGAAGAAGACGTGAAATCAGGAGCGGATGACTCGTCCAATTCATCGTCGGAGATGGAAGCATCACCTTCGAAAGCAGAAGATGACAAAGCAGATGGGAACTCTGAAGCATCTGTGCCCTCATCAAAGGGGGAGGCGAAAGCAGAGGATCATAAGTCAGAAGGCAAATCCGAAGCCTCCGCGGGGCCGAAGGATGGGGCGAGAGCAGAGGATGACAAGGGAAAAACAGAAGCGGACTCCGCATCGTCTGCGGCTCCACAAGGCGAGGGCGAGGCAGAAGGTGATAAGTCGGAAAGCGGTGTCTCTTCATCTTCGAAGGACGAGGAGTCATCTTCGAAGTCGGACGGTGACAAAGCAGAAAGCGACTCGTCATCTTCGAAGGACGAGAAGTCATCTTCGAAGTCGGATGGTGACAAAGCAGAAAGCGACTCGTCATCTTCGAAGAACGAGGAGTCATCTTCGACTTCGAAGTCAGATGGTGATAAACAAGCAGAAAGCGACTCGTCATCTTCGAAAGACGAGGAGTCATCTTCGACGTCAGATGCTGATAAAGCAGAAAGCGACTCGTCATCTTCGAAGGGCGAGGAGTCATCTTCGAAGTCAGATGCTGATAAAGCAGAATCAGAAAGCGACTCGTCATCTTCGAAGGGCGAGGAGTCATCTTCGAAGTCAGATGGTGATAAAGCAGAAAGCGACTCGTCATCTTCGAAGGGCGAGCAGTCATCTTCGAAGTCAGATGGTGATAAAGCAGAAAGCGACTCGTCATCTTCGAAGTCAGATGGTGATGAAGCAGAAAGCGACTCCTCATCCTCATCCTCCTCTTCGAAAGCAGAAAGTGACAAAGCAGAAGAGGGTGATAGTGGTTCTTCCTCCTCTTCGTCATCGTCTTCGGAGAAAGAGGAATCGTCTTCGAAAGCAGATGAAGGCCACTCATCATCTCCCGCACCTTCAAAGGGAGAAGATTCGTCTTCGAAGACAGTAGATGACAAAGGAGATGAAGGTGATCGTAGTTCTTCGTCCTCGTCATCAACGTCTTCGGAGAAAGAGGAATCATCTTCGAAAGCAGATGAAGGCCACTCATCATCTCCCGCACCTTCAAAGGGAGAAGATTCGTCTTCGAAGACAGTAGATGACAGAGGAGATGAAGGTGATCGTAGTTCTTCCTCCTCGTCATCAACGTCTTCGGAGAAAGAGGAATCATCTTCGAAAGCAGAAGGCGAGTCGCCATCTGCCAGTCCTTCCAAAGAGGAAGCGTCGTCTTCGAAGGAAGAAGGTGGCAAAACAGAAGAGGGTGATGCTGGTTCTTTGTCCTCGTCATCCTCAAAGAATGAGACTGAGACATCGCCCTTTAGTACTGCAGCAGAACCGTCCGCCTCTTCAGCTTCACAGTCGAACGCAACTCAATCGAGCGATTCAGCGTCCACTTCAGCATCGAACACGACTGATGCTAGCGATTCTTTGTCCACTTCAGCATCGAACACGACTGATGCTAGCGATTCGGTGTCCACTTCAGCATCGAACACGACTGATGCTAGCGATTCAGCGTCTATTTCAGCATCGAACACGACTGATGCTAGCGATTCAGCGTCCACTTCAGCATCGAACACGACTGATGCTAGCGATTCAGCGTCCACTTCGGCATGGAACACGACTCAGTCGAACGAGTCAGCGTCCGCATCGATGACAAACAAAACTCAGGAGACCAGCCGCGCGTCGTTATCGAACGAGACTGGCACGAGTGCACCGACCTACCCATTGGCGCCACAAGAGTCTCAGTCGAGTGCGCCTTCGTATTCGTCGGCGGCACAAGAAGAGTCTGAGTCGACCAGCGCACTGTTCTACTCGTCGCGTGCTTCAGACAATAGCGGCGCTGAGGGGACTTCAGAGGCCGCTGCAGAGGCTGCGTCAGCGGAGGGGGCGACTACTGGACCAACATTAGGCAATGCGACAGATATCTCAGCGAAAGGAAGCGGCTTACAGACGACTGCAAATAGCACAGGAGTGGCTCTGAAAATAAGCAATGCCGTTTCCAATGCTGTTGCAGGAAATGGCGCGGGTAAGGGGAAAAATGTTTTGTGAAGGCAAAGGGTTGTAAACGTTGATATTGTGGCAGACAAATGATTGTCCTAGGAACCAGCTTGCTGAGATACATCTAGCGAAGTTTCGATCGTGATCATGGTAGTAAACTTTTTTATCCAGGTACAGCTGGAGCTACAGTTTACGTTTAGAGGACTATTGTCCTCGTGAAACTACAAGTTTTGTGATTTTATCTACTCCACTAAGAAACATGCTAATATTGGATCTAAACAAAATCAAGATCAACGATGAGGCAGCAGCACTAGCACTACTAACCAAACAAGAGAAAGATAATAACTAGAACTACAACTGATTCGAAATCCAAAGACTACAAGTACATTTGAACATACCTCGATTAATATACGCGCGACGGGAGCACGGGCAGCAGCAGCACCGCATTCATCAAGTCATCAGTAAGAATGTGATTGCGATCGGACGACTAACAGATGAAGATATTTGTGTTGAGAAAACAGACGCTAGGGCTAGAAGTACCGCAAAGAAGTTTTTCAGAATCGAAAGCATGTGTAAGATGTAGTTGTTGCCATTGATTTCGTTTCCAAGAAACCACGAGGTGCAGATTGTGCATGGTGCTGATTCTGTCTGGTTGCAATACTAACCGGTGTAAAGCAGGAGTACATGATCAGCATATTGATCGATGGGTACATATTTGTTAAACGTGAAAAACTGGAGTTTCATTCATGCTGGCATTCAACGAAAAACATCACGAGAAGTGATGAGGTAAAACAACCACGAAGAGGATATGGATAATCTTCACCTTCACCAGCCGTGTCATCCACACTTCTTCTAGGACGAAGAAGAAATGGATGAATGTCCTTACAATATACAAGGAGAAGTTGTGCATTTTTTGGCGGTGTGTGCATGCACTTGATAGTTGATACGGCTTCATAAATTAATGTGGAACGCGTTGCGCGTAGGCGTACAACGATAACCGTTAATTTGATGTCTACTATGATCTGTAGCGACCTGCTCCTGCTGAAGATAATTTATATATAAACTTAGAGATCTCCTCGGAGCTCGGCGGTGTTGTTTATGTTTTTTAGCGTATGCTGTAAGATGAAGTAGAAGTAGCTCGAATTCTTTGATACCTGCAATGGTCTACTTGGAGATCGGAAAGAACACAGTTGCCCGGATGCAGATGCGTCGTGCGGCGACGGGGCATATGCGAGTAAATGAGCATGGAGATGACAACTACTTTGCAGGTAGATGGCGAGAATGTGTACTTAGTCGTGGTATATATATCCTCCAGAACTTGATCGTTCGTTTAAGGCATCATTTTCCTGTACTTGTTCTCCATGCTTTTCGTTTTCATCAATGAAGAACGATATACTAAGCCGAGGAGGAGTCACCAGCAAGAAGCAGATAAGACAATCACCAGTGTGGGCTCAATCTTGTTGACTCCTTGCTGAGTCTTTCTCGGTTGAATCATCTTAAGCCCATGCTTTGGAGACTGAAACTGGTAGGCTCCCCTGCTACATAATTTCTATTCTACGAGAGCAGGGAGAGGAAGAGAGCGAGTGCATACCAAGCCAGATGAGTAGCCAGAAACAAAGCATTTTTGTTCGGTGAAGAAAATCGAGCGGGCATTTGGCAATACAGAAAGTGCAGCTCGAAAACGACAAAGGAGCTAAAATGTGTGCTAATACTTTCACGTTGACCTTCGTCAATTTAAAAAAGGGAATGAGCACAATCGAAGTGTCAATACCGTGCTCCGTAAGTGACCAGGAGGTACAGATGTAGTTCATGGTCTCTGTTCCTTGATAGGATTTTTCACTAGATATCTACTTACATACTTAGGTTGAAACAGCTACACCTACAGCTCCGATCGGTAGATTCGAATAAAAGAAAGAGAAGTGCAGTTCTTCCGCTGAACTGAGAATACTCCCATTTGGGAGCAGCGGCCTCGGACGAGTAGTGGCGCAACCGGCGGACGAGAATGGTGGCGAAGAATTCTCGGAAGAGTTGTGGTGCTACTGTAGGAACGAAAGCCTACAATATTTCAAGCAGTATGCAGATGTTGTCCACTCGTCGACGTGCTTTTGCCACGAGAAAGGCAACGCGAGAACCACCAGCTTCAAAATCTTCTACTTCCAGAAAGATGCTGGTACGCCTGGGACTGCTTTCCAGTGGTGCCGTGCACCAGATGTTGGCAGTTGACGGTCTCTCAGTCGGCGTCGGTGTCCGAACTTCTAGCACAGCAAGAAGAAACATGAAAACGGCCTTCAAGAGTACTAGACAGACGCCGACCGCGTCACCACAAGCGGCGGCAATATTGTCGACTAGTACGACGCCCATTCCGGGAACGGAGGTAGTTGAAGTCGATACGGGAATTCTGCCACGTCGTTTAGCAGCTGAACTCGGCAAAGAAGACAGTTTTCCGAACTACGTGGGGCAACTGATCACAAGCGGCAACTTGATTACGGCTTGGTGGATTATCTTCTTGTACGTCAGAATTTAACCAATGCATTGCGGCGATTGGTCTATTATATTCGAAGTAGATTGTCTTCGAGTACAACTTCGTGTTCATCTAAAAACTTTTTGTAATTGTTCTACAAAAATAATTTTGATTAATCATCGTGATCGTGTCGTCAACAACATGAGAACCATTAACCAACCAAGAGCAAAGCCAAAGATTCACTCGTCTTGAAGACATCACACTGATTCTCTTTGTCTAATCCAACGACTGTCCGAACCAAGAGCATCGAGTTCATGCAGGACCAGAAGATGCGGGACCACATGAGCAGGCTGTTGCGCGAAGACGCTGCGTTTCTCAATATCGTTCGTCATAAGCTCACTCCATTCGTCACTGCTGCGCTGGCGAAAATGCAAGGTCAAATGGGCTTCGAGACCATGATCCGCACTGTCAGAGAATCAGTTGCTTCGAAGGTACTTACTTATTATTCGTCTCCAATTTCCTTATCCTCTTTTTCACATTACTTCTGTTCCTGCTGTTGTTGATCTTCGATCGCTTTATGTAGATGTACTTCTTCACCTAGCTCCTGCTGCGCAGCAGCAGCTAAGCGTCTACATGAAAATAACTAACTAGTTCGTTAATATCCGGTCCCAGTGGTCATGTGCATATCCAATTAAAAACTGCTCCTTAGTCCTATTTTTAGGTGGCGAATTCGACTGCATTTCAAGGAGACATTATCGATGTGCTTCATGCGGTAAAACAGAAGAATCAAGGTCAAGTTGTAGCGGCTGGAACGACAACATTCATGCAGAAGTCAGCGATGAGAACGCGCGGTGGCTATATGCAACACTTGTCGCGACAACATGGACGTAAAATCGATGTGGATCTCGACGGTCCACATGTTGAGATGCTGACTATGGACGATGCTGTTCCAGGTCAAATTGCACCATCGCCTCTTTCGGTTGTAGAACGATCGTGGAAGCCTACAACAAGTGGCGCTGCTAAAGCCAGCAAAGCAGGTGCAGCAGCACCTACGAAGAAGATGAAGAAAGCAACGAAAAAGGAGCAGGAAAGTGCAAAGAAGCGGCTGGCGCTTGCGCTAGATTCTTCGACCAAACAAAAAAGTCGTAGTGTAAAGAAGCAGGAACAACAAGCAGTGGATGGGAGGAAAGCACCTTCATCTAGTTCCGCTGATACCAATAAAAAGTCCTCTGCTATGAAGGGTGGCAAGAACATCAAGAGGGGAGAGATCAGAGATTCTGTAATGATGAGCAAGCACAAGAATGCTGCAACATCAGTTGACGCCAAGAAGACGAACAGCAAGAAAAAAGACAGCAAATCGTCCTCTGCTTCCACCTCCGCCAAGATGATCAACAACGACAAGAAAAAGACCACAAAATCGACTTCTGCTTCTTCTTCTTCGAAAACCAAGAGCACCATCAAGAAGAAGGAACTTGCGAAAGCCAAAAGTCCGATGTCTCCGTCAATCCTCGAGAAATCGAGCAGGGCCTTGACACTTTCGGTAGAGCAGGAAGCAGCAGCCTGCACGACCAGCAAGACAGCCGTAGCGGTCCTAGGTTCCAACGCCGTAGCTCAGAAGAAGCAGGAAACCAGCAAAGCCGAGAAGCGCCTGCACGAAACGGAGCAACAACTCGCACTACTGCGTCAGAAGATTCTCAGGAGCGTGACGGAGTCCTTCAAGCGAAAGGCGCAACTGAATGCGAAGCTGCTTCATACGAGTACAAAGCACGAACAGCGAGCGGTCGGTCAGGAGGACAAGGAGACAGGAGTCGCTGCTGGAAGTGGCGCAGCAAAATCCGACGAACAAGTCAAGAAGTCTTCCTCTTCTTCTTCTAGTAGCAGTAGCGAAGGAGAAGCCTTCTCGGCATCTGCATTGGCTGCTTCAGTGCAGGAATCGATGGACAAATTAGTGCAGGGTCCGGGAGGAAATTCCACTGTTGCATCAGACACTTCCACTGGGCCAGTACCACTGTCCGGAACAGCTGACATCACTTCTTTCGTGGAAGGCGTTCAGAATGTACTCCTTGGAGCCCCAGACGAAGTCGCCAAAAAAGCCGGTAACGCTGTCGCAGATTATGGCCAAGGATGGACTAATATTAATACATAGATTACTCAAGTACAACTGATGAAAGAAATTAAGATTGGGAAGAACGCGATTACTTACAAGCTGATCATGATTTTTTGATGTTTATTGTTGTTTTTGTACACCTTTTTAATTCGAACTCGCTCTGTTTCTTTTGTATTCCCACACCCTCTACGGCCTCTCGCTCGTGCTCCTTTCATTGACCGGACACGCAATACAACTGGCTCAACGACATGGGCAAGGCATTGGCAGAAAACCGCACATTCACGCACACCTTATACGATATCATGCAAAATGATCAAGAATTCTTAGACAAGCTTCTGGCAGAAGACGAATACACAGAGTTCATGATCGGGGCATTGAAGCGAAAGATTGAGGAAAATGTACTAGAAATTTCCCACTTGGTTGAAGATGATTTGAATGTATTCGGCAACGTGTCTAAGGTTCCACTTTTTTGGTACTTTCATCTTTGTTTTCACCAACGAGAACGAGGACGAAGAACATCTTCATGACACTTATCATGTTTGTTTTCGATAGATAGAATTCTCATATTTTCTTCTTCACTCACCTCTACTGAGACCTGAGTCCACCTCATCGTTCCCCAATATCCAGATCTGCAACACCCGCACTGCCGCTGATCGCATCGCAGATTTGTTGTCGGCGGGGACACCTGGCCTCTCAGCTATGTTCTCTCAGTCGTCCTCATCGGCACCTTCGTTGTTCTTGCAGCAGGGATCCACGAGTGAAAAATTGAGCGAGATGGACGCGGAAGTGAAAACCGAAGCTGATGCGGAGAATGAGGCCGAAAATGAAGCGGAAAATGAGGCAGAGACGGAAACCGAAGCTGATGCGGAGAATGAGGCAGAGAAGGAAATGGACGCCGAGTCGGAGGAAACGGACAGGAGTGAAGCTGAGGAGGATCTGGAAGGTTCTGCGTCTGTGGATGATCAGGGGAGTGGCGCTGGTTCATCTTCTACCGAGGACGAGCATAGAAGTAGAAGTACCTCGTCTTCCAGCAAGAATTATGTAGTGAAGAAGCAAAGCAGCACTCGCGGCCACGCGCAACGCACAGCTAGTACAGCTGTGGGCGAAAAGAAGACAGGGAGCGCTGAGGAGAAGGCCGATAGCGACCAAGGACGCGCGTTGAAGGGCGACGAGTACGGTGATGATACTCTCTTCAACTCCGGAGACGACGAGGACATCCCGGAAATGCGACAGATCCAGCCGCGAATGAACACAACGGCGTTCAACGTGATGGGTGGCAGCAGCCTTCTCAACCTGCTCGCCCTCGACCAGCAACAGCAGGACGTGAGCATCACGGGCGGCCATCTCGTGGTCAGTTTGGACGAGCAGAGGCGTCTTCAGGCGGCGATGAATGGGGATGACACGGGCTTGTCGAGCGCGTTCGAACACACCCTAGGAATCGCTCTGCTACTCAACGAGGGCTTTTTGAAGACGGTATTATTGACGGAAAAACTACTCGTTTTTGTTTGTTGACCATGACTAGGTCTAGATGAAATTGAAAATAGTACTTACAAGTAAATCAAGAACTACATGATCAGTAGTTTATTCCACTACAAGTACAACTCCATCAAAAGTTATGATCTCGAAGCCTTCTAGTTTTAGTTTTAAATCTTAAATTTAATTGTAGCTCCTAAGTTGCACCTACAACATCAAGATTCAGGTAGTGAAATACGCGCAATTAAACGTACTGGATCGACCGCTGGAGCTTGGTTTGCCTTACAGAGAGGACTTAGCCGAGGCAGTGGCCGCAAACGTGACGATTCAGGGTATGGCAGCAGGGAGGCTGAGCACGGGAATCGTAGCCGGACTCGATGGCTTGGTCGATGAAATCGTTTCCAAGTTTTTAGCGGATGACGAAGTGCTGATCAATGTCACATCCCGACTCGTCGGATACAGCGACGCCGGTTCCCACTAATGGGCTAGAGCCTCCGGAGGTGCTCGGTAATAGGACAATCGTGCGAGGGAGGAGTTTTGATTTAGAACATCTAGGTCTAGATCTAGTAAGGAGTCAGAAATCGATTAGGATGAGTATTTTTGTAGGTTTCTAATTAGAATAACTTGATCATCATGCCGTAGCCCTTATAACCCAGTGATCTGAAATTGGTAGATAGAAATAAGGACAAACATCTTCACCGAGCAAAACATTGACAACGAGAACGAGGACATTGACAAAAAGGTGCTATGGGAGTCATGGTGACGTTAAGATAAACGACGCAACTCCTAGTCCATCCCAAGGATGCACTTCCTGTTAAGTAAGTTTTTGCGTTGTTTATGTGGGAACTTTTACGCTTGTATAGACGTACGAAGAATTGACGAAACTGTTCCGTTATTTAACTATGCCTATGGTCGAAGTGGAAATCGAAATGTCAAAACAAGAAAAACAATATTAACATAGATATTCTTCCTTGCATAGGTTTTCGATGCTACAAAAGACTACTAGTTTCATTAATAATCGACGTTGTGTCTGTACTAAGATCGATTTTGGACGACAGCAACTTGTTGTATAGAAAAGTGAGAACATGCACAGCGTTTCGAAGATCTGGTAAAACCGTCTGTCACGACCACACCGACATAAAATTATAATGTAAGATAGTCGTTTTGGTTTTAATATTCTAGGAAGCTAAATGTGCAAAAGAAAAAACGCATATCGGAATGTGAATATGTTGTCTTTCAACTTTGTACTACCAAGTAAGGATCAAGAACAGAAGAGCGCATCCATGGAAATGTCTTCCGAGTCAAGTATCAAAATCCTCCTCGAAGCAAAGCAGTCGTCACTTTTCTCGAGGACGACACAGCAGAACAATCGGAACAACATGCGCAGCAGCTGATCACGTACAAGCTGCATAGCCAGAAGAAGCGATCATGAAGAAAAACCCTTCATCATCTTCGCGCGCTTCTCCTCCTGGACGACACTCCTTCCACCCTCTCCCTCAAATTAGTGAAAGCAAACCGAAAGAAACATTGGCCCCCGCGCCTCAATGTAGCCACATCTCCAAAGAAACGAGCCCATTGGGTTTGCCAAAATTGCTGCAATAGAAGCAATAGGTACACGTAAGTACTTAACGCTTCGTTACTAAAAACGAAAAAGAATATGTCGATGCGTGGTGCATACAAAAGTGAGCTTGAGCTTGTGCCCTGGAAAAATAGAAGGAGATTGTTGAGGTTGGGATCGTATTAAGGTTAACTAGTCTACAAGTCAGTATGTCAATATCTTTTGGTGCACTGGTGGGATGATGTGTTGAAATGAGATCCCTTGTGCAATGTTTTTGTTGTCGCACTAGCAGCATGATAAAATGGAGGTAGCTGCGCGAGAACCGATCGTGCTGAGTCGGCATGGTGGTGCGAGGCAGGATCTTCGTCTTGTGCGAAGAAGAAGTAGGAGACTAAGAAACCTACATCTAGATCTAGTAAATGCACAAGGACAAGACAGACGAGGAAGTGTCAGAGACGGCAGGACAAGTAGAAAGTCCTCCGTTCTTACAATACCATCGGCAATGAGGATGGGACGAGATATTGGATTAGACCCTGGCTCAGGCGCGACTTGTTGTAGCATCTCTAGGAGCACAGCGAGAAGAAAAAGAAGTAAAAGAAACCGTCCAGTAACTCGCACTTCTTCTAGTAGAACAACTTCATCGGTTTGCTCGGGGATCGTACTCGGAGTACTGCGTCGTTGTGCGGTGATGGAAGCAGCTCTTCTCCTGACTACATTGGGTGGGGGCGCAGCTGCGACAGTAGTACAAGGATCGCTGGATCTCGTCCCAACCACGACAGCATCGCATCGACCGCATATAATCGTGCGGCCCCAACCAAAACGGAGGATCGGTCGCGATGGTCTTGACTCTCTTTCTCAGGTGCGAACATTGGAACAAGCAGAAGGTGATCACGATGATGTCGATACCGAAGGGGACCACGCTGCTGGGCATGCTCATGACGATGATGACGTGATGTTCGTAGCTGATGAAACATCTTCACCAAGGCAGAAAAGTAGAGGTGCGCATCGGAGTAAACCTTCGTCCTCAGCAGAGTGGTCATGGGAAGTCAAGAAAGACGAGCTTGGCGCCGCTTCCAGTTCCAGCAAAAAGACTGCAAGAAATGCTGTGCGGCATATTTCTTCCAAGACGAGACGGAGGAGCAACGTGCGGCATGCAAAGACTAAGGGACCAGCAGTAGCTGAAGCTGCAGCGGTCCAAATGCAACCCCGCGGACGTAGCTTTTCAAGCGATCAGCGCCCTCACAAAGGCAACTTGGCAGATGGCATAGCTCCTCATTTAGATTCATCTCCTACGGGTGACCGAGATCGACGAGTGGGCGCAGTAGGCCCCATTCTAAGCGAACTTGACGGTTCCTCCATCGGTTCTGAGAAAACTTCTTTGGACGATGTTGAAAGTAGCAGAACTTCACCTGAGCAGCCAGAGATGATGTACGAGCAGGAAAAAAACAATCAGCACAAAAAGTCTTCGTCTTCACCCTTTTTGGTCTCTTCTCTACTTCATCCGCTGGGCCTGGAAACCGTCTTCTCCAGTCTTTCCTACGGTCTTCGAGACATGCTTCAAAGTGACGATGGCAAGCAGGAGGACATCAAGCAGAATGAGCAGGCGCAAGTAGAAGCGGCTGGTGCCGCCCTCTCATCGACGACCCATACGGGGAGGACAGGTGCTTCATCAAGACCCGAGAGAAACGCTGCCGCCTCTTCCGTCCTGCTAGAACGCAGTGAAACGCAGGATGAGTACGACGATGAGGAGATTCTCGATGAGCTTGAGAGTCGTGTGCAACGAGACGAAGAGGAGCTAGCGCAGTTCCGTAAAAAGCATCATCTTGTTCAGAACGATCGGATGAAAACTCAGAAGCATACCGCTGGAAGCACTACTTCCATCATCTTTTCGAAACCTTCGTCCTCCTCTTCTACTCCTCTCAGTCGCGGGGTGGTCGCCGATAACGGCGTCCCTGCGTCTGAGTCTTTTAGGGCATCAAACCGAGGAGCAAGACGAACGAATTCAAACCTGTTACCAGAGGAAGTGGAGGCTGGAGTTGCAGTAGGTCTGTTTTCTAAAGAGGATCATGAACATCAAGACAGCGCGACGTTGAGTAGGCGCATGAAAAAGGGCCATGACAGAAGGAGAAACAGGACGAAGAGTAGTAAAAACAAGTCTGGTGCGGAAGAACACCATCAGGACGTGGTGGATGATCATGTAATAATTCAGAAAGCCTCCGCGGCGCCCGTACCTGTGGAACTGAGCAACAATCAGAATCACAACCATGATCCTAACCAAGTAAAAGTAATCTTCGAAAAATCCGGTGCATCTCAAGAACACTATGTCGAACTCGGACATCAGAACAGCAAGCGCAGTACCACCATGCGGACGTATGTCACTTCCGAGGCGCCACTAGAGGCGCCACCGGATGTTCCGTATCACTTGCCTTCGCAACAGAACCTCATGCGAGTTGTGAGTGATGCACCGAAAGCTTTCATGGATTTCGTTTCAAACGGCTTTGCAAGCATTCACGCATTTTTTTCAGATGATGTGGACGCTTCTTCGGAGGAGGATGTTGACGTGGAGCAGTCTAGCACACCTGAAGATGATACTAAGCAACCTACTACAACTAGCGACGAGGACGACGCAACTGTAGTAAGAAAGGTCATCAGGAAAGCTTCTGGTGTTATATCCAAAAAAACTTCTACAGCATCACGAAGTAAAAGCAGACGAGCAAAAAGTAACGGAGATAGGGTTTTGTTTGATGTAGCTGACGGGAACGATCTTGTTCGCGACAAAAGCCAGTCGTCATCTTCCAATAGTGATAGAGTTGTGCTTGGTGTCGGCGAACAAGAAGAGGGGCAAAAACGGCAGAAAAAGGCAGCGTCGCACAGAATTGTGTTCGATTTCGATGCCGGAAAAAAGGAACATCTTCAGACGAGAAGCGCTGTAACACCAAATCACCACCAAAATAAGCAGCATCATGAGCATCTTCATTCTGTTCACGCTGACGATGGAAACCTAGCCGCGGGGCACAAGAAGAACACTAGAGAGAAACAACCGCAACTGGAAGATCAGGGCAAAAGCGAAATTCAACTTCTGCGTGACGATAATCTTGTCACGGTCGCCGAGCAAATGCAGTCGCAGAAGGACCACGGCAACGAGGAGGAGAAAGCAACTTTGACGCCCACAACAACGTTGTCGGACGTCAGGCAGATGCTGGATAGTAAACCGTCGTACGCATTAGATGGTGCACTTTCAGCCATCGACACAGGACTAGCACCACACGAAAAACGTGGACCGCTGGGACAGTTGTCGTCCGTGATTCCTAAGATCGATTTGTTCGAGAAAAGCCGTAGCGACTCTAGCACGACGGAAAACGAGGATCATAATTTCTCTCCTGCTGAAGAGGATGTCAACACCCAAAATAAACTGATGTCCGCTGCTGTGGCCTCCACTGCAGCTCTTCTGCACACGCATCACCACCGCGCTGACTCAGCAGGTAACGCTAAGCATGCAGGTGCAGGTCATGGGCTACAAATCAATCTCCAGGAAGTACACCACAGCGATACTAGCGAAGACAATAAAAGCAAACCGACAAGAGGAAGGCAACATCAGAAAATCAACCTGCACGAAAACGAGTACGAGGCTGCGGCACATCTTCGCGGTGAAACACGTGAGCAGGTTAAGGGAGCAAGTGCTACCACTTCTACCAGCGATGAAGAAGCTACAACGGATAGCGAAGGCGTCTATCTCGCTGGATCCGGCGTGGACGAGAATGAACCGTACTTCCACAATCAGGATGACTCTTCCGTGTTGGACCTCTTCAATAACGAAGAGCATAGTACCAGCAAGACGCTGGCGGAGCAAGCTGCGATTAGTCTGGCGAAGAGTGACGACTTCATCAACCAGGTTGCCGCCAAATTGCAGTTCGTGCATGACTTGAAAGATGACATCGCCACTGACAAGGAGTTCTTTCTTTTTGTGGTGGAACAATTGAAAACGAGTCACCTCTTTCACGAACTAGTGCAGTGGAAAGCGCGAAACCACATTGCCGACAAGATCCGGTCTATCTGGAAGCCGTTCTTAAACCGGCTGGCCTTCCGCGTTGCTGTTGGGGTATTCAGCACATCGTCATGTTGTCTAGTACTGCACTCTGCGAGCAGCGTTGGGAAGTGTAAAAGATATCAATATCTTTATCATCAACTACATTTACTTCAAGAACAGGGTTGGCGCTGTTGTACATCGATGCATTCATCTTCTAACTTCAGCTTTTTTTTTGAGGAAGACTTTCTTTTTGTCTACAATGAATCTTCAGATCCATGACTCCGATTCGTGGGCCGAGACCATGACAGCAGGATTTTTGGGTCTTCCGACCACAGGCGACGAGGTGGCTACGATCGCTCCAGAATCCTTTTTTCAAACCCATTTGGAAAATTCGGTTAGCGAATATCACAGAGCCAAAGCACTGGGACGCAAGATGAATGTTGACAAGCAACGTGGTCGTGAGGATGCGCACCGTTCGAGGTCTTCGGATACAAATGTGATGTCTACGTCTAGTACGCAGTCCGCGTCGGAGTCAGATGAAAATATCTGGCCGTTTTCGAATTTGCCGATTCTTCCGAATGCGTTCGGCGGATCGACAGGTGCCATCGAGAGCTCGTCTAGCGCGAACAAGAACAAAGCTGATCAAGAAAAATTCGATCTTGCGATCAGCGGAGGACAGGCGCAACATCAGCCTACATCTTTTTATCCGTCAGGTTCGCGCTCCCCCGTGGTTGCAGCAGTGCCAAAGGCAGCCACGACCTCTTCTAACAATTATCCAGAACAAGCCACTTTGCACGAAGCGCAACTGCGGCAGTTGAACGCCGCGGCAGCCAAAGAAGAACAGATGGCTATGAATGCAGCTGCAACGGAAGCGAACGAAATCCTGCGTGGTTCCACAATTGACAAAGCCATCCAGAACAGCATGAGCACTGCGGTAGATGAATCAGCGACGGGCGCTGGTAAGGCTGACACCCAAGAGTTGACCAAAACTGAACGCGTAAGAGAGCGGTTGGTGGCTTATGTTCACGGTATAAAAAAAGAAGCGGCTAATTAGTAGAAGCAGCTAGCGTCGACAGACCACTCACAATCCAACAACAAGCTAGACTAGCGGGTAGAACTCGTCTGGGAAATCTTAGGCAGCTCGCCGAATAGATTCAATTCATCAATTAGTAGCTATTGTTTAGATTGTAGTTGATAGTTGTTCTCGTTGGCCATGTGAGTTCCGTCGTTGAGTAGTTTTGCTTACTTCTTTTCCTTGTCCTGCTTCTTGTGCGTGTCTTTGTCGTTTTGTAGAAAGATGGTGTAAGTAAAAAGTGATTTATAGTGAATGATTTTCCCCTTGGCATTTCATCTCGGTGTCCACTTCATGATTAGCAGATGCGCAAATCGAAAGCAAAGGCGAAGCAGAATGGAATGCAACGATTGCGCTTGGAGACGATGCAAAACGCGGCGGCGGCGGCGGAACCGAACAAATTTGTCAGGACCGTTGCCCGGCTGATCGAGAAAATAGGCGAATCTGACAGCTGGGACGCTAAAAAATTTCCTGCGAGAGTTGCTTCGAGAATCGAGCATGTCTCAGGCTTTGCCACGAACCTGATGAGCGTCGCGTCTAAGAGAAAAGCTTTCGTCGAAAAGATCTCTCATCAGGTACGAAAGTGATAATGAACATCATCATCAACATCGTGAACATGAAGATGAGTTGATGACCATAGTACTAGTACTAGATCGTGAAGTTGTTTTTTGAGCACCCAATTTTCTTGAGTTTGATTAAATTTACAGTAAACAGCGAACAAGTTGGTCTTCCCGGCCCCGTCGACCGAGACGATGATGAATCCTCAGCATCCATCAAGGCGATTTTAGAATTTCTTTCCCATTACAATACCACGACAGCTTGAAATCACTCCGGAGTTTATCGAAAAGGCGATGTTGGATCCGGTCTATCTGAACGTGATCGCGGACACGCTGAAACAAGAGGTGAAGTGGCGAGTAGGCAAAAGTCGCGAATTGGTTTCCATGGTCACGACTCTGGGAGGCCTAATTGAGGGGCGGCATATGCTCACACTGCATACGCGCAATGGAACCATCGATGATCGCATTTTTTATGAACGCACGATATTTGATAATAATGCTCTAGCGACTAGCTCTAGCTCTAAGGTTACTTAATGTGGTACAGTGCAGCCGGGCCTTTCTGTTTCTAATGTTTGGTAGCACGTTCGCAAGTTGGCCCGTTGGAAGACTTCGTGCAACAGAAGGCGACGTGGTTGCGCACACTTGACGGTACTGGCGTCTTAGACCACGCGACCTACGAAGATGGGGCATTTCAAGGGGTCCACGTCCATCCCTCGAGACAACCACCACCCTATTTTATGTCGAGTTTCTTCAGTAACAGGAACTGGAACGGTGACTACAGTAAGACTAATTTTGGATTTGTTGATGCTCACCCACCAAACATTGTGCTTCAACTTCGTCTTCGATCTTTTCGTTGTTGCACTTCGATTTGAAGGCTGGTGTAACATAGTGCCTACAACGAACGTCAAACTCAATGAATCCAGTTGTTGTAGTTGTTCGCTCAATTTTTCTTATAGAAGTAGCTAGACACAATAGCTACTAGTACTACTTGAACTTGCGCTGGGCGGCTCTAAGAGTGTGCGTTCTCATTCGGAAGGGACCTATCACCCTGGTATGGAGGACCAGGAATTGCCCGATGTGGTGGATTTGGAGACGTGGAAGCGAGTCCAAAACTCAGCCCCTGGGAACACGCGTGCCTCGCTACGGGTGGTGCGTGGCCCAAACTGGCGCTGGGAACAACCCCTCGACGAGCTCACAACCGCTGACAAAGAACAGATTCGACATCACCCCAACGAGATAGTAGGGGGGAGTCATGGAACCACGGTAGGAGGATCTGGAACTATTGGTGGGGGAAAGAGCGGGAGCAGTCAGCACATTGTTCATGATCATCACCATCATCACCACCACCACCATCATCACGAGGACAGCGACAGGCAAGATGAACAGGAAGATCATGCTGACGAAGGTCATCAGGAGGAACGCAGCGACGATGAACATGATCCTCTACATGTTCATGAAGATGACCATGACGGAGATGGACACCGCGATGATGACGATAACTTCTTCTACGATGAACAAATTGCTGAAGAAGCAGTTGATCCTAATCACATTTCCTCGCACGCTTCGTCGTCTGCCAAGTCAGGATCGGAGTCGTCCTCTTCCTCTCTTGTAGGTGGGACAGGAGAAGACACGGCTGAGTCGAGAGGGGCCCAAGAGGTTACCGAAACTGGCGCGTCAGCTGCACACCATCATATAACGTCCGGAACTTCAGGAACATCATCTGTCGCTCCTGCACCCACCAGCACGTCTGGACCAAGTACAGCGTCTGAAACCAACAGCGCACACCAAACACGAACAGCCAGCTCGGGCACCGCCCAAGCTCAGGAAGTGGAGAGTAAGAAAAAAGCAGGGGGGACCCAGGAGCAGGCACCGAGGGCTTACAATGGAGCAGGGAGCACGGCGAAGCAGCAGAGGGATGTCGCGCAGGGAATAGTACCTCCACAGAAGGAATTCAAACCTGCCGGAACAAGGGGGGTGACTGCGGGGGGGAGGTGGTCGGCAGCTCCAGGTACACAGAAGAATGAAGGATCAGGTTCTCAGAGTTCGTACATGGTCCCCAATGCAAAGACGTTGCGCGAGTTGGAGCAGAGACACAGTCGCGCACAATCCATGGCTACGAGCCACCACGCGCTGGATACGAACGCGTGGGCCCAGCGCACGCGAGGTACCCGGCTGGCGAAAGGACGCAGTAGAGAAAGACACCACAAAGCACAGATGAGGGAGTTCAGATGGAGCAGGCCAGGAGCGATCCCAGATCGGCTCACGACTGACCAGCTGAACGGAAAGGCGAGCAAACTTCCCCGTGCTCCTCGCCGTGATCCGACTGGGTCGTCGCTGTTACGGACTACTGCGCGGAGCAAATCAGGTCGAACACAGCAGTCTAGGCGCGGCGCTGCATCCCGTGGTCCTGGTCGTCGTAATGGGTCAAGAAATAAGTTTCAACGGCAACGTCCTAGAGATAGGACTAGGGGAGGACGACTTCAGCGAGATTCGATGCATGTCAGCCCCGTTGTCGCGCTCGCCGACAAGGGCAGACAGCCGCAGACGTACAAAGGTGTGGCGCTAATGTTTCTGCAAGAGCGGGCCGAAGAAGAATTGTCAAGTACAGCAGCCCACGGGGCATCGTCAGCTGCAGAGGAAGACGAGTCGGCTCGATATGCGCAGAGTGCTGAGAAGAAGTATAGGAATAAGAACAAGGATCATCAGACTCGTGAAAACATCGATTTTTTGACGACACTTGCAAATGAGAATGACGGAAGCATCGATGTTTCGCTCATTTCCCAGACGTTTCAGGACTCGCTCAGTGATTTACTCGCGCATTCCCGAATTCTACGCCTTCAAGTGCTGATGCACGCCGTACACGATGCGACAACCACGCCACAACAGAGAGCGGAGAACGGTGAGCTTGACGACTCGATGAGCTCTAGTACACGCGAACTGAAGATGCTGGCTGCGAACGAGACTGGAGTCGCAGCTGTGTCTACCGAGCCCACCCGTACATGTGCGAGCTGGTCAGAGTATTTGCACTGCCTTTTCGCGGGTAGCGACTCGGCAGCTGCTGTTGCGGAGGAAGAGGAATCTGCATCCGCGGACGCTGAGGTGGTCGAAACACGTGAAGAAGCGATGCCAACTTTGGCGGTTGTGTCTCGGAAAGAGATGACACCGGGACATGCAGACGATGCAGCAAGGGTCCAGCAAAAGCCTAACAAGCCACTCTCAGGTCCTCAGGAAGTTTCGCTCGCTCGACTGCAGCAAAAATCCGGCTCCCAGTTTAGGGATTCCGGCGTGCCGACAGCTGTTAGTGTCTTGCACGCGCTGAACGATACCTTTGTGCAGACGGTCGGCGAAATGATCGCAAACAGTGACGTCGTACTGAACAAGGCGGCTGCCAAAATCAAAACGCTGCTCGAAGGTGACCCGACCGTGGTCAGCACCCTCGTAGACGAGATGGTTGAGGAGGAAGCCGCGTCGCCACAATTCTTGCACTACGTGATGGCCAGTCTGATTGATCCCGACTTCGACCTGTCGAAGCACGGCGGGTACTTCAAGCGCGACTTTGGCGGTGTCGGCGGCTCCAGGCCGGGCGGAGCCTCCGAGTGGTACCCACCGCCTTCGCGGCGCAACAAAGAGAAGGAAGAAAGGATGATTAAAGACGACGGCGAACAACTGGAGGGCGCGGAGCAGACGCTACGAAATGCAGACCCTGACGAGACGAGTCAAGATGCTGACCAAGATGACGACGCGACTTCCACAAACACTAGGAGCACAAGCGAAGATGACGCGACAACATCTCTAGCAGAGCGCAAAAAGCGACAAAGTACAACTAGTTCCAAGAGAGCTAATCGTAAAAGTAAACGGAAAGTCGCAGATGCTGGCGTCGGGGAGCTGTCAGCTCAAGAGCAGCTGGAACAGATGAAAAAGGAGAAGAAGAGTGGTCCACGTCCTGTCAGTACCGAACGCGAACCGTCGCTGGTGCATCTTTGGACCGATTTTCGGGACAAATCAGGTCACGTCGTGCATGAAGAAAGTTCTGATACAGGGGCTAATCATCATAGTGCTTCGTCTTCGTCTTTTTCTTCTGAACGACTCCAAAAACTGCACTCATTCTCGTCATCGCCTCCTCAAGTCTCGCTGGTGAGCTTGCCGCCGATACACAAAATCAATCCGGACCGCGCTAAGCACGTGGCGGAGATCGTGCAGCGCAGAATCGCGGAGCAGAATGCGCGCGCAAGGAAAGTTCATGCGGAACACCGGCAAGATCAAGAGGAACAATCGAAAGCTGCATACGGAGATCGAAAAGACGAAGAAGCATCATCCTCGTCGAAAACACAACAAAAAGATCAAGCAGCTACATCCAAGCACGATGCTCAACATACTGCACCGGCATCATTGATATCTACGTCTCGAACAACTGTATCACGGACACCATGGTCCTCATCTCTGTTCGATCCGTTTGGTGAGCACCACCACGTTCTGGCACACGGCGCGAAGCAGAAGCTATGGAAGACCGGTGTGGACTCGGCTCGCGCGGCCCGGGCCCGTGCTGAACAGAGGCTAGAGCGACTGCGAACGTCAACACCGCCGAATCACGATCAGGATCGACAGCCACCTCGACCAGAGTTGGAGCCTGATGCGCGCGGCCATGCGAGAATGGTTGGAGGTCCTGAGAAGTATCACATCATGCGTGGAGGCGGTGAAGACGATGACATCGATCCTATGTCGCTCGTCGAGCAAGAAACCGAGTTGCAGGCGCGCCGACCAAGAACATCTTCGTTTGTAAACCCTTTGGACGAGATGGCGGACGCAATCGACCGACAGGACAAAGATGCCGACGATGAGACAGACTTCATGGATTCTGGTTCCATTGTCTCTGACGACGACACAGTAGAGTCCTCGCTGAGCAGCGAGGACAACGAGAATGGAGCCAACGGCCTTGCGCTGAATACAATTACCAGTCGAGCATCAAAGAGCGAGCTCGGTGATGTCGATGATGAGATGATGAAAACGCTTCAAAAAGAAAACACGGCTTTACGATCACTGGCTACTGGGGAAGACTCTTCGGGTGCATCTAGATCGACGAGAGAAGGGGAAGTCGGTGCAGGCTCCACGACAGCAAAGACAGCCGCGAGATCCCATCATATCCAGATGCTCAACGAGGGAGCTCAGAGACGAGTTGGTGGTGATCAAGAAGAGGAGGACACCACAGCCTACTCTTCTGATTCTTCTGCATCTTCATCAACTTCTTCAGAGAACGAGATCATGGAGGACAATTCTAGTGGAGGTACCACAACAGCGATGAGCGTGCTGTACCAAGGTGTGTGTGAGGGACACGAGGACGATTGGGATGCCAACAGCAAGCCCGTTTGGGCATCACATTGGGATAAGGACCCAAAGGAGGACGGCGGCAACTGGCGAACCTGCATGCCAGACGTTGGCTCAACAGCCCACTGTTTGGATGTCTGTTATGCAATGCGAGACTGTCAACAGGTCGTCGTCACAAAAAACGGATGCTGCTACCCCTTCAAGGGCCAGACGTGTGAGAATTCACGCTTTGCCAAAACTGTAGCCACGGCTATCGTCGGCACCAATCCTCTCACGCGCGCGGCAGCTATACAAGAACGAGCGGCCAAGAAGAAGCTAGAAGCACAACAGGGCAGCAAGAATACTTCAGATAGTGATGCACCCGTGTCCTCACCGGTCGCATCTTCGTCTGTCATTAATGCGGGGAGCGCTTCATCTCCTTCGATGTCCTCTTCAGCATCGTCATTTACCAAAGAGGATGAGTTAGTCGATGTAAAGCCAAAGCAAGCAGATGATGCAGAGGCATCAACTAAAACGAGTGGTGAGCGTGAGGGCGCTACCTCACAGAAATCTGACAACGCTGCAGAGCAGGAAGACGAAGATGACGTTGAGGAAATGGAGGAAGACGATGAAGATGCCACAGAAGTAGAACAAGAGGAAGGGATTGTAGGACTAGATCAAGGAAATAGTGCTAGTGCTCAAACTCGCGGAGGTAGGCAAGACGCTGATCATGATGCTATCAGCTCTTCAAGATCCACGCGGAGAAAACATAACATGAGTTCTCATGCCGAATCTTCTTCGTCTGAGTCATCAAGCGAGTCCTCTGACTATAGAGGCGCGCTCGAGATAATCGATGATCCATCATCACCATCTGCTTCCGGCGTTACAACTCCTGCAGATGATTCTGTTGAGAATTATCATGACGCTCAAGCGATGAATAGAAGAACTAGTCGGGAAAGCTCCACCGATTCTCAGCAGCAGGATAAGGCTTCCAGCAGTGACAAACATGATCACAGTAGGAAAGACTCATCGCCGTCTCTGTCATCAGTAATCTACAACTGGATCACGGGAGGGGGAGGAGCGAAACGAGACGGTTTCTCGCTTGCGGAAGTAAACCGGAGAAGCACGTCTCAGGTGGCGGCGCTCTTCGATGGAGCTCATGGTCGGCGCCCAGACGACATCTTTGCACCTCCTGACGACCAAACCTTCGTACGCATTCCACATGCACCTGCAGTTGTTGATGAGGACGACCACAAGAAACCAAGCGCTTCAGCTCCTAGTAGTAGCATTACTAGCCGGGGGATGTTGAAGATGACTCTTCTTGAGGCGGGACACACCAGCATCGACCATTCACATTCGTCAACGAAGACTTCATCTGAAGCGGCTGCCGCGGACAGATCTGAAGTCGAGGAGGAAGAGGAACAGGAGTCTGAGGGAATGAACGTCGAAGTCCGGAACAAGAACAAACAAAATGCAGAGCTGGAACAGCATAGTTCTCAGAACAAAGCTGTAGTGGCACAGGAGAAGTTCGAGGAGACTCGAAAGGCCTTGCAGTGGTTGAAATCAATCGAAAAAGAGGAGAAGCACTCTGTCGAAGCGTTTGAAGATTCACTCAAGGTCCCCGATTTGGCTGGAACGTTTCTCGACGAGAAAAAGTTGCGCGAAACGGCAGAGTCCTTCATAAATGCGAACAAGCGTAAGCCCTCAGCAACCGAAGTGGAGCAGGTGGAATTACAACCTAGGAGTAGCAGCGCAACCGAACAAGTCTCTTCATCAGCATCATCTGGTATTCGTGTAGATGAAGAAGACCAAGAAGATGCATCAAATGCTGACTCACAACATGCTGCAAAACATGCCGCCACAGCTGAAATGAAAATTGGACGACGCGAAGAAGTATCGTCGAAACAAATGCTCCTAGACGGGCAAAATATGAATCAAGAGGACGATCAGCACCAGGAGATGTCACGACTTCCGGAAGATGAGGCCGACGAACGTCAAACCAATGAAGACGAAAGCAAACCTGTCACTTATGAGGAGAGCCCTTCACAGGGTTTTCTGCACGCAGACCGTGCGCGGAAACGGAGTTCCGACCGTGTCATCTGGAGCCAAGCGAGTAGCGCCGATGGCAAAGATGACGCTGATAGGTCAACGAGTACAAGCAGTCATAGTAGGACAGACCATACTAGTGCAAAAAAGATATCAGCCGCACTCGCGCTGGTCGAGAAAACGCGGCATCGGCAAAGTAGTGCTCTATACGCGCAAGAGCAAGTAGATGGCGATGCCGATTCGTCCGACGAAGACGCTGAGGACACCGCATCATCATACAGCGATACGAGCGACGGATCCGACGTCGACGAAGAAGACGATGAAAAGCTCTCGAGAAATCGAAGGTCATCCACTAGCAGGAGTACCTTTAACAACATGATGAGTCTAGCCGAAGTAGAAGATGCACGCACAGCGGACCAGCTGACTCATATGCAACAGGCTACAGCAGGAGCAGAACCCGGCGAGTGGGAGGAGATCATGCGTCGCAACAAAGACGAAAAGATGCTCAGTCTAGCGGAGGATTTTGACAATGAGGATGATGACCAAGAAGGAGCTTAAGCATTTCCTAAACGATACTTTAAGTTTTTGCAATAAAATCAAACGAAAATCTGGAAAAAATGACAACGGGGAAGAGGATAAAAAAGGAGTGATACTATTATTATCTATGTTATAAATATTTATCAAAACTAAACTAAGTGAACTATTGGAAGGTTGAACAGGAGTAGAATTGTGGGCCAAGATGTACAGGAATCATGACGAAGATGTACGGCGTAGCTGTATACATCTCAGACGTATCCTCGAAGATCTATATGCTGCACGCCAATCATCGAAAAGATGCACTCCAGAGATGTACTCGCACCGGGGTGATTTCTGAAGCTTTTGCGCATTCGTTATTTCTGAGATGTACGGCAATCATGGGAAAGGTGTACTCTCAGGCGTATCCATCTTTTTCAGTAAAATCCCCATGCTTTTGAGTGCATCTTTTGCATGATTCTGCTCCTGGTAAGCATTACCCAAGTCGTAGCCTACGTGTCTGCGCAGTACCTGCGAGGCCTAGCCTGCCTGCTATCGCTATGCGTCCCTTGCTTTCTAGGCGTCTCTTGTTTGCTGAGCATAGCTCGCCGGCTAGGCTTAGCTCCTTCTTAAGAAGGCCCGGCTTGCTAGGCATAGCTTGCCTGCTGGGCGTAGCTTGCTGGCTAAGTATAGCCTGCTGGCTAGGCATGGCTGGCCTGCTAGGCGTAGCATGGTGCTTGCTGACCGTAGCCTGCTCGCTGCGCGTAGCTGGCAAGCCTGCTGAGCGGAGCTGGCTTGCTGAGCGTGGCTGGCTTGCTGCGCGTAGCTGGCTTGCTAAGCTGAACATGGCGAGCTTCCTAAGCTTACTAGCTGGCTTGCTGGGCAACATAGCTCTCCTGCTGAGCGTGGCTTGCTTTCTAAGCATAGCTTTCGCTTGCGTGCTAAGTATAGCTTACGCGCTATTAAGCATAGCAAGCCTGCGCGCTAAGCATAGCTTTCCTGCTTGGTATAGCCTGCTTGCTAGGTAAGTATATCTATGTATATCAGAGTAGTTTATAGCACGCATGGTGCATGGAGTCGCATGGAGTGCATGGAGCGCAGAGCTTTAAGGGGCGCAAGAAGCTCCCCCTTTAGCTCCATGCTACTCCATGTGATCCATGCACTCCATGCCATGCGAGCTGTGCAACCTTATAATAGAGTAGTTTATAGAACGGATGTAGGATGGACTTGGATGGATCGGATGGACCCCCCTGATTCTTCCGATCCTACTTGAAATGGTGGAAAGTCCATCCGTTCCATCCGATCCATCCGATCCATCCGATCCATCCCATCCCGGATCTGGCACCCCTATAAACTGCTCTATTATAAATTGCTCTGGTATATGTATATCTTGCCTGCTCGCCGCATCTTGCTTGCTAGGCGATCGCAGCTTGCTATGCTCGCTTGCTAAGCAATGCCTGCTTGCTAGGCATCGGCGTTGCTTGCTTGCTTGCTTGCTTGCTTGCTTGCTTGCTTGCTTGCTTGCTTGCTTGCTTGCTTGCTTGCTTGCTTGCTTGCTTGCTCCGGCGTGTGGAGCCCGGCGTGTGGAGCACGTGGTCGGTACTAATATCTAACGATAACGAAAACGACTAATTATACTTTTTGCCTACTTGTTTTCTTTTTCATTTGACGCAAGAACAGATCCAGAACTTCCTACAACCTCCAAGAGGTGCTTCACATACGAGAGAAGTTACATGGAAATCGCAATAAGGTAAGATATTAAGCATGCAGAGTTTGAATTAGCTTTAGCACAACCATTAGAAGCAGAAACGAGAATAGTAAATTGCTCACGTCACAACACCTACGGCCTGAAGTTGAGTAGAATTAGCGCAAGGAGGCGCTGATAATCCTAGGCATTTGAAGACATCTGATTTAAAATTGAAACTGAAAAGGCATGCTGTCAATGACTTTATGGTCAAATAGTGCTACATATTTTATTGTGAGGCACAAATCATGTGGTGCATGATGAAACAAAGAGGCAATGATAATTTGGAGAAAAGCTTAGACTAGTAGCGCTACACCTTCATTCTATTTGATGATGTAGAAACAGCAAATTGTTGGCTTTTTTTTGCAAAGAAACGATGTACAAGAACGAGCCTAGTACAACCTACTCTGATGAATAAGAAATGTTTCATAAGGGAAAAATTGCTTCTGTACATACAACACCAACGAACTCAAACGAACAATTTCCATTCACAGACGAGCAGTGTAGACTGACGAGTATCAGTAGAGCTCGACTATCGAAACCTAGTCCACTGCGGTGACGATACTAGAGACCGTTTGAAAATGTATTCACTAGTTATTTGGAACATGTTTGTTTCGCTGTATTCGTAAGCATAACTTCTTCACAAGAAGAACGTAGAAATATGTCATGCAGCTCCAGCGTCCGCGTTTTTTTTTGTTTTTCAGTTTCTTCTCTCTTATAATTGCCATAATATACATCTGGTGTCATTTAAATCCGCCTGCTGTAGGCGGTGTAGCTACTCAAACTCATACCCGCCTTACCCACTCACGGCAATCTTTCAGGAGATACCCAGCATATTAAAGTGACTCAGTGGGGTCCTGCAGAACACCAGCTTCATTGCTCTTTGCCTAAAACTCCTCCGAAGCCCATCTTTCGTATTCTTCTTGCTGGTCTCCAAAAGAGTTGTCAGTGCGAGGAGACCCGAGACTTCCACTTCCTTAATTCCTGAAGATGCTCCTACTCTGCCCGTGCTATCTCCCCATGAAAACATCAAGCGATCACGATTTACAATACGTAATCGTTTCCGAAAAGTAGAAATGGCCACAGAAGAGAACAAAAACTCAAAATGGCCTCCTGAACCACTTAGACAACTCTCAGAAGACATCTTCATTTTTATTCTCCACACTTTTCCACTACTTCGTTGGTCTCCAGAAAAACCTTCCTAACACCAGTACATAAAAACTGGTGCTGTTCCTTACAAAAATTTTTCAGACGAGAAGCATGTACTTGTACATAATACGCAGCAATTTTTTCATGTGTTTCCAAGAAACAAATACCACGACATGAAAAAGCTTGCTATTGCGAGTGGAACGGCGGCGTTCCTCCTGCCAGCCTTGACAGTTGCCGTCCAAGTCAGATCGCCGCTTTCAAGAGGTAGGCGTGTCTTACTAGATTTAGTTTAGTACCTCCATGTCCATGTTGAGCTGTGTGGCTGTGAGTGTGGCATTCATTGCGTAACATTATTCACGCTTCTGATTCCAGCGAGTTTTTGACACCGTTTCATAGAACGACTCCACGACCACCCAGCACACTTGTTACAACGAACACTCCCCCACTTACCAACCTTGTTCAGATGGGGTTCTAGTGCTGGACAAAGATTCGGTGAGCTTCAGAGCGAAACGCTGCGCAACTTTTAGCGCAGAATCCAGGAAAAACGTGCGAATCGGGAAGAATAGCCGCGTGCAAGCGAACGCCGAGGTGGTCAAGCATCCATCTTCTCTGATTTTACAGGGTCGCGGATGCAATGAACATGCTTCGCAGAAGAGAAAAGGGGGTGGTAAAGATATTCCATTTCCATTGGTGATGTTCATGTTGTCCTTTCTCCGATTTGCATCTTGCGACGCAGACAAAAGATTGTAGATCATTCAAAGCTGCTGCTTTTTGTGTTATGGAGGTTTGGATTTCAAGAATTGCATCCAGGCATTTTTGTTTGATGCACACCAGCACTCTCCGTCCCAACCACTCCCACTCACACCACAGACCTTCGCGTGGAAGGACATCGAATTTTGCAAGGATGCGCTCAGATCGAGCGCGTGAGCAGGGCAACTTCCGAGTCAAGACCTTTGTTAGGGTCACAACAGGACAAACACGTCGTCTACGACGACCACACCATCTCGCTCGACAACTGCCATGATGACCAGCAACAACTAGGCTTACTGGAACTTCTAGCATCCGACAGACGGGCGACTGAAACTTCAAATAGGAGGCAGCAGCAGCAGCAGCAGCAGAACTTAGCATTTCCGCTCACTCTCTCGTATCTTCAGACAGCGCAATCGCCCACTCCTCCCGAGCGCGACGATGTGTCGGCAGTCACAGCGGTACTAATACTATTGCAACCCCGGTGACTTTTTTCCAGAATTTGATTGTACAATCCAGGTTGCTGCTTAAGAAGTAGATGGAATACATTACACTACAAGTTGAAGCTGTCTGTCATCCTCGAAGAACTACTGAACCAGCATTGGGACTCTTGTTCACATCGTCAGAAGGAGCGGAACAACAGTCACACACCCATGATAATAAAGTACCAAACTACAACCAGGTGGTTTTCCAAGCCAGTGGTTGCAAAGACTTTGTGACGAGCGTTGGGGGAGTTACTTCGCGTGTTGCAGATCTCGGCAACGCGACCGTATCCGTGACGAACTGCGGTCGCACAGGCCATACGATGAGTGGCGCGGGAATCCTTGTGTCCGGTGAGGAGTGCGAGGCGATTGAGCTGCGTACTCCTCTGAAAGCGAACGTCAAAACAGAGGGAAACTTTACGCTCACAGATTGTCAGCGGACATCTGTCCTGCAGGGACCGCTCGCAGTAGACGTGTCCGGTCCGACCAAAACAGCAGCCTCTTCTGCCAGAACAAGTAGTGCGCTTAGTTCCGGTGCTTCTTCCTTGCTGAAGAAATCAGGCGTTCCGAGCGCAGCAGCTAGGAAACGAGATGAAAATGTTGAAGATCCTGTTCGTGTTACGGATGCCGTAGCGTTTGGTGGCGCTGGTGGTCCGCTGCAGTTCGCGGTCAGTTTGCAGACGAACGGCGCAAAAAACGCAGTCAAGAATTTCGCAAAAAAAGAGTTCGCAGTCTCCGACACCGTTGCTGCGAAACACATTTTTGAGATGAATTCTGAAGCCGCATCGATTGCGAAGCAAGAAAATAGCCAAGTACAGGAGGCAGCATCTTCTACGAGTAGAGGACAAGACTCAGCTAGCACTCCGGAGGATCTGAGCGCACTTGCTGCTGCGGATCCCACCTTTGGCGCTCCCGCCGCTCCGAACCCGGAACTGTTCGTCCAAGGCGGAGTGTCTCCATCAGTTTCTGGCCAGCTAGTAGAGGATCCTACGACACTGTCGGAAGACCAGCACACTGCCGGTTCTCTTTCAGGAGTCGCTACTAGCAAAGAGAAGTCTTCGCTTCCAGTAGAAGAGGACGACCACAAGAAGAGCGAAGATAAAACAATAATCACTACGCATGAGTTTGATCCTTCGTCTGCTGCATCTGGTGCTGTCGGGAATGCGCAAGTAGATGCAGACAAGGAGAGCAACGAAAAGGCAGCTTTTGACCTTGCGGACACGAGCAAAATGCTGGCAGCCGAAGCTGAAAATGCGGAGAAGGAGCTGGCAGCTGTAATAGCGGATGCAGCAGCAGGAAAAGTAGGAACCTCCGCAGGCGTGGGTCTAATGGGTCTCAATCCCAGCGGAGGCAACGCCGACCTCATGGCTCAACAAGTGCAGGAGGAAACGCAAAAAAGCGACAAGGCAGAGGTAGCTGCACAGGAGGATAAGAAGGTTGTCGACGATGAGCTGTCGAAGCAGAGTTTCGGTGTTTTAGACCATCCAGCAGATGCGCCTAATAATCCTAAACCACAGGACCAGTATTTTAGCTCTGGTTCAGCAACATCCACTGCGTCAGTTCGAAATGCTGCCCACGGACATGCGTCGCGTCGCGCGACGAGGAAGCATAAACAGAGACCTGTTAGTACTTCTCATGAAACCCCAGAAACGAATCAGAAGGAGAAAACAGCTGCAGACATGATCGCAAGCGGTGAGCTAGAAGGCGCTGCTGGTGGCGTTTCCTTAGATGAGGTCCAATCATCTTCTACTTCCTTGTCACAGGAGAAGGAGAGCAAAGGCGAGGCCGCCTCCGCAGGAATAGCAGATGATGCTACATCGTTGAGGAAACGGGAGAATTCTAGTAGATCCTTGGTTGCTATTACTAGTGGCAGCAAAAGTAGCATTGGTGCAACTGGTAACGCGGCAGCACGACGAAAAGCTATTAAGCAAGATGAGCTCGGTCGTAAAAAGGACCAGTCACCATCTAGTAAGCGTCTCGCATCGAGGAGGGCAGTGACCGGTGCAAGCGGGCACGCATCGTCAAGGAGACACGCTTCGAAGAAGAGTGCCGCTGTTCGAAAGACGCCAGCTCCGTCTTCGCGACCAGTTTTGCTCGAAGGAGGTGTACCGTCTAGCGGAGCGGACGATTTAGATGAAGAAGATATAGTGGAGCCGGAGTCGCTATCTGACGCCAACTATGACGGCTGGGAGGATGATGTTGCAGTAGAAGAATTCGCCCAGCACACTTCTGGTTCTGAGATGAGCTCAGGAGAACAATCGTCAAAGAAGTCTCTTCGGGACAAAGATCCGACCCCAGTGGCCAGGGAAACCGGCGCCAGCCTGCAGAAGGAAGATGATGTTGAAGACGCTCAACAAGTGGAGAAGCAAACTGATCACGAGCAGGCCGACACCAACGATGCAGGTGACGAAACAGAGACAGACGAAGAAAAGGAAGGTACTTCTTTGAAGTTGAAGTCTTCGTAGGTGGCTTATTGGAGTTGAACTCGAGGATAATTGCTAGTTCTTGGTACTCATACAACAAGTAGTCGCTAGCGCAGGATTGTTTAGAGTTCATCTACTTCTTTACCCTTGTGTGTCGATTTTGTATTTCTTGTACTAGATGACTACTCACGTCAACTCTTAGAACGCACTGCCACTTCCTGTTCATCATATTCACCGTTCCTCATCCTCTTAGTCTCGTCTGCCTTAACGTTTTTGCAAGTTTCGTCAGTGGACTGGTCAGAATTCCCAGATGATCTTAGCGACGCTGAGCGTTCTTCGCTGACCTCACTGTTACAAGCCGATGCGCAGCCTGCACTCACCGCGGCAGACGTCGACATGTACAGACATGACTGATGAGCATCATACTGAACACATACTTACACGAGTTGGTTCATAATCATATTCATCTGAACAACAAAAATTATAACACATCCGCGACAATATCAATAAATTTAGAGACAAAAGTACTAGTGAGTAGTTGTAGTAAGTTCTAGTTGCTAAAGATAAGTCATGATGAAAAGATTTACGGCAGGTCAAGGTTTCGCAATTTTACCCGTCGCACAGAGATAGAATACAGTAAGTGAGTAGCATGAGGAACGGAAAGAGTCCATTTTCGTTAGAAAATCGCGGAAACATTTTTGTACAGCGTATCGAACGTAACGCTCTTCACCTCCCTTCGAACGCACATTATAGGAAATGAAGCAGTCGCTGCATGCAAATGCAAGTCTTAGACTACTTCACAACATTGGAAATAGAAGAGAGCATGATTGTCCAGCCAGAAGTTGTAACATACAACGATCTCGGTCTACGCCTTTAGATGGATCACGCGGCGGAGAACTACTTCAACACAACTAGTACACAGCATTATCACTAGTTTTTAAAAAATGCTAGTTTTTCGAAGAACCAGGTTAGAAAGCATGTTCGTGTTCGCACCTGTAATTGCTACCATTGGGTACACAACGTAAGCGTATTGCAATCTTTATTTTTAGACCATTTCGCATTCAGCAGCTGTGGCGGCTGTTTTTGATTGACTTTTGTATTGCGTCTAAATCTATCTTCTCTATTTCGTGAACCAATATTCTTGTCCTGACTGTGATGTTTTCACTCAATGACTCTTATGCTTACCGAGTCTGATTACCTCCTTCTCCATCTTCCAGTTTTTTTTCAATTCTCATTTGGACTATCTAGCATAATAACCATCGATCTAGAAAAATCATGACTTCGTCGTTCACGATGGTCATCATGCTTGCCCACACCACCACTCCAGCGCGTCGTCGGCCGGTAGGAGAACCGCCCAAAGTGACGTTGTCGAACTCGTTGGGTTTGGAAACGACAACGACAACGAGCTGAATGGGGGTGATGACGTAGCAGAGGCGAGGAGCCAAGGTCAACAAAGACCCCGTGGACAAGGTCGCGGTTCTATTCTTTTGGAAATCGAGCAGATTGCAGCCGCGGGACCCGAGGACGGCTCTCAAGGGGACCGCGATGGCAACGTCGAGCTTGCAGGTCTGCAGCTGGAGGAGGGTGACGATAAAGACGACTTCAGTGCCGAAAGGGAAGAAAACGCAGGAGATGAACTTCCTTCATCATCGCCAGCATCTCGCCAGACGGCTCAACGCTTTTCTGTTTTGCAGGCTTCGCTTTCAGCCAGCACGACCGGTGAAACATCAAACGCGAAGCAGACTGTGCAAAGCACTGGCCAGGAGCGAGTAGGCCAGCATCGTGAAGCAGGCAAGGGCAAGAAAGCCACGAAAGCCGAAGCAAGCAGAAGCACTCATGGCAAAAATAAAAAAATTGCTTTGGCTACGGGCGGGAAGACGTCTCGCAAACGAGGAAGACAGAAAACGAAAGTAACGTCTTCTTCAATCAGCACGAAGACCAAGATCCAAGGCACAGCTGAGGCGCAGAGATCGACGTCAACCGAGGCGAGCATGTTCAACCTTCTTGAGACAATGCGAACCGCGATTTCTGGCTTGGCATCGAAGGTTGGAGAACTGACCAGCACAACTGCTACGATAAAACAACACCAAGACCAGGAGTTGCATGCTATCGCTGCATCTGAAAATGCGCATCAGAGGCTGAAAGCTTCTGCACCTACGAGAGCAGCTACAGCAACCCAGCTCTTAGCTTCTGCCGGTGCTCTTGGCGAAGGGTGTCTCGTTGCCAAGCTGCGCTACCAGAAGCTGGTACTGGACGGTGGTACAACCTCGACACAACCCGTGAACGACGTCTGTTCCGGTGGCAAAGTTTTTCGACCTGATGGCGACCTGGCAGGGCAGCACTGCCGTAAAGCGCAGTGCGATCGCTCAGATGACAGTGTGTGTTGCGAGGGCCTGGAGTTCATGATTGAAGATCCGAAGTCCGGAGCAATGAATTTCGTTGTAGGCGAATGCGATACGGTGAAAGTGACAGGCGGTGGCGTCAGCTTTCCCTTTCGTAATGCTGCAGGGACGCGTCTAAACGCTTTCGATTGTCAGCGCACTGAACATGGGCAATCGTCTTCGTCTTCTTCCTCCTCTGCCGGAAGTACGAGTTCAAGTTCTGCATCCTCGGACAAGAGTACGCTGATGGACATCAAGGCGCTAGGATGTACGAAAGTGGAGACAAAACGGTCTGACGAAAAGGACGGGCATTCGTTCAATGCCATGAACGGTCAGCACGCGATCGATATCGAGGCTCAAGGATGTGCGAACAGCGCCATGCGAAGTTTGGGCATTCTAGATAGCACAGACAGCTGCAAAGATGCCAACACCAATCCGTCCTGCTCCTCGGGCACGCTTGGGCGTGCACTAGGCACCCCGTGCTCCTGCCTCTGGCACGGCGGCTCCTACAGCGGGACGTACGAGGCCAACGTAAGCGGCCAAAAATTCGACAGAACAGCAGAGGCGCCGAAGCCGCTTCTGGGCGTGTCGCGCGATTCGCTTGCGTGCGTATGTGCCATCAGCGGGAGCGATCCGCTAGGCGCCATGCCGGCAAAGCTGACGGCCTGGGCAGCCACGGGTCCTGAGGTTTGTACCGACGACCGGGGGGCGCAGCTCTCAACGGTCACCTTCGATCGAGCGCTGAATGATATCATGGCCTGCCAGTTCCTCTGTTTAAGGCTATTAGTTGGATATGGATCCCATGTCATGGTCGTGTTGTATGAAACGGACTTAGAAGAAGACTGTGTCAAAATGAGACGCAGAGCTTGGTGTTGGAATATCGTAACGACTACTTATTTGTAGGCATGATCTAATCGCAATGTCCGACGAAACGTGTACGGGCATGAACTTTCGCGAAGGAGCCGATGGTATGTGCAGCCTCGTGTTAGAAAGAGCCGCTGGGAATCGGGCCACGCGTGCAACCGGTGTCTTTTCTAGTGCGGGAGCTGGCGCATCGTCTCCCGTAGTCGTGCCAGCTGCGCAGAAGGGTGTGAGCTGCTACGTGCGGCCGATTTCCACCTCGTCTGGTGGTACCAACAAGAACATCGTCCTTTTGTCAGCGACTAGGAGAAATGCGCGACAAGTGTACCCGGCCGACGCCGACTACATGAAAATCGGCCTCGGGAATAGGCCGTGCCAAAACCGGGATCCGAAGAAGGCCCTCACCCGCGTTCCCAAGCCCGCTGCGGAAACGCGCTCCGATTGTGTGAACCTATGTGAAGAGGCTAACAGTGAAGGCGTGGCACTGAACTCCGGCGCACGCTGCCTGGGCATCGAGTGGTCCACAGACATCGGCTTAGCCGTCGATAGTGAACTCACCGATTCGAAGTGCAGCCTCGCGATGGTGATGGGACCTGGTGAACTTGCGATTACGACCTTTGTGGAAACTAACAACCAAATTTTCAAAGAGTGCTATCTTAGGCCCCCTGAGCCGACGGCCATGCAGCAACAGACGACATACCCGCTTTCAAGCCTAAAGCCGTCAGACTACACCGAAGTAACATGATAATGATTTCTCTGTCATTTCCCCATTCAATGAGAATGAAGTAGAAGTAAAAATATATTTATATCAGAGCAGTTTACAGCACGCAGGGCGCATGGAGGGCAGAGCCATGAGAGACGCAAGAAGCGCTCCCTTTAACTCCATGCAATGCGAGCTGCCAAATCAAAACCTTCTGAGTTGTTCTGTTAAGTGATCCGTTTACGTTTAGAGGTGGTCTCGCTATCGTTGACTTTCTTTGTGGGCGCAATACTACGTATTATTAGTATTACCATTACCATTACCATTACGTCAAGGTCAAGGTCAAAGTACGTCTAATTACTTGCCTCTTCTCCTCTCCCTCAACAGCTTGGCAAGGGGTCATGCCGCTCGATTGCCGTGAACAAAGCCGACGCAGCAACTTTCGTTGGAAGTGGTCTTAGTTTCGACAATTGTGCTCATTTATGTACGCGGCAGACGGATTTCAACCTCCCGACCAATCGCTGCGGTGGTTTCACCTACGACTACAGACAATGGAGCTGTCTGCTCTACACTGGGTCTGTTGCGCCAGCCAGTGCAGTGTCAGGTGGTGCTACTGGTGTCGCAAGTCCTGCTACCGGTACCGGTGCTACTGCGTCAAACAGCCAGTACCCCGTGCTGAATAGCAACACAACGAATAATCGTGCTCTTGGTACTTCACCGTGGATGAATTTGAACCTGGTTGATGTCAGCGCTGCCTACACCCGTGATCCAGTGTGCTATTCCGCAAACCAGTTCGCCTCTCCCGCCAGCATCAGCGCTTCAGGAACGGCAGACTACTTCGGGAATTTGACCGCTGGTATTGGACAGTCATCAAACATCGTCCACCAGGCCATCGCGAGCTCCTATGGACAGTTGGCAGCCAGCATGGGACCGATGCCATCGCACAATTACCAACAGACATTGTCGGGGGCGGGTACCGCGGCTGCCGCGGGGCATCAATCTAGTACTCCGTTTCTCCTGGGCATTTCCTCTGGTTCTGGCGAACAAACAAGAGCTCCAACCGGTACTGTCCAGCTTCCCCCGCAAGCGACAAACCTGTATCCACAACAGATTCCCACTCCCAATAGCATGCCAGGACCACTGATTGACGCAACACCACCCCAACAGCTCTCGCTTGTGCAACCCAGTGTCGGTGTGGTGACTCCCGCTGCGTATAGTACAACTAGTTCATCTAGTACTGGTCTGGAAATGAACAGTGACGTTCTCGAAGGTCGTGGTGCTTTGCCTGGTGTTCCAGCATTCGTTGCCGCACCGCTGTCCCCTACTGCAGCTCTCCTCGCCGCACCTCCTGTTCCAACGCCTCCGGAGGAATACGACATTTTCCCGCCGGACGAGGGCGACGACGAACCGCAGTTCGGCTTTCCTATGATGCCAGGTATGTCAGGACGACAGAACGCGCTGTTGCAGCTCGGTCAAAAAGCGGGAACAAAATCAGACCAATTATTTAGCGTATCATCTGCAGACGCGCTTGCCGCGGAGAAAAAATCTTCATCTAGTAAAACAGCATCTGAACAGCAAGCTGCAGGAGCTTCTGTAGTTTCTGCTTCCTCATCCTCGTCATCATCGTCAAAGGCAGACGCATTGGATCTTGGCAAGTCTGGTAGTGCCAGCAGCTCTGCGGAATCGTCACTGCAAGATATCTTCGAAAGAAGTGGAGCGCATAACGGCATGCTGTCCCTGGAAAGTGAAGCCGATTCCAGCGCAATGCGGAACGCTATGCTGCTTGACGAATTGGACTAGTTATCATGGAAGAATCAGGCCCAAAATAGCTTTTTGATAATCAAATCTAAACGCATAGAAATGAACATGAAAATGTAATCATATTCTCGAAACCCAATGAAAATCAAGGTATAGACGCACTTACAACACACTGGCACTAGTTGCATCACGGAAGAGAGAAAATGAACGCGTGCACTCCTGTCACTACAACATCTACAATGTCTCACCTATGGCCCGGTTAGTGGTCTTGGAATGACAGGTTCGGGGTTTCATCAGCTAGCACCAAACTGTATCAGATTGCTATTGACAGGCTGAGTTGTCGAGGCCAAGGAAATTAAAAATCGTATCTTCAACAGCATCTACATCAACGTACTATCACCTATTCCCGAAACACAAAATCTTTTTCCGAAAAGCAGCAGCATCATGGCTATCAGTTGAATTTCTAATAGCTATTAGCAAATTTAAATGATAGGAGATCAACATCGTTGATCGGACACAGGTCTTGGACATTAGAATATCTCCGAATCCGAATATCACGTATCTCCAGACAGCGTATGTGTGCACGCTGCACAGCACAACCCGCGCTGTGTGAGTCGCTGCCGCTACTGAAAGACACCGACGCTCAGTCAGAACCTTCTGTCTTTTCATCATGTGGTCTTTTTTTGATGTTAAAACAGGTGAAAGAAAGAACGCCAATGTCATGACAGGATCTCCGACGCGATTGACCTACATCTTGAATAGCGAGGACAGAAATCCCTTTCGATGATGATAGTTCTTCTTTTCCCCGGTGTTCCGACACTTATACATCATCTTGGATGATCCAGCCACGTACCGCCTTCCTCCGGCTCAAGGCCGCAACACATGGCAGTATATTTATATGTGATTATCATTGCATATTTCATTCATTCATAGGGACAACGCAAGACGCATGGCAAAGTCAATGACTTGTCATAATCAAGTTTTCAGTCGCCAGCCAGTCTTTGTATTTGTGGTTCGTGCAGATGCTTGTCCACGATATCGTTTTAGGAAGGTATTTCTACCGTTGAGCCCCTTAAAGATCTATTGAAGAGATCCTCATCGAGACCAGTAGACTTTATGAAAAGAAAAGTTGTGTTGGGTCATCATCATCATGTTCATGACGTTAGAAGCAGCCTCCCGCATTTTGGGTTCCATATGATCGATGCCGTTCAGGTTCATGAACTTCGATCTTTTACAAGATCCGGTCTTCTCTCCGGTATGAATCAACCTCGATGACTTTTGAGTGTCTAGTGGTGTTAGTGGTCATTTACTTGGCTACCAATCCGCCAAATTTTGCCGTCGGTCAGCCTCTGGCTATTTCAAGTTAGAATCGATTGCCTAAGGCGGTACTGCCATTGTCGGAGGAACCAACAGCACCATCTTCCGAGCTGTACCCCTTTTCATCTGCTTAATCATGGGAAATGACGGATGCATGTGCATCGACGAGGGAAAATATTTTTTTGCGATTTAGATTTTGTAGTGCAATGTCCGGTCAGTCGCTCATGGTAAAAAAAGCTAATTATGCGTCCGAGCATTGCTGGAGGACGCTTATCCTTGCGCTGGTTTCATTATGCTTAGGGTGTGGGGAAGTGATTATGATGACATATACAACTCGAACGCTGTGTCGTGGCGTCTAACGGAATTAGGGAGTGTGAGCCAGCAACTGTACTGATTCGCATCTACGGAGATCTAAGTATTCGTTTGTCGTCGAAGCCTCGCTAAACGGATATTCAGATTGATATGGTTGAATATGATACGTGAAGGGGTTCCTTCACCTTCTCGCTCGTGATGGTGAAACAAGCGATTCGCTACACGCCTTCCTCTAAGCGGTTGAAGTCGCATGTGTTCCAGTTCCGCTGAATCTAAATCTAAATTTAACTTGAGATCGTGAAAGAAAAAATGAATGCTGGGAAAAACCCCGATTATCATAAGCCGTCACTGTCATGAAGATGACACGAAATTTTCCTAATTCTCCACTGAGCCGCCGCGCTGTGAGGAGACACTTCACTCCGTATTCGTACTGTCTGATTGTACACGAGACATTTCGCTTATGGGATTAACATGTCAATGAATTTTGTGCATGCAAGTGCACTGCAGCAGCGCCAATTCTGATGAGACCTTACAAACATAGAATCACTCCACGCTGAGCCTTCTCGGCGTTGTTGATCCCTTAACACATGCACTACCATCTGATTGCGGAGCGCGTTGACGGATCTAAATCCTATGCGACGAAGCATTCTTGGGGGAAAATGCGTAGCTGGTAGAACAACAAAAGATCCGAGACGCACCATATCTTTAGCTTTGGTGGTGCCAAGCCTGATGAGACCCAACATATACATAGAATCACTCCACGCAGAGCCATCAAGGCGTTGTTGAGTCCTTCACACATGCACTACCATCTGACGGCTCAATCTAAACATTTACAGATGGAAATTTAGATCGCACTATACGGGTTCAGAACTTCGAGAACAGATTATATTTGGTTTTCTGTCCGGATCCGGAATGAATGGAAAGGTGTGACTGATCGAGGATAGATCTGTAGTAATCACGGTGGGATAGACACTGATTTAGACGAAGAGTTGTGAGATCTGGATGATCTCAAAGAGATCCGCATCTAAAGAATCTAAATGTGAAACGATCTCGCCCTCTGTAGCCGATGTAGATGTTAGCGCACAACTACATGTTCAAAGAAATAGTGAAGTTAATCCATAAAGCGACTCTCCTCCGAATTCGATCGAAAAAAGAGTCAATACTTTCCCAAGAATTCGGGATCGTATCCGTCCTTTCACGTACACTATTGTCACGAACAAAAATTTTGAAAATCCAGGGGAACTTTAGGCAGCCACTTTGTGGTAGAACAAGCAAAATGGTGCACGTTTTCAACGAGACTACGAAGACCTTCTACCAGGTCCACTTGAAGAAGGTCGCGCAACTTCCTTCTTCCGCCGTCCAGAAGCGTCAGAAGAAGGCCGAGTACGTCAAGAAGCTCTTGGTATTGCTATCTTGGCTTAACTTTTTGTCGTCTTCTCGATTCATCTACAGGGGGTGCTCCATGTGCAGGATTCACAACCTATCCCACCCTTACACGTTTGTTACCTGCCTTTGTTGCACCCCAATAGAATATTGGGTTCGTAAATAATCGTCCTCGACCTGATGAAGATAGTTGAACTCGAGGTAATAAATAAGTTGTACACCGATGCAAGCATGATGACAAAACCCAATTAGGCTCTGACAGGCGGCCTCCGTCTGATGGAGGTTTCCTAAATGCTCTAGAATTACCCTGAACACTTGCTGCTGTGTTAGAACTCCATTCAATTTCTCGAAGTGAGTTGATTAGATGAAATAAAAATTGCATTATCAACATTCAATTTCAAATTTTTCACTCAGGCCCTCGAGACCGCCAAGCCGGTCAAGTGCATTTACACCGATAAAAAGGCGGAGTAAATTGTGCTGCTCCTTCTAGGCACGACGATGCTTACGTTTTGACGCGGTCTGATCGCGGTCTTCGACGGGTTACTAAGTAGAGGTTTGCACTTCCATGAAGGCGAAATATGTTGGTCACATCAGCTTTAGAAGACGTTGCGAGCTTCAGATGTTGGAGATCATCGGAGGGCCATGTTGACGCTTTGCTGAGAAAACGAGACTGAGGCTACCAAAGCTTGTACAATAGAGACGCGTGGCTTAACGCCAGAAGTGCTCACTTGATTTAGACGCGTAGCGCGGTGTTCGACGAATTAGAAATCGAATCTTCAGTGGGCGTGATGACCCTGCTATGTAGAAGTCGGTTCTGACCAAAATGTTCTGTCCTGGTGGGTCTCTGTTGTTCGAAGAGCTTGATTCAGGTCGGTGAATCGGTCACTTGCGCAAGAAAAAGAAGCATCTGATGGAAGAGGCTTGAGCGTTTAGAAGGAGAACCCCTATTTGTTAGACTACAAGTCAGTGGATTGACCGTCTCGTAGGCAACCCCTCTGAGAGGACCCAGTTTATTTATGTATATTGAGTCGAAGGCAATGATCATATTCATGATACACTGCTGAATGTATAATGTATATCAACCATATTGGGACTCCAACAGTCAGAAAGATGTCGGGTCTGATCAGTTCCGATCAGTTGCTACGCACTATCGGGTTTCGGGACTCCGGAACGAGTTGCGTGTGGCGCTCCGCCAGCCACGCAGCTAGTAGCCCGTCGTGGTGTTGGCTCAGTCATCAGGCGGCTTAGCCCACCAGTTGCATGTGGAGACCTACTTTGAGAAGAAATCGCAGAGGAGATGTCCAACCGCTCCAGCAACGTAGGCAACTCTGACGATCAAAAGAGTGTTCAGCTATCTCGAAGTAGTCCGAAGATACGTTAATTAGCAAGGACATTCCCGCGGCTCTGGTTCTGCTGATCGAGACGAGCCGAAGCAACAGCCCGCGCAATAGATGCGGGAAAAGAGAAGGATCCAAAGGATTGGATTGGAGAGGGCTACTTCTTCGCTCTTTTAAGCATGAAGAAGTGATAGAGATAGGACTACCCGGCCGTCCTTAGTAATTGAGAAGATTCACAACAGATCAAAATATCCGAAAAGATTATGACCTCATGTCACAAAGTCTTGTTCCTTCACGATTCAAAAGCAAATGATGACACCCATCTAAACCTAATTCTCCACTGAGCTGAAAAGGGCGATGAGGAGAACATTCAACTCGTATTCGTACTGTCTGAAGTCGGAAAAAAACAAGATCATCCTTCGCAACAAATAACTCAGCATGATGAAACGTTGCAACCATAGAATCACTCCACGCCGAGCGAGCTTCGGCTTTGCCAGTGAAGATTCTATCAACACATGCACTACCATCTGACCTGGAATTTATGCAAGGACGAATGTCGAGATCATCATTACTGCTCAGGATCATGAGCACGAGCATGACGCTAGAAGCAGCCACAATAAATGCGGGCTTCTCCAGCGTGATTCATGTTATTAAGGTTCATCGACTTCGAACTTTCACAAGAAACGGTTTCCTCTTGCTCTACGGTGTGAATCAACCTCGGTACGACTACCTGTTGAGTACTCTTCGGTGGTGGTCATCTTAGCTACCAGTGCCAAGCCGCCAAATCTGTCATCGGTCAGTCCCTGCCCACTTCAAGTCAGAAAAAAATTCTGAAGGCAGCATTACGATTACCATTATCGAAAAAAGTCAACTTGTGATAGTCTTCCGAGAAGCGCGTGCCGGAGCATCGGTATTTTTTAATCCTCTTCACCATCAAGAAAGCGATGCTTAGGTACCCCTTGGAATCCCTTTCCCGTTCATCTCCTAACAAGTTTCGGTCAGCAACCGCACGATATCATCGTGATCGTGTCAACACGTAAGTAAGTATTAAATTTGCTCAATTTTAACAACTTTTGAAACGATCATGTTTGCCCTAGAAAGAGGATGGTTTTTACCAGATATTCTGAGCTTGAGCTTTATAACGAGGAGTAGGGATAAAATGGCGCCCTCGACCAGCTCCATCTTGGCGTCTCTCTTGAGCGAGAGCGTGGGATCATCATCATGGTCCTGGTCTGCGTGGGCGAAGTACCACGAACTTCCGGCGGGCACGAGTAGTTCAAGGGCATCACTTTTCACAAGGACGAAGATCACGAAAACCTCATTCTACGACATTCCCGGCCCAGAGCAGGAGATGGACCAACGACCGCCAATTTTCGACGCCCAGCTCAAATATTACCTGGACGAGGCACGGAACAATTTTGAGCGCGTAGCCATGGCCAGAAAGAGCGCGCAGATGGCAGCGCATGTGGCGAGTCTCGCAAGTACGGCTGCCATTGCAAAATCCCACCAACTGGCGCACGACGTCGCTGTCAGTATGCGCAGACCGAAATTCGACACAGTGCGCGATGACGTGGCGCTTCTCGAACAAGAAGCGACGCAAAAGTGCGTCGACGCGGGACTCTGTAAAGCGGCACCCGCACAAACGCGTGCGTTCGCAGAAGTCCTAGAGGCTCACAACACGGCCAGTGAAGTTAAAGCATCAAGAAGGTCATATGCCGAAGGTGAACAACTTCAGAGATCGGAAGAAGCCGGTCGTGAGGTTGAGGACACCTCCGCAGGAGAAAACGGCACAGAAAATCAAGATATTACAAGCGGTTCAGATTCTCCAACAACTGATGCAAAACTTTCTTGAAAGTGATGCGCGCGAATAAAGATGCAAAGAGCTTGCATACCGTGGGGTGCTAGTGAATGCCTGGTCGCACCACAGCCTATCTACTGACAGGCGTTCGACTTTCAGTCGTGTTCATTTTTTTGATGTAGCTGCTAGCGGTGGAGCACGAGGAGTTCCTGTGCTGTTTCATGTCACGCGTATTCCACTCGTAATAGAATTCTGTGAAGGTGCTGATGCTTGGCGTGAAGTGCCTTCCAAGAGCTTAAAGATCAGAATGCGCCATATTTCGTTGATGCGATCGACATAACATGTTGCAGTGGGCACCAAGAAGGCAGTGCGGTCGACGATTATGTCCAACGGAAACGTTCTCGTTCAATACAGTTTTTGAAGATATTAAGTAACTTCTTCTAGCACTTATACCATGAGAATCACGATGGCCAGGTGTACCTCATCCAGCACGATCCTCGGGGCGTCATCGCGGCACGGAGTCGTCTCGGCTGCGAGCACAACACGCGTAGCAGATTCTGCCACACAGATCGTGTTTTTGATGGAGCACCTTTCAAAGGTAGCGGGCTCATCAAACGCCAGGACAGTCAACTTCTGTCTGGGCGGCGGGCAGTATGACCATCGCTCGACGAAGAATCATGAGTGGGATCGGAGATTTGAAGCTGCGGTTGGAGTCCAAGCCAAGAACATCAACATGCCCTCCAACGGGGGGCAGCCATGGATGCCTTCGTCTTCACTCATAGGAGAGCAAGACGATTTTCATGACGCGGAAGATGAAAATGCCGCTGCCGGTAAGGACGACATCAGGGAATTGCGTTTACTCGAGCAGCAGGGACCGACCTTCGGATTATCTGGAATGTTTTCGGGAGGTCCTGCTGCGCAGGAACCGCACAGATTTCCACGAGCAGACGCCCAAGGGCAAGACCACGACGTTCATTTCAGTGAGCCTGCAAACTTCCCAAACAGTTTTTCTTCAATTGTCAACTCGACGGGCAGCACGGGCGACGAATCTTCATCGTATTTGGCAGGCCGTGATCGAAGGAGCATGAAAGGTGCTCCTAGAAAGTATAGATTTGGGCAAAGCCCGCGTCAAGAGTTTTTGCAGATATGGAATGTGTACGCAGAAAACGCAAAAGAGCTCGTGCCAAACATGTCGATACTAGAATTGGCTTCTGTTGTTAGAAGCTGCTGCCGAGTAGACTTCACAAAGCACTCCCTGTTAAAAAAAGTTACAGAAAAACTCTTCCTAGAGCTGGTCAAGCTTGAGCAGCAAGGAACCAAATCTGGAAAAAATACTGCATCTTCAACGAAAACGGGCCATATTGTGCTTGAGCCGCGCCTGCTTTGTCAATTTCTGTTGGACTTGGCTAAGCTTGAGTATCTAAAGCCACCACTATTTCTCAAATGGCGTAGCGTTATCTTTGGGCGTGGAGAACTTGACGTTGCTATAGGGAATAACACTTTGGGAAATCCGGAGAACTTCCCAGTAGGTGCGAAGCCTGCTTTAGTTAGTTGGAGAACGTTCGATCTCCCGCTACTCGTGACAACCTTGGCGCGCATAGGCCTTAGAGACGTACCGGCTTTGACACACGTGTGCCGACGTTTTGCTCTGCGAGTAAAGTCTACAGAAGCAAGCGCGAAAAACGCGACTGTGGTTGCGGCACTCATTTACAACTGTGCGGTGTTGAACTTTTACAACCCTGACGTTGAGTCGGTCGCAAAGTGGAGTCTTGGAACTAATGCTCGAGACGAAAACGATGAAGCTGTGAGGGAGGCGGCAGCCTGTGGGACTCCCGCAACAGATCACACGAGCACCTGCGTTCATGTCTGGTCCACTCAAGAGAAAATCAATGTACTTTTTGCCCTGGTTATATTCCATGTTGGTGCGGCGTCGTCATCTGCACGAACAAACACTCCAGCCGCGACCACCGGCACCACCACGAGATCATTGTTGAATTCCTCGCTGAGTAAGCTGATCACCCAGCCTCTACTTACCGAACAAGACACAAGGGCCCAGCACCAACTGCGCATAATTGCAGCCTGTTCAGAATACGGCTTGCTGAGTACGTCCTGCTCGATGAAGATGAAAAACAAAAAGCACGCCGAGCAGCTTGGATCCACCACGACCGGTGAAGGCAAGAAGGCTTCCTCCTTCGACGTATGGTCAGAGACAGATTCTCTCGCATTGCGTGCCCTTGAGCAAAGGCATGGACCGCAGAGCTACGCTGCTCAAGCTCGGCCCTCTCTGCAGACCCACGCGCACACTTCGGTCTTTCAAAAATCCGCCCGAAGGGTCTTCGATGAGCTGGGGTTTCCGTTCAAGGAAGAGGTTCCCATAGGGCCTTACCAAGTGGACTACTTGTTGAAGCATCGGGTTGCCGTTGAATTTGATGGCTTTTCACACTTTTACATGGATTTTTCTGGAAGTTCTAATCCTAGTGTCGTGGGAAGAACTCCAACTTCATCACCGACGAGCAAGAACTACAAAGACGCTGAGGACCAAAGTGGGACTAAACAATCTCCCTTACCAGCATGTCCCCACGTGAAGGCAAAAACTCGCCTAAAGCACGCTCTGCTGTCTGCCATGGGAGTTCGTGTAATTAAGATTTCCTACCACGAATGGCTTCCTACGAAGCACTTCGAATCTAGAAAGAAGTTGTTGTGCGACAGGTTGGAGGCAGAGACTGGACTTGATGTCGCTGATTTCCGACTTGGTGGGTGAGACTACAACTACTCATCGGCAATCGCAATTTCGCATGCGACTATATTTTCGTAGCGCGAGGAGCGGCAACTCAGCAAGTCCAAGTCCACCAAAGAGACGCGACTGCTCGCCGCGGGTTCGACGTCACAGGGATTGGGCCGCTTTGTAGCTGGTCTGCACGCGAGAATGAATGCGATCACGATCATTTCATGCGGAAGTCTCTGCTGTCTCCGCGTGATCGAGGGCTTGCTAGCTCGATATGGCTCCCTAAGAAACAGAAAGATCAGAAGCTACATCCGGCAGCGAACCCCGAATTAAGAGGCTGCGAACCACGAGCGCCAAGAATACGAAAGCTTCCACCTAGGACGTCAAACGAATGATCCTATGTATCTGCAACTGCACGATCACTCAAGTATGAATTGGTGCTGGTACTTCTAGTTCTAGTAGTACGACTACTTCTTCATAAGTATTCTCCAGCAACGTCTTACTCTGAAGTAGATTTTTGATTGCCTTGGCCTCATATCTATGTTGATGTTGACGAGGTGGAGGTTTCTCTCTCACAAACAACCGGCTCAACACAGCAGGAAGAACTTGATATACATTTTAGGCGCAACGAACTATAACGAGCTGAAGCTACGTGTACGTCTAACTGAGATGAAATGATGCACATGATTGAAATCACGTTCATGTGCTATTATAACGATGTCATGAGGTAGATCATGCCTCTTCCATGGCATTTCATGCTCTTTGGGCAGCGACTACGCCCTCTACTCACAAAGGGTGGAAAGGTGGAATACTACAGATGAAAGTTGACTGACTGAAGAACAATTGTTGGTGAGGCCGCGGGGATGGCAGCTCCCTGCGCACCATTTGTTCCAATTTTTCCTGAAAAAAGCTGCTCAAAAGAAAAAGAAACGGTTGCATTTATTTGAAGAAACTCTGCTCCATCGGACCTCCTAGTCCTCTAGTACAAGCTGATTGTGCAATATCTGCTGTAATCATGGTTAAGCCTCCTATGGGAACAGTAATGGCGAGAAATAGGTTCGTTGCAACAGCCAGGCTATGATTGATGTACTCTCATTCACACATCTCAATCTCATTCTCTTCTACCTAGTGAATACGGCCATTCTCGGGTCTCTATTGTTCATCCATGCTTGGTAGGCGAAGTTGATAAACACAACGAGGACATCAACATACATTTTCGTAGACGTTTTTTTGCAGTACCTATCTCACCTAGCCACTGCTGTCAGTGTTTATTGCGGGTTTCGTTGTGTTTTAACCGACTAGTCTTTTTCTAGAAATGCTCCTTTAGATATAATTTGCCTATGTATAAGACTTAGACTGACAGAGAACGACAAAGGATGACGGAAGTAAAGAAGGAACCTGCGGTCGAGGCAGTGCAAAACGAGCCGGCTGCTAAACGAGTGAAAACCGAACCTGGCCAAGGAAGTTCATCAAGCTCCGCGGCGCCGAAAAGCCGCATTATACGCGCGCAGAAACAGGAACAGATTGGAGACCTATGGAAGGTTACCACATGTTGAGTCCATCCACTCTTGCTTTTTTAACCTCCCTATGCTCGTTCAATGTTTGTCTGTTCGTTCGATTTCGAAAGCAACTTTCATAACTCGAAAAAATTTAGTACACCAACACCCCGACCTCCACCCAGCAACCTCTGCAACAAAGACAGTAATCGTATTTTTTCATAAGCAGCACCCGGCGATGGTGATCAGGGCGAGGCGTCATTGCAGGAGCGAAAACTCGACGAGCAACCACGCATTCTGAGCTCGATACACTTGCTCAATGCCAATGTTGAGGAAACTAGCGCCGCGCTGTACTGGATTTGCGACGCAAAGATGCTGAAGAAGGTTGGCGCATGCATCCAACAAATATGTATTAATTTGCTCTTACACTGCTGTTTGTGTTTACTTTTGTTTTTGTGACACCTGCTAGTGCTAGATAGAAAGAAAACGTAGAGTTCCACGCTAGCTCCGAACTCAGATAGTGCAGGCGATCTTACTGAAGCTCGAAATATATTCAGAGAGCATGCTGTGCTGATGGATGCCTTGAGGACCGGATAAGGAGACTAGCTCCAAGTCTTAGGTCTTGCTCGGTCGATACTCCTTTCGTGTTAACTTGGTACTAGGGACGGTCGTCGAAGGAACTGATTTACTGTATGATGAGGGCGACCTGTAGATAAACTGTTGTTAGTCCACGGAGTGGCACGGTACATCGGATGAGCTAACCCAAGTTGTATGGCGAATCGATAGTTTCGTTGATAGTCTTACTATAATTGCCTCGTATGGTGCAGCCGCTGTGAAGCTTTGTCCGCATGTACTGCCACCAAAACCAAACCTGTTTTGTGTAGTTTGATGCAGGAACTTTTTTTTTTCTTCGAAATGGACTAGAGTATGCAGTTCATCATCATGCAGCTTCTGCCATTCATCCTCGTCAAAAGTGATTGAGGTATGGTTTGCAAGCCCCAATAGTCCATCCCGTGTGGTCATGCGAAAAAAGAAAACAAAATACTAACTCAATATGTACCTATGGAGAAAGCAAATTACGTGAATTTTTTTTTAAACAGGTACTTGAAATTCTATTTTGATTGCAAAATAGAGCTCATGGTCAAAATTGTGAGGGGTGTTTGTATTGCGCTCATACCAATAAGCAGAAATAGTATCATCACGAATTGAATTTGATAAAAAGGCGATAAAATCAAAAATTTAGCTTCTTTTCAATTTTTACATTCAGATTTTACAAATTTTACTTAGATCCACCATAATTATGAAACACCCACAATGCGCTCAACAGTAATTGAATTTAATTAAAATGCGATAAAATCAAAATTTTTACGCTTTTCAAATTCAAAATTCAATTTCAGCAAAATTTCTTGCTGATTCTCAACCTTCAACTACAACACCATGAGAACATCAACCGCTCTCCAATTCGGGCCATCAGGGTAATGTTGTGCATTACTATTATCAGGTTTTTTTTGGGATTTTCATCTTTATTTTTTTATATTTGTGTGCCATCGCCATTTCTTCATACCAATCCTGACAGGTAAGGAGGTGAGCATAACAGCAAACACTGAGGATCTCACGATAGCTGGGGTGGACCAAGGTCGGTCTTGCGTGTGCGAGTGCAGGATAATGAAGTCCGCGTTTACCAGGTACCGCAGTCAGGTGAGTGGCTTCCAACTCGGACTGGATTTGACAAGTTTCATGCGGATACTCAGTCCATTCAAAGACAACGATATGGTACTACAAGTGTTATTTTTCCTTGCTTCTCAAAGTCAAACGGTAACTCTACCTCCTCATAATCGCAGCGGCGCTGTGAATCGATTACTAGTTGTTCCTCGCAGCTTGTTCATCTATGTAAATTGGTTCTTGTCAAGAAACCCCGTCTACGCTATCTTCAACATCTCTACATACCCCTCACTTCCGCCAGGTCGTATTTTGCCTCGAGAGCGAGAATGCTGAAGTGATGAAGATACAGGGCTATCACACCTACAAAAGAAACAACGAATTTTCGTTTATTAAAGTGCGACTCCAAGAAGCCTCGGCGCCTCAAGTAGGTTTGGGTGTGGGTCTGGAAAACAACAGTATCTGGTCTTTGATCAATATGACGTCTTCGGAGTTCACTGAGGTTTTCAAAGACCTCAAGGAAATTAGCGGTACTTGTTTTTACTTTTAAGTGGATGAACGCGGCAGGCGGCAACAGACTGTTGTTTGACTAGTTAGCACTACGGCCTGAATATGTAGGCAAGGTACTAAAAGTACAATAATTTCTACTAGCATCTAGTACAAGCACGACTTGGCATCCAGAATCTTGAATTACAGGAGAAAAAGTAAAAGGGTTGTGACAGGTTATGGTTAAACATTTTATTTTCGTTCGATTTTCTGTATCTGTTTGAAAGGAAAAAACCCCATAACAGGTAAAACCGTCGATGTCGAGTACACAGTCGACGGGAAACTGATTTTGAAACTCCCAGACGATACAGTGGGCGTCTCTGGTTCGATGACGCTGAAAGAGGGTGGCGGTCTTGTGATGACCAAGAAGCCGGAGACAGAAGACATCAAAATTAGCGTGAATGCCGAGCACATCGCGAAATTTGGCCCAATGGGCAGCCAGCTCAGCGATAGAGTAACCCTCTACATCGCACACGGTTACCCCTTCGTCTGCCAATTCCAAGATGCGAAGAAAACGAATTGGGCGAACTTCTACCTCATCCCACGGGTGCAAGGGTAGTCATGCCATGCTAAGAAAATACGTGTTATGCTTATGTCGAACAGATTCTTATGTCGGATTGATTCGCGACTGCTTTCGCGTATCCTCTGGTAGGTGCACCTGCTGTTGTAGAATGCTGCTGCGCAGGTGATTTAGGTCCTCTGGGTGGATCAACATTTGACCCTAACGTTGTTCTGCCGAAGGATGGAAAACAGCGACAAGTCGGTAATGATTCACTTCAACATGAAAGGGCAACATTGACTCATTTTTCAAACATTGTGCATGCCTTATTACCATAGCCTTGACCTCTGAGACGATGACGATGGACATGACCCAGTTGGGAAAATTATTGTAATGTTTCCCCTACTAGTACTAGTACACGGAAGTTTCTAGTGTGTCTTGAAGGAAGAGGTGTCCGATTTCGAAAACTGTCACCGCCTTTGAATGTTGGTGAATTGCTTGTATGAGCGAGAGACGGAAATGTCGAGGCGAGGAAATGATGACGGGACCGAACAACATTATAGGAGAGGCGAGAAGATGTTGCATGTCTAAGTGGGTCCTCGTCCATAACTACAACGTAAGTACTTATTAAGCAGTAGATGAACTGAAGGAGGTTAATATTACGCTGTCGGTCAGCTGCGAGTGTGCACATTCCTATGTGCCAGCACTGGGCGAGATCATGCTAGTCGTGGATCATCTGTTTGATCGTATGTATCATAAGAGCTCGTTCTACAGCAAGTATGTGATATTAAGAAGAATAAGAAGATCCTAGAGTCTTCTTGTTGTTCTTGGGCGAATACTGTTAATTAAATGGCCCAGTTGCAGTTAGAATTACTAAGTGCAAATGCAATCAAGAAGAATATTAAGATTTTCGACATCATAGTTCATCATTTTGTCTGGTCATAAAAAAAATCATCAAGACGATGAGTGCTGCATCTCCGGCACGTCACTCCTCGTCATCTGAGGATGAGGCCATGGATGACATGAAGTGCGCATCTGACTCATCCTGGATCACCACCGATCTTTCATCAAAGTCGTCCGGGAACGTGCGTCGAGTCCCCGAAAAAACTCACCGCGGACGATGGATTGGGTATTGTTGGTGTTCTTGCTTGTGTTTTTTATGGAACAAATCAAGCTCTATCAGATTTTGCATATCATGTGAAGCTGAGCAGGGAAGATGCCGAGATTTACTAACGTATTTTCTTTTTCAGCACGGAAACCAACTGCCTGTGTTCAAACCGCGCTCAATACTGGTCAGCATTTCTCTTGAATAACAATGGGTTTTTAGTAGGCGAGGATATTACTAATTCTTTCCTTACTTCCTTTGAATAAATGAATCAGATTAACGGGACTCTTCCTTCTGGTTGGTGTTGGAGTGGTGGCTCTGATGCTCAGTTTGAGGCCTTCCTCCGACAGTGACGCGGGAGCCGGTGGGCCCGGCACGTTACCGATTTCCACCCCCACAGGTCAACGTGGAACTGGAGGAAAGTCCAACAAATTTCTGAAAACAAGCAGAGTATCACGACAAAGTGGCGGCTCGTCAGGTGCTTCCTCGCCGTCGTCAGCTTCAGGCCGAACGAGCGCTGGGTCGGTTACACTGGCCATAGAAAATAAAGTTACTCGTGAAAATGTACAAGAAGCAGGCGCACCTGCTCGAGATCAAATGCAAGACGAGGGCGAGGAGCAACTTCGCCGTAGAAGCAATGTAAACGCTATCACGGTCGATAGGGCTCCTGCTGAGAACAGCACGACACAAAAAGCAGTAGAAGAGGGGGAGGACGGGATTCAAAGGGCTTATCTAGTAGCGAGCCAACAACTCCAAGAAGAGCCCCACTCACCAGAACCAGATTATGCCGTTTCTTCGCGATCAGTGTCTGTAGGAGGTGGTTCGGCTCCTAGTCGGGATGAAAATGCTTCGCCCGCGCCGAATCCACAAACACCCTCGCGTATGCCTCCTTTCACGGCATCTCAAAAAGATGATGACACGAGGAAGCCACCTAGTAACACTCCTTTCCTGGCAAAAACGGAAGAAAGCCAGACATCACCTCGCACGCCTACGCAATTGGATGATACTACTGTTGCGCTCGCAGTAACTTCTAGCAGCGCTGAGGACATGGCCAAAACGTCGCAAAAAGATATTGGCGACAAATCCTCTGAAGGCGATAGCGGTAGTCCCGGTTCGCAACAAAGGGAACCTAGACCGCGCGACCCTGCCAGATGTAGAAGCGCTAGTCGTGGGCGTTCAAGACACCGAGTGCGAGATGATGTGTCCGACGATGCTGCGGAGGGGGATAAAGTTAAAGAAGGGACTACGACTACTGATGGTGATGCCAGTACATCTTTCTCATCATCTTCAAATCCTGCACCTACTAGTAGTAGTAACATGAGGGCTCCGACGAGTGGTCCCACGACCACGAGAAAAGATCCCGCTGCAGCTACAGCAAGCAGAAACACGACTGAGGGGGAGTTGCCTCAGGGAATGAGAAGTAGCCATCATGTTGATAGCACAACTGATGTGACAACGGCAAATCGTGGTCGTTCAAGCGTACCAGTGCAACAAATGATAGCGGCTCTTGCTTCGACTCTCAATAACCAAGGAGGAGCAGGTAGATGCTTCAAGACTTCCTGCTTTCTCTCGTAGAAGATGTAGTTGAATTGCTGTATCGTTCTCATGTTCCTTTCTCTCAGATTGATCGTGAACATGATGTGTCATCTCGAGAACCGCATTTTCTGCTATGACTCCCATTTTCGTCCAACAAGATGATTCTCATGGCAGGTGAAATAGACGCCCTAGCAAGACGTTTTAGTCGTTCGCGAAGCGGAAGCCGGACACGAATACAAGAGGTGCAGAAAAGACTAGCTGAACAAGGACAAGTAGATCTATCACTCTCCATGCAACCTTCTAGTACGGCTTCTGCGAAAGAGGTGCAAGAGCTGATTGTGGCCGCGAAAGAAACGATTCCGGCATTGGACGAGCGCATTCATGAGTACAAGCGGGAAAGAGAAGTAGCACGCTATACTGTACCACCGGGATGGGGCTTACGCTACAGCTGGCCTTATTCGGGCAGACCATTTGGTATTTTCTTTGAGAAAACTACTCACTCTAGTTAATGCACCAGCAGAGTTTCTGTTTCCATTCGATTTGAAAACTTGTGGTTGTTATCAATTAAAAACTTGCAGCATCGATGTCGATCGCCGAAAGGTGTTCCAATTTCCCTCGAAAGCCACGCTGTCCACTGAGCAGGTTCCTTGCATTTCGGGCAGCGTTCGAGTGCGCAGCCGCTGCTAGGCGATTCTGACGAGCAGGTGGACGCAACCGTGGAGAGCCATGAAGCGTGGAAAATCAGAAAGCTAAAGCTGGACAGCATAGTGCAACCGGTGGCAGCGCCCTATCAAGCGACTGTGCTGCGTCGCACCTACGAGGCACCGCCTCCAGAAAGTGAACTAATCTTGGATGCGAATGAAATCCAGGAGCTGACACGAGCACTAGAGGAAAAGTCAGCTGCCTTGCTGCTGGAAAAATCAAGGAGGACTAATAAGAGGTGGACAAAGTCAAATAAGCAGCAGGGTGAGAAAAATATAGTCGCTGGTCGTGCGTGGTCTCGGTCAACGCTTGATTCTTCCTCTGGCAATCCAGGAAGCACGTCAATGGGGGATGATGATCAGGAGACTAGTACACCTAGCACATCTGCATCCACAGCACGAGGAGGAGCAAGAACTGGGACTACACCACTATCTCGCTTGCCTTCGGTTGACGTCGCGCCGCTTTTACCGACGCCGCCTCCCGGATCGCCGGCTGCAGAAGGCGCTTTCCTTGTAACAACACCAACGATCATGAAGGGTAGAGAAATTGTGCATGACCTGCAGGTAGAAGCAGGGGATGACGATGAGCCACCAGCAGAAGATTGGAAATATAGTGACGAACATTTAGAAGTAGTGGGTAACCACGAGGTTTTAACGAGCAAGAACAAAAAGAACATGGGTGAGGGAGTAGATGGACTAGATCAGGCCCCGGAAAAACTCCCTAATCAGGACCAAGAGCAAGGAGACAAGGAACAGTTGGCTGCGATGGTTGCATTGTTAAATTAAGGTTACAAGAAAAGGAAATCCATCTTCGCAGGCATCTTGGTCCAGTTTTTGCAAGGGAAAAGGTGACCCAAGACGTTGCTGAAGATGGGTTTCCCTTAGTTCTAATTAAAACAGCAGATAGCCTTGCGGCAAAGGTTGCTGGAAAAGTTCAAGGTGGCTAGCGCGGAAGGTTGGCGTCAAATCGGTGCACAGCCGCCTCCCGGGATCGGCCTGTGGTTCGCCGCGACTCGCAACAAGAACGTCGGTAGTGAGGCGGTTGAGGAAGGAAATCCATCTGGGCCTGACAGAGGCAGCGACGCTATTCCGGATGCAGCTGCGGATGCATCATCTTCTGTAGGTGAAGACAATCATAATCGAACAGTTTCGGACAACACAAAAAGTCACGACGACCTCACAGAAAAGAATGCCATTGCAACAGCAGTTTCCGCGGGCAACACGCAAGTGAATCGAGCCAAGCCGATGCCGAGGCAAACACCAGGACTAGGTGAGGATACAGCCAACGACGTTGATGATTTGTTCGCTCGAAATCGAATTCCAAAATTATAATGCGTGCAGATATCTACTTCTTCTACCTCTTATCGAAGAAATCATAGGTCGACCGGATTATATCGCATGTTGTTGACCAGTGTAACAATTATGACAGACTTTTTGATTGAAATTGATATCATACGATGAGAATATAGCTGATTACTACTTTCACGATTCTCCTTCCTTCTTCGCGCTCTCCTGTGACGTCAACGTCGTTTGACGGCTGCCTTGTTGCGCAGCATCGTTCACGCTGACTTGCGAGGATGGGGGAATCCACGTCTACTTCTCACATGTCCACCTTCTCACTATTGGTATTGCTCCAAGAAGAAATCATTAACTTTATCCCAATCCCACAAATATCCCAATCCCCGCGAAAGCTTTTCAGAGATGAATCTACTTGATCCTCCTTCGTCACTTTTTCTCAGCCGCGAATCGCCCCCCTCCTCTTCCTGAATATGTTATCGCACTTGCCGTGGAAATGAATTGCCATTGCGCGTACGCCCACCTATGTCAGATAGATTATCTCGCCGATTTATTAGTAAACGTAAAGTAATCTGTTCTTAATATTTTTTCCACCAAATCACTTTCACAATCTTCACATCAACGTAGAATTTCCCAGTCGTGATTACACCCTGTGATAACCATATGTCTTGTACTTATCACTATCAGACCGTCTGACGGTGTAGTAAAATATATAGTGTTGCTGTTCATCAAAAATCAGGATCTTTCTTCCAGCGGCAGTAGTGCTGGACATCATCAGGTGGATATTACTTGGCGAGGATGTGGTTGTTTTACGCTAAGTGACCACTCGTCCGGTTCGCATTGATTCATTTAATATTTTCCATCCTTTTATTAAACATCTAAGCACATCGAGAATCTTGCAGATTCTAGATCTGTGGAATGACATCACAGTTTCACATGGTTGTCCGGCGTAGTGGAAGTTCTACAACGCATTCATCTGGAGCCTGCAAAAACACACAACGCTTACCAAAAGCAGTAGGCATAACGAGAGAAGGCAACTAGTAGCTGTAGCACTCATCTTCTGTGTTTAAACGAACAGGCAAATATTTTTACCAAATAGAAAGGTCGTACTTCTTAGAAGAATTATTGAAGTTGATCATCCTCATGATCTCAGCTGTCTGGCGAATGCCAATAACAATAATGCGGCATTTTCCCAACATTTTTGGACTTATATGTTGCTGGTGTTGAAAGATTGATAATATAGTGAGTGGGAACAGCTTTTTTGAAATTATACACCGACAAGCAGGTCTGAGCCGAGTCTTCTACAATTCTCTGATGATGTAGTGGGTGTATCGTGTAGAAGTGCTGGCATCTGCATATTCATTGGCGCTCCAGCTCCACCATGTGGATGAAGACGAATGTGAATAAGGTTTTCGCAAGAGAGACGAGCAAGCAATAGCAAAGTGAAGCAACTCACTCTTGGTCTTGACATGGAGAGATGAGCGAGACCAAAGTGGAGAGAGATCTATTCTTTCGGCGCTATATCTGTCTTCGAGGAGAGAGACTGAGAAAAGTCTCGCACCCGAATCAAAGAGAAACGAGCCGATCATTCTGTTGCTATTTACAGAGGTATTGTCACAGCCACAAAAGTTATCAGCCTCTATATTTCCGTGTGAGGACGCTCATCGAGTTGTTTGAGTATACATCCAGAGGATGAAAGAGATGAAAGCGCTTGATACATGAGAGAGCGTCGGAGTCACTCTCTTTATTCTGGTCGGACCCTGAGGCCAAAAGCAAACCTCGATGCTTAATCAGATGAAGATGATCTATAACCGTTATAATGTCGCTGAACCCACTCCCACAGGTTTTCCTTTTCTGGATACTGTTTCCTGAACCTTCTAGTAGTACTACAGATTCATTGTTCCTCTTGAGGAAATAGATCATAGCACAATCGTCGGTTCTAATAGTTACCTTTTCCTTTACCTGCTTCATCGAATCACCCGAAGCAACGTGTTTGATTTCGGATCATTGGCATTTAATTTCATCAAGTTATTTGAACTCCAACTCTTGTTTACTTATTCCTTTGTCTAAGATCGTCGGTCATCAACATCACTGCGCCAAAACAATGTGGGGAACAAAACAGCCTGCTTGGTACGATCCATTGCTGGAGCTCCAGGAGAAGCCGGAACTAGCTGCAGCGATTCTTCTTGCGGGGCTTGTTGTGCTGTTGTCTGCGCGATGGGTGGTGACTCAGGTTGGCGGCGGAGCTGGAGGTGGTCCTTCCTCGTGGACTGGCGGAGACTTTACACCGGTCGAGAGCCCACATTTTACTCAGTCTGCCGAGATGGAAGGCCGCAGCGTCCATAGCATGATTGAACAGTCGCCATTGCAGGCTCAGATTTTCGCCGCGCGCGACGTTGCGTCTCTGCACAGCCTTTTTCCGTCCCACGGTGACTTCACGGACCTAGGGGATTTCGTGTCGTTCATGGTGCGCCAAGTGGCTCTCAATGATCCGCGCCGTCGCGACGTAAGCCTAGCGAACCTGCCACTGAATACCCCAGTGCAGGCCGTCTGCGGTGGAAAGAAGTCCTACTTCGATGTTCTCTTCGAAGCTCTGGAAACCAACACGGTGGTGGAGAGTTTGAACCTCGGCAACACGCGCATGGACCAGGAAGCGATGGGCGGTCTGTGTCGCATGCTGAAGAGCAACAAGAAGACTCAGCTGAAAAGCATTATTGTGGAGAACAACCGCATTTCCAAGAATGGGGCTTTTGCCTTGCTCGACGCGTTGAGGGGCCAACAAACTGTCGAAGAAATCCGATTCTTGAATCAGGTGGGAATACCTGCGCGTTGTCGCGAGATCGAGGAGGCTCTGGTCGATACGCTCGGTCAGAATCAAACCTTGTACAGGATCGGTTGGGATCTCTCGGACCCAACGTGCCGAAATAAGATCGACAGACAGTGCATGGACAATAAATCTGCTGCAAGCAAACGAGCTGCGCAAAAGAAAAAGTAGAGGAAAGATCCGAAATTATGACTCGGATTCTATCTGAAGAGATACAACTGGGTGAGGGTGATGAAGGTGTAGCGCTCAACGAGACACCATAATCAGACCCTCCAGCGTCGGTTTTTATATACTCCTACTATGGTCGTAATGTTTTTTATGCAGTAGTTTTTTAGAGAAAAAATGTATAGTTTATCGGGAGAATGCAAATGATGACATGTTAATGTTGATATTTTGATTACGTGGAGTTGATTGGAGGAAAGTCCACAGAAGTAGCGCCTGTGAGTGTTAACTCCTGGTCGATAACAGTGTTTGAACGAACGTATGTGAAAAATGTTTGTATACAGCGCATCACACAAAAGCAGTAAAAGGGTATACTTCTTACTGAGCCTGTAGTACTAGTACGCAATGAATAAGATAAATGTTTAGGAGAAGGGAAGATAGTCTTAGTCATATCTTCTGCGCTAGCAGATACACAGCTTTACATGACAAAATATTATGCTTGATCATTCAGAATCAGTTTTAGAATAAATTTAGAAACCATGCTGTGACCAGATTTCTGGCCGATCTTGGGTAGGAACTCTGATCATCTTCATCGTGACCAAACGAGCGGTAAATGAAAAAGTATACGCGTCAAGGTGAATGTCACCATTGGATGAGGGTAAAAAAGGATGTGCTTCATGTCGGAATGAGACATCCCTTGTGTTCCAATTTGCGTGTTGCAATCATACGGCGATAGATCAACAAGTCTCTACGAGGTCGAGAATGTTCTTAGCAAGGCTCATCTCGGACGAAGCATGTCAGGGTGAGGGCATCATAAAAAGCAGTTCTAGGGATGAAGATCATCATGAAAAGCAATTCTAGAGAGGTACAAACAGGAGGTGCACCTGAAGTTCCCGTGATACGAGATAGTATGATGAAAGATGGTGTGCTGAAGTTCTTCTTGTCAAAGTCAGGAGATCTGAACATCTGCATAAGCAAGATCCACATGCCCATCCCCATGCTCACTCCGGAATCGCTCCACCTTGACAATTCATTTTCCTTGACCCGTTCAATTTTCTTATTTCCTTTTCAACTTCAACAGCCCAGCGACATCACTAAAAACAAATAGTTGATCATCGGCACTACCTTTATCTACTTGAGCTTGGCTTGTTTTATCCGTGCCCTAAAGTTTACTTCATCTTTGCGCTTCCTATTCCTTATCCTTATGCTTTATTAGAGATAAGCAGGCCCACACCTAACCTAACCTAACATAAGTTTAAGCAGGTCTGTGCTTTAATGAATCCTCAATCATGTCGTCGACGAATGCTGCTGTCGCTTGTTCATCTTCCAGCTCAGGACGTCTGAAGGCTTTTGCGCAGACCGTCGGCATATCGCTGGCACTGTCAGTGCCTGTAATTCTCTACTTGCGAGCACGACGAAAGCGCGCAGAGAGACGAGGGCGAAGCCGCTCTCCACGTCAGCGCGGCCGATCTACTAGTTCGACGCTGATCGCACAGCGAGGAGAAGGATCGAACGCAGATGAACAGAGCCAAGGCGCGGGTTCTCGCCTAGAAAAATATGACGGACCAGTGCTACGTGTGCAGTTGTGGCACGGGTCGCAGACGGGAACGGCCGAGGAGTATTGCGACACGCTGAAGCAGGAGCTTAACACCTCTTTGCAACGCATACTCGGCATTTCGAAGGATGCGGGTTTTTTTTCAGTGGAAAGCAAGGCACTAGAGGATTGTGAGGATATTGAAGTGGATTTTGGAAAAGACGAAGAGAGCACAACCGACGATGATGACACTGAGGAATCTTCAAATAGTGAAGAAGAAGATCACACTTGTAGTGCTGCTGCGAGAGGAGGTGAGGCACAAGGTGCCACAGCTGCCGCGACCGAGAGTTTGCCATTGCGACTCCATGTTTTCCTGGTTTCCACGTATGGAGAAGGTGATCCGGCTGAGACGGCGGAGGATTTCTATAATGCGCTAGCGGAAATGGTAGAAGACGATGTTAGCACGGCAAAACGACTTTTTGGTAAGGCTAACACGCGCTCAGCCGTCTTTGGCTTCGGCAATAGTGGATACGTCCACTTTAACGGTGCGGCAAAAACTTTGTTGAAGCACCTCGACGCGGCCAAGGCCAAGCAGCTCTGCCCTGCCGTGTTGTTAGACGATATGACAGACCTAGATGAACAGTTCAATCCTGGAGTCGAAACTTTGGTTGCCGCACTCCAAAAATGGGTAGTCGGAGATTTGTTGGCAAAAGCCGGAGAAGCAGCCTCTATTACTAGTGCAAGTCTCTGTTCTATGCTGCGACGTCGGTTCTTCCCGTCGGACGATGTTTGGACCAACATTCTCAAGGGCGTGGCCCAAGAGGGCCAGGAGGAGTCAGCCGCAGAGATGCAGCGAAGAGTTGCACCGCTCAGTGGTTCGCTTGTCGTGACATCCCCTACAACTACGGACGAGAAGGCTTCCAGCATTTCAAAGGCCAAAAATTCATCATTCACGTTTCCCCAGGTCGTAGCAAAAGATATTCCGGCGCAGGCGTTGTTTGATCGCCATGAGCTTCGAGTACTTTCCCGCATCATGCTCTGTGACAAATACCAAACCGTCAGCGGTGAAGAGAAAACTGGGCCTATTTTTACGACTCCTGCTAGCGCAGACGCAGAATATCCGGATCACGGAGAATCTGGAGGCCCATCTGAAACTCCTGCGACGAAAGCAGCAACAGCATCGCCTAAGGCAGCAGAGGCCCACAAGGTGAGTCGTGGGACGACGGAGGTGTTCTTGGACGTTCCCAAGCAGCACGTCGCTATGCTCAGTGCAAATGCAGGAGGCCCGATCGCGCATAATGTAGATGTTCTTCCCGAAAATGATGCCTCACACATACAATTCATAGTAGACAGCTTCCTGTGGCCTTCGTCATCCACCAATGCTGTAGTAGGAGTTGCTGAAGAGCAGCACCATTTATTGTCAAATAGGTCTAGGTCTACTACATCTACAGCGCAGCTTTTGGAATGGAGGTGGCACTGGGTGGAGGCAGCGCTACAATCGCTGGAGGACGAAGTAAAGATCAGCAGCACAAAGGTAAAGGAAGCGAATGGACGTGTTGTCCCAGCTGACAAGCCAACACCTTCAAGCTCATCAAGTGTGGGCAGGGCCATTCGTATCCCAGCAGCGTTGCTGCCAGGTTCTTCATCGAATAGACCTGAACAGTCGACGACGGCAGCATCTACGACGGCTTTGAATACTTCCGCGAATAAAATTTCAGTGCCTTTTCCAAGCGGTCTCAAGTTGCGTGAAATCCTATCGCGGTGTCTTGATCTAAAGCGTTTTCCGAAGGCAGCTGAGGTCAAGAAATTTCTCCCGTTCGCAAGAGACGCCGAGTCCCTGGCTTACTTGCGGGATGAGGTTTGCACCGAGGAAAATCTGGCTCACTTCCGCGATGCAAGGCTGAGCTTTGCGCTCTTCTTTCGGGTCTTCCTGTCGCAACATGTCGAACTGTCGCTAGCGCAGTTCCTCCAGTTGTGTCCCCGAATGAAGCCACGCGTTTTCACCGCTTCTTCAAGTCGGGTAGTCGACCCAAATAGGGTGGGCATGATACTGTCGGCTGTCCACGAAACAAATCACAAGAAACTTGATTTCAAGCTCGTCAAGAAAATTGTACAAAAGTCGCCAGATCACGTACACAGCACCGCCGAAGCAAGGGCACCTGCTGCTGCAAACAACCGTGGTCTTCTGGATGAAACCATGCTTCGAACATTAGCCGAAGCGCACGCGGGACAGTATCTTGGACATTGCTCAGATTTTTTGAGTAACGGTCCTCGAGAACCTCATCCAATAAGGCACTCCGGGTCTACTTTCGACATGAGTAGCAGCGACATTCTTTCGGTGAAGATAGCGAAGCCAACATTGCACTTTCCACCGAACCCCAGGGTGCCAGTCATCCTCATAGGCGCAGGGACCGGATTGGCGCCATTCAAGGGATTTTTAGATCAAGAGCGCATCCTGAAGTCGAAACGCGAAATCATGCTTTTCTTTGGATGCCGTAGAAGAGATGAAGACTTCTTGTATCGGGACTATTTCGCAGAACTGGATCCGAAAGCAGCTTTAGGGACATCAAAACCCCCACATCAAAATTACAAAGAAGTTGTGGTTGAAGTGAAACAAGAAGATCAAAATTACAAAGAAGTAGCTCCAGGTCCGGCAGCACCTCCAGCACGCCAACAATTACCAACACTGCCGAACTTCCGTTTGGTTTGCGCGTTTTCGCGCATGAGCAAGAATAAAGTCTACGTGCAGGACAAGTTGAAATTGCATACTGCTGAACTACGCGATTTCTTAGTCGAGCAGCGCGGCCAAGTGATCGTGTGCGGTGCAACGTCGATGGGTCTGTCAGTCCGAGAGGCCATCACTATGGCCATCGGGCGCCACGAAATGCAAAAGCTCCAAGAGGAAAAGAGGTATCAAGAAGAGGTGTGGGCTGTTTGATGATCAGGTGGGACGAGCACCGCCAGCTTTGATGTTTCTCCCGTATTGCTATTTCATTTCCATCTAGAATATTTTTTGGACTTTTCCACGACTGTTGACCACTATTGCTTTGATGAAAAGCACCCTATCCCGAAAATGATCTACTTGTTATTTCTGTTATTGCTGTATGATCCTCAATGATCGATATCGGAAAAGATCAAAAATTAGCAGTTGTCCGACAAGGAAAGATTATGAGCGTGCTCTTCACGCGATTAGCTCATTGAGTTCCACAAGTGTTTCTAATTTTTATCGGTATCAATTAAGAGCTAGAGCAAGTAGCGCAAAGACAACGTATCAAACTCGAAGCTTGATGCGAAGCAAATTATTGTGATTTGCGAGTGACACAGCTACAACATCAACAAGAGTAGGAAGCAGGAGACGTAACGGCGGAGATGGCTTTCGTGATACTTACTCGGTCTCGGTCACTTCGTGTCTTTCCCGGACAACTTCCACGCAGTTAATGTATCAGAAGTAACGCTCGCTAGATCGAATATTTCTGGAACCAGTCCATTACCATTTTCAGCGCAGGCAAAAGACCAACGCGCAGGTTCGGTAGGATGGAAAGAGTATTTCCGTGACGCCCCACAAACATGTCTGGTGGATCTTACATCTCATTATTTTCATCTGTTACTAGAAGGACGTGCCGTGTTGTCTCCTTAAAAGTAACGCGGAAGGGGACGCCGGTCGGCACATCATGCCTTTTTTTCCTAAAACTATGTTCATATTGCTGGCTTCAATTCGTTTGGTGTGAAGATATAACAAGTGGCGCACTGTGGGCTCTGCGTGTCGACAGCTCGTTAAGAGCGTGTCTCTGGCGCAATGAGTCCTTGACTGATTCACGACAAGACAGAGCTGTGTTTCCAGGTCATTTCGTGGATGTCAGCTTAGATGCGCTTCCGAATCCATCTCTTGTGGCATATAGTCCGGACGTTGTGCAGAACGTGTTGCAAATCCGGAGCAAGGAAAATCAGGATGAGTACGGAGTCAACGACACCAGAGCGACTCTACGAGGGCAGCTAACGTCGGCGCTCTCCGGCAACAAGTTGCCACCCGGATGGAAGCCGTGGGCGACGGGCTACGGCGTCTCGATTCACGGGCAGTGGGTCACGGACAGTCCGCGTGGGGGTGTACATGGCTACGGGGATGGGCGAGCGATGTCTATCGTCGAGGTTGCTATTAATAACCACGACAATCTTCGTGCAGCGGGGAAAGATGCATTTATTTCGGCAGCTACAACTAGAACTAGTGAACTTGCGGCTGCAGCTGGTTTCACCCATGCCGAGGGAGGCAAGTGTCGCGGTGCGCAAGAAAACGCCACCGAAGGGGTGGAAAAGCATGAAGGAGAGAGTGCGGATTCGGGAGCTCATCCGAACTGTAGCGTTTCGGCTGATGCTGACAAAGAGAATAATCTTCGAGAACTAGTAAATGTTGATCATGCTGCGTTGCGGAGAAGTTTTTTCTTTCCACCGACAGAGCGTTGGGAGCTTCAAATAAAGGGATCAGGCCGGACTTCCTTCTCGAGAAGCGGGGATGGTCGCGCAGCTCTGCGCTCTAGTGTCCGAGAGTTCCTTGCGAAGGAGGCCATGCATTTTTTAGGCGTGCCCACTGCGCGAGCACTGGCTCTTTTGGTGGACCGTGATCTAAAGATTCAGCGTCAGTGGTACCCCGAAGCGGCGAAAGCTAGTGGTGATCTTGATGATGATGATGATGATGGTTCTTTCATTGATGCAGTAGGAGATCATCAATCTTCGGTCTCATTAGCTTCAGGTGGAAGAACAATTAGCAGCACTTCACGCAGCCGCAATGCCGCTAAAATTCTCTGGCCGGAAGGAGCGATTGACGAAGATCTCTCGCCAAACCAAGAAATATACCGTGAAGAGCAGGCAGCGATGTTAACACGTGTCAGTCCTAGTTTTCTCCGCGTAGGTCAGCTGGAACTTCATGCCAAGGAGAAGTCTACAGATGAATTTGCTACTCTGTTTGGCTATGTTTTGTGGCGTGACTTTGGAGATTATCTCGATTGTGGAACAAGTGCCGTTAAACAGCAGTGTAGCTTTGGAGGCATCTTCGACGAGAATCAAATTGTGCATGGAAAAAACGACAAAGACCATTATTCTTCAACCTCCACTAGTACAGCAGCAATAGCAAGAAATAGGGCTGCTTTGCGAAAGCTAATTACAGTTCACAATTTGAAAGTCTTCTTTGTGGTTTTCGCGCATCGGCAGGCTTTGCTCCACGCAGACTGGCTGCGCGTTGGCTATGTCCAGGGAAATATGAACAGTGATAACGCACTCCTGTGCGGCTATTCTGTGGACTATGGTCCCTTCGGGTTTCTGGACGGGCCTTTTCGATCGAAGTGGTGCCCGTGGGTCGGCGGCGGAGACAAATTCTCCTATTCGCAACAACCTCTTGCCGGCAAAGTGATTCTTTCCACTCTAGCTCGCCGCATCCTTCGAAGTGGTAAATTACTGGAGATTTTGGCCGAAAATAGCGAGAACCATGCTAGCGAGGAAGATTCTGACAACAAGGATACCATAAATAAAAGAATCTCCAAACAGAATGAACTTGAGAATTTTGTGGATAGCCTTGTAGATCGCTACATGAAAGACATTTTCCGCACTTACCATGACGCGAATGCACGAGCAAGATTGGGTTTTGGACCGTCAGAACAGCAGGTGCAGGAGATCCAGCTACTCTACTTGCTTACTGATGCACATGCAACAGTAGATTCTCAACATAAACATTCTAACCCTTCCAGTACAACTGGTCCATCTTATCATCAAGAACAAGAACAAAATAGGTGTGATCCTGCTTGTTCGTCTTCGGCCCGACTTGCTCTACTCGAGAAGCGTCCTCGTGCAACCGCTGCTCGACGATTGCTTGCGGAATTCGAATCTAGTTCTAGATTCTCGCCTAGGACTGCAAGAGCTGCGTCGTCCAGCAACAAGAAATCGGCTGTGCTGAAATTGTACGATGAGCTCGAAACGCTGATGGAAAGAGAGAATATGGATTTTATCTTCACCCTGCGTGGCCTTTCCGATGTTAGGGATGGCTTTGAATCATCATACCAAATTCTTTTCGACCCTCAGCCTTTTCGACGTTCTCTCGGATTTGAAGTACATGATCGGAGCAGCGAAGCAGGGAGTGGAGAAACATTACAGCTGCCTCAGGCATTTAGGAAGTGGCTTCTGAAATGGCGCGATCTGCTTGCGAAGGAGCAAGGACTACAAATGCAAAGAAGCGCGTCTTCATCAATTTCATCCACAACACCGTCATTTCTTCTTCCGCCAGAAACACGTCGGACAATGAAACAGACGTCACCATCATTAACGCCAAGGAATTGGATCCTTACGGAGGCCTATGAAGCAGCTGAGCGTGGTAATTTTTCTCTGGTTCAAGAACTTTACGAGCTGTTCGCGAAAGGCGGTGCTTACCATGACTATCCCGAGGACACACGCTGGGTACGCACAACTCCTCCTTGGGCGAGGGAAAAAGCTGGAGTTCATTACATGAGCTGATCTTCGTAACTCCTGTTGAAAGCATCGCGGTTGAGAAATTGAAATTCACAGGAGTTCTAATAGTTGTCTGAGACTGCGACTGAAAACTTAGTCGATAAAGTTGATAAACTACCTATATCTTTATCTGTAACCTTGGTTGATAAAAAATCAAAATGGTGCAGGTGTTGATTAAGTATTCTGATTCTTGATGCTGACTACCGACTACGACTAGCTGCAGATACAGTAGCGCCAATGATTGATAGTACACTGACACATCTATGTTGATAAGGCCTGCTTGAGATTAAGTCGAACATTTTTGAAGTCAAGGCTTGATAATTGTTGATAGTCATAGTGAGGCGCGTACGGGCACGCTCTATAAAAATATGAGCACGCGGAGACTTGTGCCCGCTCTGAGTGAGGGCTAGTATGCTTATTACGTCGCTGATTTCAATTTACATGTACATGTAGAAGATTCATTAATATTTTTGACTAGTAGCACTAGCGGGCCATCATCATGAAAGATGCATTTAAGTACGACATTCCATATGAACAGATTGAATTTGTGATACTTGCTCGCAAGGATACAACTTCTTTTGGTTGAGGACTAACACGCAGCACTTTCCGCGTTAATTACGCGATGTTCGGCACCCGATGCATCGAAAGCCTAGGTTAGAAGCTGGTTGCTCAGAGTACTCACGACAATCATGAGCACGCTGAAGATCAAATCAAAGTCGTAAAAAGCTATTGTGATAGAAGTTTGAGTTCTTGTTCTTCGTTCCGCTCGGAGATGACAAAAATAAGATCAAGATCGATGATGTTCTAGTCCAGTATTAGTCTCGATTCTACCTTTATCTCTATCACTACCGTCGTGGTAGCGGGCCTGGCTTTCCGGGCATCAAGCGATGCAGGAGCAGGTGTCGAATTTCCTCTCTGGGTTGAGAGGGCACTCACTCCCACAAAGTGGAACGCCATTGCTGACAGCAAGGCCCGCTGAAAAACTTCCACCATGCGGAACCGAATTGCGGGAAATCGTGCTTGTCTGCGTCATCTTGACCGCATTGTGGTACTGGCTATAAATATGGTGTTATCGCGGATCATCTCGATCGAGTGCACGCAAATTCCGGTGGCGAGGACATGCTGTACGGGCATATCTTTCGGAACGATTATGCATGGGTTGCGACTGTGTACAATACTGCAAAACTTTTTTTTAGTCCGAGTCCGTCAACCTCAACTTCAACGGCGCGCATAGAGTAGCAGTATATTACAAGAATCACGACACCAGCTAGATCATCAAGCAGTTTTCAACTGAAGTAGGGCGCCCACGGCCTGGCCGCGAGGATTTTGACTTATCTCGATAGCGACGGTCTTGGATGGTTAGCAGCTGCTATCAGCAAGGCAGTGCGGAGCGGTGGCTCGTTGGCTGAGGTCCCAGGTGAATTCCACAGATGCAGGGACGTCCCACTCTACAAGGGTAAAGCGTTTTGCGTTCATAAGAGCAAGGCACTGGGGACATGTTCTGCGGTCGGAGGCCTCTCCTTTGGAAAGAGCTGTGGTCCTGGGCCAGTTTTTCCCAGAAAGGGCTTCTACTTCAGTCGGTCGCGAGGACTATTTCAGAACAGTAGAGCAGGATAAGTCCAAGACTCCTCAGCAGAGAGTGGTATACTCTATGCAAGCACAGCTATCAGATCATCTTACAAAACGTTGCGGACTTACGCCTGGACACGTTACAATGTTACTTCAGCCACTTCATCCAAAAGAGGACGTCGAAGCAGAAGAAATGCCGGATGTCTCTACTAAACAAGATCTAACTAAGTACGCTGAGCGAAAACAGTTCTACTACTTGTCGATAAGGCTGCCTTTCATTCGGGACACAATAGCAAAGTGGACCCAAGGCCTAGAAGTAAGTCAGTGGGAGAATGAGCAGCTATGGGGCGAAATGATAGCAAAGCATCTGTTGAGTAAGACCTCAGGGCGAAGAAGACAGGAAGAAGCATCGGCGCGAACGATGATTGAAGGCCTCCCTCTCCACATACGCCACATCGGGTGATAGGATTGTGCCAGATCTACCCAGAGTTAACTCTGAGATAAGCATCAGGATGACCGGAGGCGCGGACTGCGTGCTAACGTCATTAAGTGGGGGATGCCAGCAGCGGTCGTCTCATCTTAGCATCATAATTGACCCTCAGTGCTCTGAGTCAGGAGCAATAGCAATTGTAACGGTAAGGCCAGGAGCTGGAAAGGACAGGGGCTCAGTTGCCTTGAGCTTTCAAGCCCCTGCCTGGATATACAAAATCGACGCTGCGGCAGCAGGTCAAGGCGCTGCTAGTTTGAAGAACGAAGCCAGAGTGAGTGAAGGTTGGGAACGGCATCAATCGGATGCAGTGCAAGATCATGCTACGTGGCACCGTGTTAGAATGATAAGGAGACTTATAATGCCGTCCACTGTGGAGCTTTCAGTAAGCCTGAGAGATCGCGCGCCGCTGATGCTGATTGAGTTAGCGCCAATAGTAGGGAGCGCAGAGATTCAAGCGAGTCTTGACCCTCATGCTACAGGGATTTGCCCTGCATGTAGCTGGAGAGCAATAGGCGAAGATTGCTGTTGGGAAATAGGCGCCACCAGGTCAAGGGCTGAGGCGCTAAAGCTCCACATCCTACAACATCACGCCATGCCTGAACATCAGCCCACTCAATTAGCTAGAAGGCTGATGGAGGAAGCGAAAAAGGACAGTGTCGACGAGTATAAGGTCTTAAAAAAAGAGCAGCAGAGGAAAAACGTGGAGGGCCGTGTTTTCTGGCGGCTTCGGTCAGTAGGACCGAAGAGGAAAGGCAAGAAGAAGTATGCGGAGCGATACTGGTGTAGGATTTGTAAAGTCTCCTACTCTACATCTTACGGAGCGATGGTGCAACATGACCAGGAACACAAGAAGCAGGACCCGGCCAAGGTCTAAAGAGTTGTGGAATTTGGTAGAAAGAAGCAAAGCAGCCCAGGCCCCAGCAAAAGTTGGAACAAGTACCGCCCAGAACAGCACGCTATACACCCGCGAACGGGATCGCATTATCCGGGGCCAGGAGTTCGCCTTGACTCGTTTAGGATACCAGACGAGCTGCACTTGAAATGGAAAGCAAAGGACTATCTGCGATGTCTAAACTGCAAGAAGTGGAAGATTGAATTTCAAGAAGGGGAGATGTCAATGCAGGCTAAATCAAAAAGGATTGACTTATATAAAAGCCACAAAGAGAAGTGCATCAAAAAGGTTAGAAAATAAAAAAAGGTTAACTTCAACAATTAAGTCCTGCGAACGACCTCTTGCTAGGTAAATGAATGAATGAATGAGGGGGTAATAGATATATTATAAGTAAGTAGAATATGGCATATGCGTGGTCTGACTACAACTTCTTTGCGTGCTGTCTTGAAATTTTTTGGCTTTGTTGATTCTTGTTGTTGTTCTTTCCTCTCGCTTTACTTTCAACTACACGTGGTTCATCGGAGTGAATGGATTTTGGATAGGGCACGTGCCAATGATGATTTCGGTTCGCAACAACGTAGACTGGCGCATACACAAGAGAATTCTATTGGCTTTCTCGGGTTGGATTCTCACGCAGTTCGTCGGCCTCGTCGCCAACACTTGGTACAAAGAGGCCAAAGTGAACGCTCAAAATCTCACAGATGGCTTCGTAAAAGCAGTGGACCACAGCAAGGATACAATGGAGCAGGACGTGCGAGCAATTGCGGTTGCTCAAGAAGGAGAGCTGGAGCGATCCCCAGACGACCAGCAAAACTATACTAGCGTAGCTTCGAAGTTGCTGTTTTTCCGTCCATTTTTTTTTTGATCTATGCCGCTTTTTCGGCAATCGGAGGGGTATGTCAACTGCTTTGGGCGAAATACTGTACAGAAATTCCAGAAATACCCGAGATATATTTTGGAAAGGTTGCCGGTTGCTGCCGACTTCTAGGTACTTTTTTGTTCCTCCTCTGTACAACTTATGACGGAATCACTCAACCGCTCTTTGATGGTTGAAGCTTTTGATTCCTATTCCAGCACTTGTAGTTGCAAATGCAATTTGAAAATAAAGTTGAAAAGTGGTCGTTGCGCGATGACATTAGCGCCGTGGTCGTGGTGATACTGGAAAAATAATCTGTCCCGACACTCCTTCTTTATGAAGAAAGGAATTGTGAGTGCCCGGTACAAACACAAGTGATATAATCATTACTTTCTGAGAATTTCGATTCCCTCTTGCGATTCCGCCACGCATGATTTTGATGAAGACTCTAATCCTTTTTCGTGTCGGTTTATGATGTTATCGAGCGCGAACCGTGAGGACGGATATGATCGGTGCAAGTTCGGCTTCTGTCGATAATGACTTCTTCGTCTCAGTAAAACGCGTCTTCGGGGGTCGGTGCACTTTTAGCAAGATCCTACGAAGCGTCACTTGACGTAAGAAAATCTGTGATGTTGAAGTCGTGTGCTAGTTACGATATGAAAATAAATAGTCACACGTCCTTCCCCTTCTGTTTTCACGGATCGGCCCTATGCTGGGATGATATTGCATCAGCCTCTGTCTCTGTATCGGCCGTCGATCTCGTGCTGTTACGCGTGCACAAGTAAGTGGTCATCCCTCATTCAACACATCCACGACTACCCCGCTGCTGATGATAAAGGTAGCTTTCTCGTCCTTCATAACTCCTCATGCCTCGTCCCACTTTTATGAGGCTAATGCTGTAAGCATTATTTCGTTTTCAAGGTGGAAGTAAAAACCAAATATAGAGATAAGTGCTTGATAATGATACTAGCCTCCTGGTGTGGTTCCCCAGGGGAAGGATGCGATGGGAACACGAGACACCTGCTAGGCGAAGCACGTGCGTGGACACTCTTCAGCAGGCGCCAGATTTGACAAGAAGCTTCAGAAATGTCACCGAACAGGATGGCCGACGGCTGAACCAGTGCGTTGGATTTGAATAACAAGGCGGCGCGATCCTGTGCGGGTGCCTTACGCCTGAAAGGGGTGGGGGCGCTTGCGGGCCTATCCTCAGGCGGAAGACGTAGGCAGGCGCATGCCCTTCGGGGCTGATTCGTCCCCCGGGGTCTGAGGCTTTCAGAGGCCACGCGGGTCCGCGGGGGTTCAAAGGTGGAGGGTGTTGCCCGTCTGTGATTCGTGGCTTGGCGGCGTGGCGCTGCAAGCAGGTGACGCGACTGCACTGGGCCGCCGCCTCGCACAACCGGGCAGCGCGAGCCATGGGGAGGGGAGACGAGACGGAGCGGCGGGGCGCCAAAGTTTACGCCTTAACGCTCAAAATTCATGGCTTAACTTTCCGAAGTCATGGCCTAACTTTGAAAGTTCACGCCCTAACTTTCGAAGTTCATGCCTTAGCTGTCGCAGTTGATTTCTTGAGTGTCAAAATTCGCGCCCTAGCATAACAACTTTCGAAATTCATGCCCCAGCTTTTAAAATTCACGCACTTACTGAGCGGCGGAGGAACTTTCAAAGTTCACGCCTTCACTTTCAAAGTTCACGCCTTCACTTTCAAAATTCATGCCCTAGCAACTTTCACAATTCATGCCCTAACCAACGCGTTTCAGAGTCCATGCTTTAACTTTCAAAGTTCGCGCCTTCTGTGTGTCTCAAAATTCATGCCCTTTGTTCCCTTTCCAAGGTGTGCTGCAAATCTTGATTGGCTTTCACCCTTTGGTGAAGGTTTAGGCCCTGCGGCGCTCAAAGCACTAAGTAAAACAACCGGTTAGTTTTCACCGTGATCACAATCGTAGGCTTATCCCGTGCAACAAAATCCATGCCCTAACTTTCAAAATTCTAAATCACGCTTTGACTTTCACAATTCACGCCCGAACTTTCGCAATTCATGAGCATTCATAGCAAAGCGCTGCGCGCTTTTGCAGTGTTCGCTGTCGCCGCGTTTGTTTGTTTTCAAAGTTCAAAAGTCAAAATCAGGCCTAAAGACTAAGCCTCAAAAAAAATCAAAGCTCAAAATCAAAGCTCAAAATCAAAGCTCAAAAGCAAAGCGCAAAATAAAAAATCAAAGGAAAGGCTCAAAGGCTAAAATCAAAGTACAAATAGAAAAACAAAACTCAAAATCAAAAAATCAAAACAAAGGCAAAACTTTACAAGTAAAGCGATTGACTATAATTCCCATTGCGTGCCTATCCAATTTCAAACCATCAAATTCTATGAGTTCTTGCTTTTTCATCTTGTGCTAGTTGGATAGTTGTACTAGATGTTGTAGTTGAGTAGCTGCTCCTCTTCTTCTTCTTGAGTGTAGGTGCTATATTCCTATTAGGGATGCACAGAATAGAACTCTTCTTCTCCATCTCCTTCCTTGTGATGGTGTACTATAATTATCTTCTAAGCACAAGCAGCGAATGGAGGTAAGACTAAGATAAATATGCTTCCAGACAAGTATATCCCCGCCATCTTTCAATATCATCTAACCAAAATAGTTAGAGTACTGTACTTTCCTCCAACGTGTTGATGAAATTGATGAAGATCGTAGGCTGCTCTTTTGTTGTAAGAAAGAGAGGGACAGAACTGGAAGAACGGCGCTCGAGGACGCAGTGCACTGACACTGGGTGTGCGTAGCAGAACAAGTGTCAAGATAGATGTGAAAGTAGAAAGAAGTAAGTAGTAGAAGTAGTATTGGCACATGGCTTTGGCTGTTCCTCAACATCGTACGGGGATGATCTTCGACCCGAACGTGAACGTGATGTCGGAGCCGCAAGATGTGGGTCTTGTGGACGTAGATTAAGGCCCTTGGTCGTGTTGTTGTTTTTTCACTATCTATCCAGGATGAAGCTCCTCCTCCTCGTCACGGATAGGTCCTACTCAGGCACATAATCATAATTGATATTTGGTTTCCGGACTTGGTAAGTATGCTCACACGCTCAGGCGCTCACATGCTTATCCAGTTTCAGGACTACATGTACATATTGAATTGCGAAAGATTTTTCTTAAATTCTTCTGACCTGGGCTTGTCAGGTAGTTACTTCCAACTCAATAAGTGGATCAAGATAGACTGTTCCTTTCTTCGTCGATGAAGTCCACGACGTCAGGGTTTCGAGGAAGAGAAATTCACTCAGGTAAGGATAATAGTGACAAACTAAACGGCTTCTTCTAAGAATAGGTGGACAGTTCCGGCTTTTTGCATCATCGTGGTCTCGAAGGACCTCCTGCAGATACAACGTTACCCCATGGGGCTGCTAGCTTCTTGCAACGCTCGTGGTTTTTATGGAAAAATGCACCAACATGCGCCAGAGAAGGTTATAGCACGCATGGCACATGGAGTGCATGGAGCACCTGCAGCCTGCCCACGCATGGAGTGCATTGAGTGCGTCGCAAGCGTGTAACGGACGGGCACGCGTGGAGCATGCTCCGCCGAAGTTGGGTCTGATAGGCTAGACGCCCGGGGGGGGGGCGCTTGGTGATGTGTCGGCGGTGACTTTACCAACGGCGCTGCTGCTGGTTTGTGGGGGCCCTGAGCTAAGGGGACCGGCTGGCGAGTGAGTGGTTCGGGAGTTGTAGCCGCCGGGGGTTTGTAGCGTAGGCGGGGAGTTGTAGCCCCAACCATGGGCGCAGCCGGCGACGCAGAGGCTGATGCCTTGGCCGCCTTAATGGCTCCCGCCCGCGAGTGGCCTGGGAGTCTTCGCTGTCAGGGTTGTCTGATAGACCAGACGCACGGGGGGCGCTGTCTTGGACGGGATAAATATGTTGATGCCCAGGGGTCGCGGGCGGCGCTGCAGCTGCTTGGGTGGCCTGAGGACGCCGGCCCTTGGCCGCGAGTGAGCGGGCCGGCCCGGCCGGGGGCTCTGCGTAGCAGTCGGACCTGGGCGGGTTGGCAGGGGCTTCCCCGGAGTGCCGAGCTTGAGGCGTGTACACTCTGGCAGAGAGGCGCCTGAAGCATGGAGTGCATGGAGTACCTGCTCCATGTGTTCCATGCACTCCATGCCATGCGCCCGGTGAAAACTTACACTTACAACCCAATAAAGACAGGGGTCGATAGACTAAAACTACTAGTACTACAAGAATGCAAATCGCTGCAAGAGCATTTTTACATATTGCGTCCCCATTTACCTTGCCCTTTGTCCCCTCCGTTTTTCACCATCAACTTTGAATGAATGCAGCACCATAGCCAACATTGTTCAACGAGAGCTGCCTGTCTGCAATAGATATTTCTAATTCTACGCGCAGCAAGCTAAAGCTTAAGCTGATAATTCGAACTTCTTTGCTCTGCTCTAAAACTTTTTGGGCCGTCGAGTAAGGTAAGCAAGCACGGCGGACAGTCGGAGCAGCAGCTACAATATGCTAAGAAATCAATGGCTGACGAATTTCAAATGTCCGTATCCACTCACTTTCTCGTTTGCTTGAGTATTTTCGGCGCGGCGGTTTGTCTCCTGGCACTCGGGCGTCGAGGAACTTTTATCCTGCGGTTTTTGATCGGCGCTTCCTTGGCACTCACTCTGATGCTAGGATTCCCACAAATGATCTCATTGGTCATGACCGCACTGCACGTCCACACACCTTGGGGAGTCCTTCTCTTCTGGCTCGTACCGATTGCGGCAGTAGGGTACCACAGTCACTGACCCATATACTTATAAGTCTATCCTTGTTAGCAGTTAGCTTGCTTTTTAAGGGCGCCGCGAGCGCGACACGTGCGAGACGACTGGGTCGCGCGCGAGCATCATAAAATAAGGGGCAAAAGAGTAGTGATGGTCAAAAGAGTCTAGAGAGGTTTTTTGAGGGATTGTCGGGGGGAGAAGGGGGGTCCTAGGGGGGAGTAGGGGGGGCCCTGCCCCTGTCCGACCCCTGTGCCTGTCCAAATGGTCAAAAGAATCGCGGCTGGGTTTCTTGAGGGATTGCCGGGGGGAGAAGGGGGGGAGGGGGGGCCTACCCCGTGGAACCCTGCGAGCGTCCTACCCACCTGAGGAGCGTGACGCGCGAGAGAATACCAGCGTGACGCGTGAAGGCGTGACGCGCTTAGGAGCGTGACGCGCGAGGAAGTACCGGCGTGGCATCGTGGCGCGCTTAGGAGCGTGGCGCAAGGAGTCTCGTTTCGCTTGGTGGTGTCTCAGGGTCGGGCGTTGCTCGTTCTGGGTCTCGTCTTCAGAGGTATACTGGGAGGCATATTGGAGGGCATATCGGTGGGTGCGCGCGTGGGTCTGGTGTTGTTTTTTGGGAGGTATATGGAGAGGTATACTGCAGGCTTTTCGTAGGTGTATCGGGTGGCATATCGAAGGTATATCGGGGTTATGTAGGGGATATTCGCGCTCTCTACTTGAAATCCGCTGCATCTCCTTCCACCAATATCCCCCCGATAGCCCCCTCGATAACCCCCTGGGTATACCTTTGAAATTTTTGCTTTTCGGCTCGGTTTTGGGTGCTGGTTTGGGGTCGTGTGTTTGGTGTTGGGCTTGGTCGAGTCTAGGTTTGGCGTTTTCGATTTCGAATATGCCTCCCGATATACCTCACGCCGCGGCTCTCAGGGCGGCCGACACCCTCTGGGCGGACGGAGTTCGTTTAGGGTTGGCCGCGTCTTTATCTTTTTTGATATGCCTCGGATATCCCTCTTCTTCGCTTGGCCGGATCCGCATGATTCGTAAGGTCGTAAGTTGCGTGAGGCGTTCCCTGATGCATGTAGGCTGCCGCCCTTGGCTTCAGCGTACTCCATTTGGAAGTCGCCGAGATATCATATTAGAACGGCAACAAGGATGAGGATGAGGATGAGCATCCTGAGCGATGCGCTCCTAGGTTCCTAAGTTGTTCATAAATTCGCGAGTTCATGAGCCCAGAGCCAGAAGAAGTAGTTCGCGAGTTCGTGAGTTCATAAGCTCGGAAGCGGAAGAGTGAGACTTCGGGGCCCGCAAGTGGAAGCGTAACTAAGAGCTTGGGGGGGTCGTCGTTGTTTTTTAGTTTAGCTCTTTAGTGTTTATAAACTAAAAAGAGAGACCGTTAGATCCGGCGACGAACCGTAGCCAACACAACCGAAACGACACGAGGAAGAGTGAGAAAGATGGGCGGATATACCGAGATGCCGCTAAGCTAGTCCCCTGGCGTCGGTGAGTCAAGGTGGGTCATGGGTGATGGATGGCGTGCTAATCTTGGCCGCCTGGGGTTCACCCTTCTAGGAAATTTCCACCGTGGCCGTATAGTGGTCTAGGGTCCTTATCTTGTGAAGCCTTCTGACCCTTGTGATGGTCTTCAGGGTGATTCTCCTGATCTTGATGGGAATGGCCTCCAGATTTGTGACCGCCATGCCCCGAAAGGGGCCGCCAGTTTGAGAATAATTTGCGAACTTAGCATGGATTTCATTTGAGCTCGTTGAGCTTTATCACGTTCTTACATAGATAGACCACTAAGAAGATAGGCCAAGAAGATAGACGAAGAAGATAGGGGAAGAAGATAAAGGAAGAAGATAGGGGAAGACGATAGGGGAAGTAGATTAAGAAGATAGCAGGAAGAAGATAGACTAATAAGAATACTATAGACTATATTAAAGGTGGTAGAGCTTAATGCTATAGATTAACAAGATAGTCTAAGACGATAGATGTAACGGGAGGCAGAGCACTGCCAAACAACCACATGAAGCCACTGCGTGGCGCGAGAAAGGTGAGGGCGTCCCCCCCTTCTGTTGGGTGATGGGCTCGCCCCTCCCTTCTGTTGAGTGTGGCGCGAGAAAGATGAGAACGCCCTTGCCTTCTGTTGAGGGTGGCGCGAGATAGATGAGCCCGCCCCTCCCTTCTGTTGCGATTGGCGCGAGAAGGATGAGCGCACCCTCCCCCTCTTTTGAGGGTGGCGCAAGGTAGATGAGTGCATCCCTCCCCTCAGTTCTGTTGCGAGTGGCGCGAGGGAGATGAGCTTGGTCGCCCTTCCCTTCTGTTGAGGGTGGCGCGACGCCGCCGCCGTCCTCGACTTGGTTGCCTTCGAACGACCTGCCCTCTGTGAGACGGAGACCCGCAGACTTTCCCGCAGTGGCAGTGGCGCTGCAACCTTAAGCCGGCCCTCTGAGTGAGACGTAGCTTTCCGTCTTGGCCCGGATGCCGCGCCATTTTGGCCCCCCTGGGACGCGACTGCTCTGGGCGGGCTCGCCTCTGCTTCGCGTTTCCCTGTGTTACGGCGAGGCATATCGCGACCATACTAACACCAGCGGACTAATCGGGCCCCGCGTACGGCTCTCGGGCTGCATGATGTTGGAGAACCACCAGGCTTCCTATAGTAACTAGCTAACGAAGAGGAAGACTATAGATTAAGACTATAGATTCATTAAGGCCATAGATTAAGACTATCGAAATCGATTAAGCTATAGACTAAGAATATCGCTGAACAATATAGATTAACCGCATAGCTTTAGAATATAGATGAAGATTGAAGAGTATAAGATTAACAATAAGCTTTTTGCAATGTTTCAGGACTATCAATCATGCTAATTTCTACTAAATTCATGCGCAAGCCTAATCAAATCAAATTCAAATTATTGCAGGGTGGTGATCATGTTCTGCTGCAAGAACAAGATCCTGTTCGTTGCCGGAATGGTCGCGGGATATTTCGTATCCACTCCTGTTCTTGGGCTTGTCGTGTGGTTACTCGAAAAGTACGCGATGCACAAGTATAATTATGAACGATTGAAAAAGCAGAAGTAAAAAATGATTTTTGTAGTGGTTTTGTGGTTTTCGCTGATAATTTGCAACATGCTTGATCAAGGAAATTGCGGATAGCAGTAGCTCCTCTAGCACTTCTACCACTTGCAGGGTCAACATGATCGTGCTGCTCTTTGCCAAATCGAATTCTTGAAAACAACTACGAGGAGTAGTTGATGTAACATTGAGGGGGTACAAGTCGTTTGATAACTAGTCGACCAAGATGACGGGTCTATGATACAATGGACGTGTGATGATGACCCATTCCATAACTAGTTCTAGATCATCATGCCGCTAATATGATCATGCCGAGTTTCACTGGTTCGAGCTTGTGCCGCTGTTCGTCTACCTTTCCGTCATGATTGCTTGCGGCTTCGTCGCGCACTGCATCTTCCATAAAATGGAGCCATTCATCTTTAAGAGATATTCTGGCTATCAATGAATCCCCGAACTTAATATCAGCCAAGGAATATCCTAACAGGGCGATGGCGTCCTTATTCTGATGGAGAATAGGCTTGTTATCTTTGCTATGTTGTGTGACTCACACTCAAGAAAAAGGGTTATTCGAATTACTATTTGCGTTTGCCTCCAGAAGTCTCTTGTTGTTGTTCGTGCAACTGCATCAAACGCGTCTTCTAAGATTTTCTCCGTTTTTGTTTCGTGTCTTGCTACCTCCGCCTTGGCAGAAATGACCATCTGCTGGTCCATGTGGGCTGGCATGAACAGTAGCATCGGCCAGGCAAAAGGCTTGTCCCGAGACGAATTCCTGTCGCAAATACAAGTCTCCACGATCCACGAGAATATCTTCTCAGAGCCGCTTTGTTATGGTCTTGTTGACGCCTGTTCTCAAAGGCTTGGTGTTTATATATCGCATCTAGTCCACCCCCTTTGCCCCTCATTTTATAGTCGGCGGCTCCGCAGGCAATTAATGCGTCCGTAATATTACAAGGAGGCTAATGCACTCCGCCTGCCGCCAGTTTGCGAACTGGAAAAAACTGGGATCACCCTGCCGGCGGTCTAGTCTCTATTTCAGGTCCGTGGTCTCTATGTACCAGTGCAATATACTTTTCTTCCTCTACCTAGTGACCTCGAGATTAGAAAATGTCTGTCCTGAGAGGAACCTGGTGTGAGGCTGCTTGCGGTAATGCGCGTACGGTTCGAGCGAGTTACTAAATCTGTCCAACTGACGGGAGAAGAGTGACATCGCTCGAATATGGTCGACGGACCTTGGTGCGTTGAATGGCTCGAAGCACAGGCAGGCTCTGTTGGGCAGCGACATGATTAAAAGTGGGAGAGCGTCCCATCGCTCTCCCTCGCCGATCCTTTTATCTCCCGCCCGCTCTTAGCAGAGTAGTGGCTTCCAGGCATAAGATAGCCCCCTTGGTAGGACTGCCCTCTCCGGTTTCTGTTTTTCTTTTTGGTTATTTTTTGGCGATTGCGGAACGGAGTTGAGGACGCACGGGGCGAAAGAGGGAGCAAGAGGAGGCGAAGATAAGAAAAACTCGGCTAGAGCTCTCTCAACAACGAGAGCGATGCTGTGCTCAGGGCTTTAAGCCAGTAGAAGTCTACTTTTAGGCTTTCGCTTGTCAGTTGCTTGCGCATTAGTCAAGAGTAAGCAGGGTTGGCGGCCCTGCCCTCGGGCCTGCCCTCGTGCCTTGAAGGGAGGCGGATGAGAGTGGGATGGTTGGCAGCTGGTGGAGGTTTATCCAACACATCTAATCCGCCTCCTTTGCCCCTAGTTTTTCATCATTTCAAAATCGGCGGGCTCGTAGGCAATTAATGCGTCCGTAATATAATTATAAGAAAGGAGGCTAATGCACTTCGCCTGCCGCAGGTTTGCGAACTGGATGAAACTGGGATCACCCTTCCGGCGGTTCTTCATTTGTCAGTTGATTGCGCATTAGTCAAGAGTTAGCAGGGTTGGCATCCCCTGCGCTCGTGCCTTGAAGGTAGGCGTATAAGAGTGGGACGGTTGGCAGCCGGTGGAGGTTTATATAAGACTCTTAACTCACCTCCTTCACCCCTAGGGTTCATCAGTTTAAAATCGGCGGGTTCGTAGGCAATTAGTGCGCATTGATATAAGGAGGTAACCGGACTCCGCCTGCCGCCGGTTTGCGAACTGGATAAAACTGGGATCACCCTTCCGGCGGTCTTGGCATACAAAAAAGAAAAAAAAGCGCTGGCTTGGGTGGTGCACATGGGTGAGGGAGTCGGCAGTTGATGAGCATGAGGACGAATCTCCTCGTACTTGACTACTAGCTTGGAGCGTCTGATAACATCCCTCCCACTAGGATCCCCCTCCTCCCTAAAGTCAGAAACTAAGCAAGGCAAAGATGGGAGCGATATGCGTTTTCAAATTTCGAAAATTTTCCACGTTTTGCCATCGTTTGGGGATTGGGTCTCGTGCGTTTGAAGTCAAGGGCTAAGATCCCAAAACTTTTCGACTTTCAGCCCTTTCGCTGAAGTTTAATGCCTTGGCTTCGCGTTTTTCAAATTTCGAAAATTCTCCACGTTTTGTTGTCGTTTTGGGATTGAATTCTGTGCGTTTGAAGCGCTAAAGTCCCTAAATTTTTGACATTCAGCCCTTTCCCTGGGATTCAGTCTTTTGGATTCGCGTTTTTCAAATTTCGAAAATTTTCCACGTTTTGTCGTCGTTTTGGGATTGAATTCCGTGCGTTTGAAGTGCTAAGATCCCAACGCTTTTGACTCTAAGCCCTTTCCCTGAGGTTCAATCTCTTGGCTTCGCGTTTTTCCAATTTCGATAATTTTCCACGTCTTTCGTCGTTTCGGGAGTGAATCCCGTGAGTTTGAAGCGCTAAGGCCCCAAAGCTTTTGACTTTAAGCCCTTTCCCCCGAAATTCATTCCAATGCCTTGGCTTCGCGTTTTTGAAATTTCGAAAATTTTCCGCATTTTGTCGCCGTTTTGAGATTCAGTCTCTTGAGTTTGAAGCGTTAAGATCCCAAAATTTTTGATTTTAAGCCCTTTTCCTGAGATTCAATCTCTTGGCGTCGCGTTTTTCAAATTTCGAAAGTTTTCCACCTTTTTCGTCATTTTGAGAGAGAGCCCTCTGATTTTGAAGGGCTAAGATTCTAAAATTTTTGATTTTAAGCCCTTTCGCTGAAATTTAATTCCTTGGATTCGCGTTTTTCAAATTTCGAAAATTTTCCGCGTTTTGTCGTCGTTTTGAGGTTGATTCTCGTGAGTTTGAAGCGTTAAGATCCTAAAGCTTTTGACTTTAAGCCCTTTCCCCCGAAATTCAATTCCATGGCGTCGTGGTTTCATGGTTTTCGTGGTTTCATTCGTGGTCTCATGGTTTCGTGGTTTCTTGGTTTCCTGGTTTATTCTTGGTTTCGTGGTTTCGTGGTTTCATTTTCTTGGTTTCCTGGTTTTCATGGTTTTCATGGTTTTCAATTTCATGGTTTTCGTGGTTTTCGTGGGTTCATGGGTTCATGGGTTTGGGGTTTGTTTGTTTTTGTGTCGGAGGTTTTGGGTTTGGGTGTTGGAGGTTTTGGGTTTGGGTGTTGGAGGTTGAGGTTTCCGAAGGGATGTGTTTGCAAAGTTTTATTGCTCTTAATATTTTCTAGTACTGTTACTGTTTGTCGTCTGGATTTATGTTGTGTGGTTGAAGTAGTTTACAATGTTACCTCAAGTGGGTAAATGAATGACGTGGTGCAGACTGTTATTTTCCTCCTTGTTTGATGAAGCTGTTTTTTTTAGTATTTCAAGAACGAGGGCGGGCGCGGGCTGGGGCTTAGCTACAGTTGCAGGTGGTCTTTGAAGCACGACCTTTGAGTTTGAACTTAGTACCGAACATCACGACAGATGTTGAAGTCAGAAACTAAGGAACTGCAATTTTGTTGCTCATGGTAAAAAGTCGCACCTTATTTCTCTGAAAAGCAAGAATACATAGTATGCATCCACAAATCAGAATCATGCTCAACCTCAATGAGTCTTAGTGTCTGCAGTCCTTCACTTCCACCAAGGTGATAGAGATGGTTACACCAACACCGGACAGAGAAGTTAGAGTAAGAATATTCAGTAAGCTGTTCTATTAGGAGCAGAACTTGGTCCGCTAATGTGTGCATGCGATGACAGTTTTCTCCTGGCGCTTACCCATGCCGCTGATTCCGTTGCGATCAATGTACGTTTATGCGAACCTGGAGCGAAAGGAGTGGCTAAAGCACGGAGTAGACCACGGTCACAAAGCGAAGAAGTTCGCACTTTACATCCTGGAAAAGTACGAGGAGCCTTTTCCGATGTTGGTACTACTTGTTGTGCTATACTACTCGCTAACCGGCGGTCTCTCCTTCGACGGACTGCTCCTAACAGCTACTCAGAGATACACGTGCCTACTTTCTAGCTACTTACATCATTGAAATCGATGATTAACCATCAATCTACTGCACAAGTTCGAGAAGCTAGATGATGTCTGTACTCAAACTAATGATGCCCGGACTGAGAGGTTGAGTCACTGTCACCGCGTTGATAATCGCGCGGATCCACGTCATGATCCCGAACCCGATCCCTTGATACTCAACAAAAATCGTGAACACATAAATATCTCACAATTTAGATTTAGTTTTCAACCAAAATAAAACACAACCAGGATGGCCTGCTAGCGTGGAGTGTTTTTCTTGTCGTGGAAGCAATTATGTTATACATCGCATATGCCGGACTGCGCCTCTGCTGCAAGGACATATGTTTTCCTGGTTTCGCACAAGTGGCGTCACAGTCAAGAAAGACACGCAAGACAGCGGCTGGACCCCAAGATGGGGAAAGCGATGAGATGTTATGTTGAAAATGAAGCTCTCATGTAGAAGTAGGATTACTAGTGGTTTTTGTTGTAGTGATACTTTTTCAACGTCGTGATCAACACCCCAAGCATCATCTATCACTATCATGTAATCAACACATCAGATGTCATCTATCCTGTCCGTGTTGTAATCATAAAAGAACGTTTTACAACATGCAATTTTATTTATTCCTGTACAGCTAGTGGCCAGTTCTTTTCTGGTTGGTCTTCTTCTCCTTTCCAAAATACTCTTAGGGTGAGAGAAAAGAAAGGAAGTCTTGGACTTCAACTCAAGAAATAAATTAGTGACTAACTAACGCCAGCAATCTAAACAATTCCTCCCCCTTCTTATTCCTGTACCTTTCGACGTTAATTGATGCGACGCAGTCACTGCGTACCCCAGTCAAATGCCTTCACAATGTTCTCAAGAACAAAATCATCTTGATCTTCTTCTAAGTACTGACTTTTTGGTACTTTCGGATGAGGACGAAGGTGGAGTAGCCAAGGACGCGGAAATGGCATCCGTGATGAATCACCTTCAATCCGCAGCCGGCGTGAAAGCTTCGCAAAGGGGCAGTCGAGGGCAAGCGTCGGCGACAATGGTTCGAGATGAGGATATGCCAGCGGATGCCGCGGTCCCCGACGGGGATATGGCAGCGGATGCCGCCGTCCCCGACGGGGATATGGCAGCGGATGCCGCGGTCCCCGACGGGGATATGGCGGCGGATTCCGGGACCCTCGGGGAAGATATAGGAGCCCCCGAAAGAGCAGAAGAGTAGATGGCCGATGATCATGATCGACGGCGCATAGTGAAGATATGACAGCCACGGCGCAGACTAATCAATGGTAGAATTAAGAGAAGCATTGTTGTTATCGGCATGCCTGTTACCCAGGCTTTAAGTTGTACAATGAAGATAGACTCGGTGTCGGTTGTATGGCAACGGAAAACAGGTAACTACAGCTAGAGAAGTGCATATGGAGACATCCAATCTTCAACGTATTCTTCAGAACAAGTACTGCATACTTTACAAGAGCATCAAAAAATACAAATTACTTGAAACGAGTACTAGCTCGAATTGTTTTACTGAAGCTAGTTAATACTTTCATCAATCGGCATAGACCTGGACTAGCCATGGCAAAAACTGCGATACTGCGGATCAGAAGCGCGTTCCGTAGATAACACCAGCTGCAAAAAACTAGTTCCAATTTAAAAAAACAACAGAACTGCAGAAAAAGCCGAAGATCTAACTCTACTAAGCTAACACACTGTATACACGTACCGAAACTTCTGATACACCACGATCTACTTTCATACTAGTATCTCAACATTGACATCGCACTACTAACACTGAAGTAGCATAAATTGCAAAATGTTTACTACATCATCTAGAAAATGCGACACACATTGACATGTACTCATTGACTCTTTCTTTCACAATTCTCCTCGGATATCGCCTTTCCTTTCATCAGAGGCAAGTCTAAATTAGTTACGCACAACGTCTTCAATTTAAAGAGAAAAAGAACCAAGTTGATCTACGTAACCTCATCGTAAGCATACATGTAAAAGAAGTAAGCAATAGCAAAAAAAACATTCTATACGCAGTGGCTAGATCTGCCGCATTGGAGGACAGTCGAAATAGAGAACGACGGAAGAGCATAGATGAGTTAAACGAGGGCGGAGAGCGTCTCCACCTCCATCCCACAACGAGTGGCGCCGCTGTAGAGACAACGGCCCAACATCTTCACAGCTTCAACATCAGCGAAGTCAATGCGTAGAACACAGAGGAGACTCAGGGGAGTCGTAGGTCTAACCTGAATCGACTAACGTCATCAATCAATTGGGGGCGATCTCGATACTTATACTAGAATCGCAGAATTTGTCACTTGAGGAAGCATATTGATGACGAGAAGACTTGTAGCTGTTATGATCTATATGAACGGATAGACATACGGACACGAAACAGTGCCAGTACCTCTCGTGGATTCGATCACAATGTACAACCGCATCAAGAACTGAAAAATAGGCATACATAAACCTGAACGTGGGGACAAGAATATTATCGGAAAACGAAAAGTCAAAAAGTAAGCTCATTCGACTCGTGTGCCTACTTTGTTATCGCACTCTTCTGCTATGTATCTGTATGTGTTCCTCCAGGTGCTGCAGGTTCCTGTTTTTGGTCTGGTTTCAAAACGGACAATTAAAATTATTGTCTTGCGAAGAGAACAGGAACACCCCTCGAAGCCATTGTCACGCCCACACTGAGACCTGGAGGAGGAGATGTTGCGAGAATAGCGGTTGTCGGGTTCGGATCGCTGCGTCTTTCTTGTCCGTGAAACTACGTGTGACTTCTTTGCACCCACGACAGCTGGAGCGTTGGCCTATTGGCAGAGGGTATGGTATCGAAACTGAAAATATCGCTTTTAAAAAGTAAACCAGTTATCGAAGTAGAATGTGAAGTAAACCAGTTATAGAAAAATGTGACCGTGTCCGTGTACTAGACCTCTTGCTGGTTCATCTGTCTGCGTCCTTCTTGTCAATGGGAATGTGCACTTTAGCGTCCAGCAGGGGGGTGGAACAGGAGCATCCCCTGTCTTCGCTTTGTCCTCTTTGCTTTGACCGTCAACATCTATTAGCTGCAAGAGTCCGAGACGTGGCTGCAATTGAAATAAAAGCTGGTCAATTGAAGAAAACAGCTTCTGAGAACAGAAATCAGCCGTGGTAGGCGAACGATGCCTTCTCCCCCATCTTGGCTTCATCGCAGTGAAGGTGTTGATCATGGAGGTCGTTCGGAAGATGCTGATTGTGCTTCGAGATCGTCTCCGCATCATGGCAGGAGTGTATATTCGCTTTGGCGCAGGCTCGCCGAACAAGATGTCGGGCGGGTCTTTGAGCTTGCTTCCTTGCTTGCTTCTATTTATCGCGTTTGCAAAGCCATCTTCATCAAGTATAGGAGGTGCTGTGGCATCTATTAAAAAGCAGCAGTCCTCCATGAATCGAATAAATTCCGTGCCTGCAACGTTGTACCCTGAGTTCCTCGAGCAAGAAGAGTGGACTACAGTGGATGAGTTTATCGAAACACGCACGAGGCCGAAACATGGTGATTCCAGCAAAGAGGACGCGGGCGCTCTTCTGATGCTAGAAACAGGCGCTCATATACATCAAAGACATGAAAGGAGACAACTGCGAGTGGGTTCAACTGGCGCACCCGACCAAAAATACTGCGACAAAATGCCTTTTCCGAAAGGCACCCTGAATGACAAGCTCCATGCGCACGTCACCAGTTATCACAAGACCAGAGGCGGCCACAAGAATTGTCCCTTGCATTGGCCAACACGGGACAAATTATACGACAGCACCGGTGACAATTTCATCGGCGATATTCGCGAAACCGTTTCCATTGCCTGGCAGCCGTCTGCGGGTGCATCTTGCACACGGACGAAAGATAAGAATCCTTCTCAATATACCGTCACCTTTCAGCCGAAGATGAAGTACGGCTACAGACTCGACTCCATTCAACTATGGGCGCACACAGACCGCTTGAACAACGGAAGATTGATCGTTAATTAAGGCTTCTGGTCATGGCGAGGATAAGGATAATTATCTTTCAGACTTTTGTTTGCTGTAAAAAGAATATACTAGCTATGAGCGCCCGATAACATCCCTCCCACTAGGATTCCCCTCCTCCCGAAAGTAAGAAACTAAGCACGGCCTGCCTGCGTGGGTTTTGCTCGTCTTGTCTCTCTTCTTTCTTCACCTCATGGCCGAAAATTTTCCACGTTTTTTCGTCGTCTTGGGGTTGAATTCCCTGGGTTTGAAGTGCGAAAGTCCCAAAGTTTTTGACTTTAAGCACTTTCTGCGAAGTTCAAACCCCTGGACTCGAATTTTTCAAATTTCGAAAATTTTCCGCGTTTTTTCGTCGTTTTGGGATTGTATTCCGTGGGTTTGAAGCGCTAAAACCCCACAGCTTTCGACTTTAAACGCTTTCGCTGGGGTCCAACTTCTTGGGCTCGAATTTTTCAAATTTCGAAAATTTTCCACGTTTTTTCGTCGTCTTGGGGTTGGATTCCCTGGGTTTGAAGTGCGAAAGTCCCAAAGTTTTTGACTTTAAGCACTTTCTGCGAAGTTCAAACCCCTGGACTCGAATTTTTCAAATTTCAAAAATTTTCCGCGTTTTTTCGTCGTTTTGGGATTGGATTCCGTGGATTTGAAGCGCTAAAACCCCACAGCTTTCGACTTTAAACGCTTTCGCTGGGGTTCAACTTCTTGGGCTCGAATTTTTCAAATTTCGAAAATTTTCCACGTTTTTTCGTCGTTTTGGGATTGGATTCCGTGTGTTTGAAGTGCTAAAGTCCCAGGGCTTTCGACTTTAAGCGCTTTCGCTGAGGTTTAATCTCCTGGACTCGAATTTTTCAAATTTCGAAAATTTTCCACGTTTTTTCGTCGTTTTTGGATTGAATTCCGTGAGTTTGAAGTGCTAAAGTCCCAAAGTTTTTGACTTTAAGCACTTTCCGTTTCCCTGAGATTCAAGCTCTTGGCCTCGAGTTTTTCTTAAGTTCGTGGCTTCTTGGGTTCATGGGTTTGGGGTTTGTTGGTTTTTGTGTCGGAGGTTGTGGGTTTGGTTTGGTTGTTGGCGGTTGAGGTTTCGGAGCGGAAGTGTTTGCTGAATATTAAGCACTTGGGTCTCCCTCGGTCCATCTCATTATCATTCAGCTTCTGTTTCCCAGGAATAGATGGATCATCTGTTTCTCAGGAAGAGGAAAGTGTGGACGTTGATTGATCTAGATCTCTCAGTTTCTTTTCTAAGGTTCATCTGGTTGAAGTTGACACCTCTGTCTGGAGATTACAATTATGTTTTCTTGGGTACAAGAACAAGCAGGGGAGGAACTAGAACTACTGGCACAGGCTTTAATTAGACCCTTTCTCGGCCGCCGGAGGAGCTCGACAGAAGATCGATCTACCGGATTCCGTGGTGCACACTGGCACAGCCGATCCTGGAAATCAAACTGCAGCCCATTCTGGCACGACCATCCAGCTTGACAATCGGTTGGTAAACAGCCTCGCGATCAAGGGAACTACGGCTTTATTAGAGCAGGGCAATGGTGCCTGATTGCCCTTAAGCTTAAAGACATCCTTTTTCTTAGATTAGCGTTGTAATTGTATATTTACAACTTAAGCTACTCTTTCTGTGTCCGACCCCGAGAGAGTGCTAATCGAAATCACTAGAGCATGCAGATGATAAAGGCTCAAACTGTATCGAGTTTGTTCATTCGTCGTCGTCTCTTCTTTTACTCCAAATTGAGTTCTTTCGTAGGTGCCCGCTGTCGTGGAAAGTCAGTAATAAATTGGGTCTTCACGACGACTTTTTCTAGAAGATTTTTGTAGTATACAACAAGAAAAGGAACCGAGCATGTTCTTGAAGATGTTTCTTCTACGACTTGTCGAGCTCTAATAACGAGGACAGGAATCATGGATGGATTGGAGTCTGTGGCTTGCAAATCTTTCCTAATGTAGCCTCGCCAAATGCAGAACTGATTCCGTTCGAGCCAGGTACTGTGAACCACCTGCTTTCTGTGAACGGGTCGACGGATGCGGCGTTGAACTCGGAGGCTGAGGACCCGCTGTACTACCGGAAGAACATGCCAGCTGCTGAGAATTTTCGCAGCCTTTGCTTCTTCTCGAAGAAGGCGAATAATCCCTACTGGCGCGTGAGGTGGAAAAATGACGCGGACCAAAGCAGGAAGATCGAATTCGTCCACATCGTGAACAGCGACGAATCCGGACGACGGCGGTATCTGAATAGTGGCCGCATCATTTTGAACGAGGACGAGGGGGACGACGACGAACACAGCATATTTTATTTAAGGCTAACAGCAACTCATCATAAGAAGCACCTTTGACACCCTTGCTAAGTAGGGGAAAACACGCCTAAGATGCTGCGCGTAAGTTAAAGATGAATATATGTGAGGTCTAACATTTATTCGATTTGTCAAGCACGCCAGCTCGAGCAAGAAAGGAAAACGCATCAGCCTAGGCGGGAGAACATTCAAGAGCTTCACGCTGAGACCCAAGAACACGGAAGGGAAATATCGACTAGTTATTATGGTCACTGCTTCTTCCTCAAGCTCAACGTCAACCCTCATACAAAATCCCGCTCACTGGTCCTGAGCGTCAAAAACGCAGCTACTTATACTCAATCGCGAGAAGTCCTCTGAAGACAGGAGACTCAGTAAAGGCAAAGTCTAGAAGCTCTCACGCCTTGCACGAACACGAATATAGTGAGAAGCAAGGATCTTACGTGGAGGCCATGTCTTCTTCTAATAGAGTCTGCGGCATCCATTTTATTCCAAGATTCGAACCCGCGAGCATGAATGATTTGCTCACTGCGACACAAATAAGTACTAAATCAGCGAAGCACTGGAAGCCGTCCAATGCCCTCAGGTACACGAGCTGGGCTTTTGATGGTTTTCCGCAGTTTCACGAAAAAATTATGAGCCCAGGAAATGCGTTTGCATCTTCTCCAAATTCATCTACTCCTGGAACAAGAAGTAGACCACAAGAAAATATATATGCTCCAGGGCTCAAGGCTAGAGGCCCCCACCCGATCTAGGGAGGCGGCAGGGGGGCCTCTAGCCCCGGACCCCTTTTCCGGAGGACTGCCGGGCGGGAAGGCTTCCAAGCGCCCGCCTCCGTTTCCTCGCGGCTTCTTGCCCCTAACCTACAAAACCCAAGCCCTTTATGCCGTCTAAGCACCGACGGCCGGGGGTTGAAGGCTTCCGAAGGCTGCAAAGGTGGCAGGGCTTGACCCCCTTGCCGTGTTGCGTGTGCCCTAAAGAGCTCCGCTGTGAGTGTTGGCCCATCACGGGGGGAAGGCCTCTGAGGGCAGCAGGTGGCCAGGCTTAACCCCCTGCATCCACCGTCCCGTGCTGCACGGAACTCACGCGGGCATGCCTTGCTCCTCGCCTTCGGTCCTCAACCTCCCCACGCGTTAATTATCTCTTTGTATTTGTTGGCGGCTGACGCGGGGGGCCACCAATGGGGGAGATGAGGGCAACCCAGCAAAAGGGGCCAGGCTTTCCGACCGCGGCGGCCTTCGGCGGCCCTCTAAGTACCCCCGGCAGCCTTCCCCTGCTTGATAGGGTTCAAGAGATGGGCCGCCTGGCTGTAGCTTACACGCGGAGAGCCGCAAGCGGACGCCGGCTCCGCCTTTTGGGGACTTCGCCCCCGGGAATCCGCACACCACCGCTCCGTCCGCATGAGGGGGGAGGGGTGAGCCTCTCCCCTTGGTACATATATTCAAGTACCTGGGCCTGGCAGGCCTCTTGGATGCTTTTCCTCCATCTCTTAAAAGAAGGCGTTGCTCGATCACGAAGAGCGATGTGCGCGCGTGGTACAGTTATGGCAGGTGAAAATATTACCACAATTAGCAACTTGAAAAAGAAAAGTTGAGTCTTCTTTCTGTACATAATCGAACTCCACTGCCAGCACGACCTGCACAATCTATGATCATTAGCGAGTTGATTCAGATTTTCTCGCTCCTGGTGATTGCATTACCGAGGTGGATAGGAATAGGCGTCTATGTTTTCGCTTCTAAAGTAGAATTGAGTGGAGTGACGGCATCTCGCGATATGTGGACAATTTGGTCATTTGGTCACGTCGTAAAACGTCGAAGAGAACAAGTTTCAAGAAGCAGTTGAGTAATGCGCGGATGGCGTTTGACATAGACGACGCCTCTGCCTTCACCCAAAGCGATTACAACAAGCTAACCGAGAAACTCCCGTCAGTCGTAATTCGCGAGAAAAATCCGGGAACAGTAGTCGAGATTAAGAGAAAATTCACATCGTTGACGTTCTTTGCAGACGACGGGGGCACAAATGAGACCCGTCGACTAGCCATCTGCCACCTGGAAGTGTACAGTTCTGCAGGCTCAGCACCCGCAGCTGTCGCACCAAATACGCCGTCGGGGGATGGAGCAGGCCCGTCTGATTCTGATGAGGAAGAAAACCAGAACGAAGAGGATGCTGGTGAGGTCTCGATCGAGGCAGACGTCGCTATCGACGGAAGCTCAGACACGGAGTCGAGAACGTTTTTGATGATGCTCCAAGAGACTTCATCTACTTTTAGAAAAGTAGAGAGACAACGACAAGGAAACTTTCGCTCATCAAACTCAACGACGCAGAGCAGAAACGGCGCCAGTAATACGTCTACCAGCACCAGTACACTCAGGATATCGGCTTTTACGTTTGAGTTATGCAGCGAAGATGCGTGAGTAGAAGTAGACATACAAATGCCGTTACAAGTACCAGAGCCAGTTGTTCTTCTTCTTATACTAAGGAATTTATCTAGTAATTGGATAGATTGATTTGAAGAACGGCAAGAACAGCAACTGTCTTTGTCTTAGATGATGGCACAAGACGTTTCCTTTTCCTAGTTGAGCCGGCTTATCTATCATAATAGATGTTGAAGTTGCCCCCGTCCCCCGCTACAGCTACCCATGACCACTCAGATGAACCTGTTCGATTCAACGTCAGAAAGTATGAACATGAAGAAAAGCTTCAACTGCTTCTTTGCTCCAAGAATCCATCACGTTTCTCGCTGAGTGTCTTCATCTAAGTAAGGACTTTTTCGATAGCCCGACTTTCGAGGACGCAGTTAGTGGCGCTTTGCAGGTAGCGTGTAAACGCCACTGCAACGTGACACTCACCGAAGAGTACATCAAGAGTGTGGCTATTGTTCCCCTGTCGTCTCTTGACGATAAAGAAGATAGCGAAGACTTCGTTCTGCACTTGAGGCTGAGCAGTACACTCCAACTTCCACTCAATGACGCAATGCGTCGCGTCTACGACTGTTTAGTGGAAGCAATAGAAGGCGCTTCCGCTTCCTCGGACAAGACCACCTCGGAAACGAACAGCTCAGGAACCGCATTACTCAGGTTAAGGCATCTCCCACGTAGCAAAATCCATTTTAAGCAAGAGACAACATCTTTATATGTCTTGACTTCAAGTACAAGTAGTAGCACTGTAGTACTCGCTTCTGGCGCCGCTTCGTCTTGCCGGTAGACGAAAAGTACAGTTACTTAGTACTTGAGACGCCGCGGCCGCCGCCGCAGTGAGTAGTGATATATCAGATAGTCCTTTCATACATAATGATAAGCTTCTAGCAGATGTAGACTATCGCAAGGAAGTGGAGTAGGATTTCGTAAAAAAACACAACATGATTACAAATTAATTCTATAACTTCACAAGTAACAAAACGGAAGTGATGGATGATGATGATGATCGCCATCGATCATGCTGGTGAGCCTGGGCAGCTCTAAACAAAAGGTCGATGGACGAGGTCAGCGCAATTAGTGGAGATAGAGCTCATACAACTTCGAGCAGTCCGAGCGAAAGCGAAAGCTTTATCGAGACGTTTGTCACAGAGTTATCTCCCAGAATCCTACTCGCTTCGGATCACTACCTGGAAGATCCTATGGCCATCTGCTCAACAAATCCAGTAGCACTAGGCTGATACCGGTGCTAGACTTCAGCGCCCGTTAGCTCTACCTCCACTAGATTCCTCCATCTCCTTCAAGCATTTCCTCCGCCAAGACGCGCCTCCCCCGCTCCTCTTCCGCCAGATCCCGGAGGTGATCCGCGGAAGAGGATTCGGGACAGAGGCGCCGCGGAATTTGACAGGGGAAGCCGCTTCTCTGAGGTTTTTGAGGTGTTTCAAAGTTTGCCCGCTTTTGAATATTGTCCAGGCTTTTGGATTGGAAGCCCTAAGCCTTGCATTTAAAGTCGCTGAGGTGGAGACGTGGGGCGAGTTTGGGGCCTTTGGCTTGCAGCCTGAAACCCGTGGCCGCTTCCAGTGTGAAGCTCTGGGCTTGCTTCGGCGAGGTTCTAGGCGTAAAACTTCGGGCTTTGCGCTTTGATTTTGAACCTTTGGGGGTGCAGGCTGAGGCCTTGGCTTCGAAGTGTTGGGCTTGGGGGGCTCCCTAGGTCTGAACCCTTAGTCTTGAGAAATTGAGACTTTGGGTTTGGGGCCTGAGGCCTCTCTGGGGCTTGAGGCCTTGGGCCTGGGGCTTTAGGCTTGAGCCTTTGGATTTGAAGCCGAAACGTTTGAAATTTGATAAGTTTTGGCTGATAAAGTCAAAAACCTTGGGAAAAGTTGCAAAGCTTTTGACTTTATCGCTCAGAATTTGAATCGAATCGCTATGAACGGACAAACTACAAAAGGCGGCAAAGCGCAGCCTGTTTCGTTTGAAAAAAATCCTACAGCGTTCGGAAATATTTCCGAACGAATTGGACAATATTTTCGAACGAGTTGGCGAATATTTTCGAAGAGTTCGAAAGTGATTGGCTATTCTGCAAAAAAGTCGCTCTTTTTTTCGAAGGTGGCGAATAGTTTGCGACTTCGTTCCAGTTTCGAACTATTCGGAAACATTTCGAACTTGTTCGAAAACAATTCGAACGCTGTAGGAATTTTTTCGAACGAAACAGGTTGCGCATTGAAGCTTTTTGCAATTTGTCTGCTCATGTGAATCGCCTGCGGCTGCGATTGGCTACACATCCCGGGCAGCGCGTTGACCGGAGTGGCGATCGTGGGTGAATGACGTGCCACGCTTGAGGGCGTCAGAAGTTCCCAAGCTTTTCCCAAGTAAGTCCATAAGCTCCTAAAAAGTTCAGAAGTTCGCGAGTTCATGAGTTCGCGCCCCTGTTGTTGCAGTGTTTTTGGTTCGAGTGTTTTTGGTTCAAGTTTGGCGAGCTGATACCTTTTCGGTTTTATGGCTACGCGCCATAGTTTGTCTATATTTTCCATGTAGGCGGCCCTCTTATTGGGGCGGAAACAAAGCTTGAGGGCCGGCTAGGCGATTTCGTTCTCACCTCTGGAAAATTGGAAGTCTTTTACTTTCTTCACTTGGAAAAAAAACGGAGAAACTTCGTCTACTCCTGAGGACTTTCCTCCGCCTTGTCGCCTGAGCATCTTCAAGCCGGCCCCGATGCGTTGGGCAAGGTCGCTCCGCCGGCGGCGCCAGGTTGTCGCGAAAAATGATCAGCTGGAGGAGAGACCGATGGCGGATCGGGCCCAGCTATTGTTGGCAACATGCTAGAAATCAACGACGACGCCGAAGAGGAGAACGAGGCAGATGGGTCGCTAGGCGCAACAGACCACAAGGAAGCTCAAGCTGAAGCACTCACTTCAGGAGGACAGCACGGGAGAAGCTCTTGCAGTGAATGCACTGGCTGGGCCTTCTCTTAGACCGGATCGCCATGGACTGGAGAAGGAGACGAACACGAAGAACCGCGCAGAACTGTGTCTGCCTTGCCTCTTCTCGTTCACATCTTTGAGAACATGGAGACGAGCCGCAAAAAGTGAGTCGTGTTATATTTTGGGACTATAAAGCGCACCACGCTCAGGCAACACCCACTAGGTGGCGCCACTTGGGTAGTTGGTTTCTTAGTAATTTTATAGCCAAAAACGAAAGTCGAAGCCCTTTGATTTGTAGCTTTGTTCCTGGCCACCTTATGGGGATTCGCTACTTGGAAAGTCGCCGCGTCGTTCGAGTCTGTAGGCGACATGCAAGGGCAAGAACGTGCGTCGTTTTCGGGCTGAATCTTTCTAAGTCTGTAGGGGACAAGGAGCGGGACTGTGTCAAGGAATTTCGTGGATGCGCAACATATTTGAGCGGCGAGATCGGGGCACCCCGGCCACCATCAGGCACCATAGCAGAGCCATCGACCACACCGACACCAAGAGAGGGCTGGCAGGCTATTATTTGCATGAAGACCGCCAACGGGGGGCGCAGGCTCAGGCGACAGGCTTCAACCTGCTGCGGGAAAAGCGGGACATCGCTCGACTGATTGGCCCCGCGCTAGGATGCTCGGGCGACAAGGTGGGGAAGCGGTTTTCAGTGGTGCGCGAAGTTTTCTGCTTTCCAATTGGAGAAAAGGGGCGACTTTCAATCTTTCGGGAGTGGAAATGAAGCCACTTCTCTGGCTTTCAGGTTTTCTGCCCCAACAGCGCGGCCCCTAAGTCGGTTCGATAGAGAAGATATAGACAAACTCACTCTAGCACTTTTTAAACAAAAAGACACCAGCTCGCCAAGTTCAAGCGTTTTCGGCTCAGTTGTTTTTGGTTCGGGTGTGTTTGGTTCGGAGGTTGGAAGGACCCCCGTTGTTGATTTTTTATTTGGCTCTTTAATATTCATAATAGAAATGTACTTTCGTATACATGGTATGAAAAGATCCAAGACTTAGCTAGCAGATTAACTGCAACTACAACAGCGGGCAAATACATGACAAGGGGGGTAAGAATAATTTCAATGATCTGCAGCAAGGTCTATAATGAGGTGGCTTTGTATTATCGGCGCACTTTTTCGTGACCTGCTCTCTACTCTTTGTTGGTGTGAAAAAAAAAATAGTATGAGGATCTGCCTCTAATGGTGTTTTTGCCGGCCTCCGTGATGCGTCCAGCGAGACTAACTCCACAGAAGTAATCATCAAGAAAAATGGCACCAATAACAGCAGGGCATCTTCAACAACGAGGGCCTCTAGGTCTAGAAGCATGTCCGCAAGAAATTCGAACAATAATTCGAACTCCACAATACCCGGAAGGGGAGTGAGCTTTGTCGCGGTCCGGCACGCAGGAGTACACAAGCAAACCTTGGCGAAACGAATAGAAAAGACATCCCCGAAGAATATTCTGAAGGAAATCGACAACGAAGTTGAGGGAATAAATTCAAAAGTGGACTCTGGTCGAGATGCTGGATCATCTAGAACTACTTCAACGCGGACAAAACTTGGCGAAGCAGCACCACAGGTCCATCAACTACTTGAGTCTAGCGCTGGTGGTGCCGAAAGTGCAGAAGCAGACACAACTAGTTCCATACATGCTGAAGAGGAAGACGAGCAAGAAAACAGAAACGCTGCATTCTTGAGTCACCAGCTTGTAGAGCAGGAGGCTGTAGTACATCGTAGCACAGCCTCGTCAACAACGCCCGCGTATTCATTCCAGCATTCTAGGGGTATCGCGATGGAAGGTATAGATTTTGAGGTGGGAATCCCTGTCCTAAAGTTTGACGAGGATGGCATGTACCATTTGCGCTGTCCCGCGCCTCCTTCGTATTCAGATGACGCAGAGGAGGGAACGATGCCAGCCTACAGGGTGCTCGTGGCGAATATGGTGCAATTTGATGATTCGGATCCGCTGCGCGGGCTTGTCCTACGTTGCGTCAGTATTAGCACCGCATTCGACGACACTGCTACATCCGATGCTGATGCTGCCGACGAGACCGCAGCAGTTAAGATTTAGCACAAGCACATCTCGGTCATAAGGAACATCGCCCTGATGCTGCCGCAGCTGCAGCTCTAGGGAAAACAACACAGCCTGACTGAGTCAGTATTAGTTTTGAACAGGAGCTAAAATAAATTGCAAATGAAATAGTCTTCCTCTTCATACGTCCAGGTAGAGTTACTTTATTTTTTCTGAACCACCAGCCACGGCGGATGGATGATTACAAGTTTTTAGAAGGAGGGTAGCTAGGATTTTAATTGCGTTTACCTAGTTGATGTAGTCTAAAACAGACACGGTGCAGGACGAGGAAGATGCGTTTGACGACATAGTCGACAGCGAAACCAATTATTTTCGAGACATCACTAGAGGTTTCTTTGTTTTTCGTCAGCTAAAAGAGGAAACTGGCAATGCGACAACAAGTGGCACTGGAGGAGGTACGCCAACATCGTCAACTTCTCTCTTATCAGCGTCTTCAACTACAACTTCACTAACGTCGTCGTCCATAAGCAGAAGCACAAGAGCAAACTCCTCTGATTCCAATAGTACAACAAACACCAGCATGAATAGTAGCAACTCTTCATCCACCGATGATGTGGACGTAGATAATTCTCTATGGGTAATGCGATACAGGCATGAGCTATGGAGCGTAAAACTGTTTTCACTTTCAAAAATCGAAAAATTCGACGAATTCCTTTGCTGTTGTGGCGCTACCACCTGCAGGGCGACCCCTGGGGCGTCCACCTGTCGAGTGCTTCCGATCAGTGGGCTCCCCGTTTCGGCTCCAGGAGCGGCGAGACTCGGCGTCAGACATTCCGATCTAGAAGCCCTTACGGCAGTACCTTATCCCCTTCAACGGCCAGGGCTCGGCACTTTCGTGGACGGGGACCCGAGAAGGCTTGTCTCAATCCGGAAGGGCCAGAAAAAACGCTTTCAACCGGTTTCGGACACCCCTGATGAGACCCCCTCCACAAGCGGTCGAAAGGATTTTTTCTGGCCCAAAATGAGACCCCGCGTCGTTGGGTAGAAAAAACGCTTTTACTTTTTAGAGGTCTCCGCAGAGACCTCTGAGAGCCCAGGTTTTCCGGACCCCGTGACCTGACGGCTTTGACTCCAGAGCTTGCCTCCTGTGTCGGCTTTGCTTCGCTATGGAGTGGAGCTTCGCTTCTCATACCCTCGCCAGCAATATGCTTCGTTCGTTATGCTGCCTGAGTGCTTGCAATGGCTGGCACTGTCCGCCCGCTCGGTCATTGTCTTTGATTTTGTTCATGGCTTGCCTTCGGGAAAGTGCCAGGTGGCCCGTCAGATCAGCACCATTGCAACTCGGCCAGTAACAACGGACGCGTGTCAAATTTTATGAAAAAACGAAAGTGAAAACTGTTTCGCGTTCGATATGAGCAACGCAACGAAGCGGGCAATCTCATAGGTGAACTGAATTTCGAGTCCGCGACTTACATCCTAGATTCCGGTGAGCGCATTTTTTTTCTTGCAGACGTCGCCAGCGTGTCAGCGTCGCGCTTTTCAGAAGACGAGATGAAAAATACTGCTAATATTAGTACTGGTAGGTATGCGCGGGCAGTTTTCAAGCAGCCAAGCAGAGTCGCGGAGCCAGAGGTTCCCCTGAATCAGAGCGCTGCGGTTTTTCTGGGAGGTACTAATAAGACAGACTCCGCAGCAGTCGCCGCCTCTGGAAGTACAATCAACAATACTCGGATCCAGATTAGCTCGCAGCCGAACACCACAAACTCGACTACGAAGGCGGACGCCTTTACCTGGTGGCTAGGTCTTCTGAGTGACTTGAACGAGGATACAGAGGGCGAGACTTTGAACGCGACGGCAGCGAATGCTTCGAACTTGATGTCAACGGGCGACGCAAACACGACAGAGACTGGTGACGAAGACGACGACGAGCAACTTAGAACGCTGAACAACAGTAATGCTACCATTCCGGGTGACGCACTAGGTGTCGCGCCCGCAGACCTTGTTGACGAAGATATGCGCGGACAGTTCATTCTTCTGAGCTTGACATTGTTTGCCCGAACCCATGCACTCTCTGGGTCTACTGCTGCCCTCCTACCGGTGACCGAACGACCTAACATGACGCTGATTCCCATCACAGAATTCGTCGACGGCGATGTTCTGCACTTTCGCTGCCCAAATGAAGATGACGAACTCTGGGGAACCCTGAATGCGGATGCGGACGATCCGCAGCGAGTAATCACGACGCGCTGCCAAAGTGCAAAAGATCCAGACTCTAATAAACCGCGACCGATAAGCTTTTTGCGCTTTCCGATTCGTGAAGTTCTCGTGTACCGGGATGTTGCTACTGGAGGCATGAGCGCACCAGTTTCGCTATTGTACGAGTATCGCGCTCCCGGGGGGTCGGCTGTGCATTACGTAGCGGCGCGCAAGAACTACTACCGCGATCCGGCGTCAGCCACCGCGACTCCTGGTGCAGACGACTTGGGTCTCTTCGTCTTTGACACCGCAATCAACAGCTCTTGGCAGCCGCGTGTGGGACTGGATGGCCTAGTGTACAAAGTTCGATTCCAGCAGCCCACATCCTATCCCGCGAGCAATAATCTAGATGGGACGCTGCAACTCTCTACCGTGGTCGCATCGGGAACTGCCACAGGGTCGTACTGGCTCACAACGTCGGAGAACATCGTGGCGAACCGCCTCGACCTGAATCTCCCGACTGGACGTTCTCCGAGCCTTGAGATTGCCAGTGATGTCGAAGCTAGGTGTGCCATCGATTGCGGGGGGACGGATCCAGCAGCGATGTGCGGGAACGCCGGGCATTTGCTCTTCGGTTCCCCTGGTGGACCAAATAGCGAAGGCAATGCCGTGTTTCAGCTGATGAAGAGCGCGACTCTGCGAGTGGACTTTGCGGATCTTCGGATCTACGAGATTCGCTGCTCTTACGTGCCACCCGTTGACAAGACAGTCGCTGGAATGTACCGCGCCACGCCCGTTGACGGCATTCTCGTGGGTGGTTTTAAGAACATTCCCATCGCGTCCTCGACAAATGGGACAATCAAGATTATGGATGTGTCGTGTCGACGACAACCCACAGTCCAAGAGAATGCGCTTCAAGACATCCTTGCGAGGCGGATGCAAGCGGAGACAGCACGCGCGGGCGAGGACGTTTTTCATTTGGAAGTGTCGATGGAGGGGGAAACTTTGATCATGAGCCGTGAGACAACATCGGCATCCAGCGGAGGAACATCAGGAGCGAATTCGCCACAGCTGATACTCGCTACTAATGGAACATCTGGCCTCACTCCGGTCAACTTTGCGCAGCCAGAAGTGATAACTGCGAAAGATGCTATGGGCGATGGTTTCCGCTTTGTTAGACTGAAGGATATTGACCAGGGCATGTATCTTTCGCTGAACTCACTCACGACGCCAACACTGGTCTGGTCCGCAAACCCCTCGTCAGCGTACTCGACAGACGAAGTTACGCAAATGACGTTTCAGTTGAGAGAGCACGCGCTGGTTACAACAACCACGACCACTTCCACGACCAGCACGATTACGGAGACGACAACCACGGCTACGCAAACAGAAACAGAGACGACCACGACGCAAACCAATACCACTACTTCGACACAAACTGAAACACAAACCCGAACGCAAACCACATCGACAACGCTGACACAAACAACGTCAACCAGGACTGTGACAACGACGACCCTAACCATCACAGAGACTCGAACAGTGACGACCACAACAACGAGCACCACGTCGAGCAGCACTGCAACTACAACGACGGAGACTTCCACAGAAACATCGACTTCAACGACTGAAACCACGACGACATCAACATTAACGACAACGACGACAACTGAAGACGTTGACGCCGCAGATCCTGCGCTAGATGTGACCGTGGGCTTTACTATTATGTGTAAATTTATCTAATTCTAAATTATCTATAAATATATAAGAATTGCACCTCCACCACCACCAAACAGCTGATGATCTGGAAGAAGAAGACAAAAATACAGTTACATTTACAATGGTTTTATAAATATGATCTTCTCCCCCGACTCCGAGGCGCATTTCCTACACTTCTAACACTATGTCGGTTATTCCAAGTAACGGGACGTCAGTTGCAAACACAGTTAAAAGTGCAGGCTTTCGGAACACGATTGTCAATACCGTCGTCACGTCCTATGCAGCATCCGGGACCACAGTTCAAGCCAAGAATGTCAACGTCACCGTCGACGTTGACTCGAGTACCTTTTTAATTCATACAGAGACCGACGTCGACGCTGCATCCGCCCGCGGCACCCCAGCAGAACAAACTGGTGACAGCTTCGTAGGGAGTGCTATTACCACTGCCAGTGGTGGGAAACGTGCAGTTGAGATAGAGTCAGGTGCATCTGGAGAAGGACGTGCGCAAGGACTTGTTGGAAAGAGGAAGGCATCTCGTAGGAGCAATAACATGCATGATTCGCCTGCATCTTCAGTGATGGAAGGTGGAGCTTCTCAGGCGGAAACACTAGGACACCAAGACGCGGCTGCCGGAAAAGATTCGGCAGTTGTTGCGTTTGCGAAACTGGTGAAAGAATCGTCCGGCTCGCAAATAGCAAGCGATGCTGAGGCTTCGTCTAGTCGTCGCGCTGTTAGCATCAGTGTGACGGCTCAAATTCGGCTTCCGTCCAACACTCCCGCGATTGCTGCCTCACCATCCCCATCTACATTCAGCAGGAGCTTGGCAAGCGCACAGAGTGCCGTCGGTTTGAGCATCAAAGGCATTAGCGGGTTCACGACGACCCACAAGCATGATCCGGCCTCCACGGGTTCTGGATTGTCCCCGCTGCTTCCCGGAGATGGAGCTATGTCCCTCCGTTTACCAGCAGGCCATTATTGCGAGTTTCAGGATAGACGCCACACGGGACGACGTGGGCCCTGCGGTCGTATCCTAATGGAACAGGAAGCAGTGCAGGGGACGAGCCCAGCCAGTCGTGGCTCACTAGGTTTACTCAACTCGAGAAATCAAGGCATAACACCGAAGCACGTATCTGTTTACAACTGTGAAGATGCGTGTCTCGGTGAGCCGAACTGCGACGCCTTCTTTACGGCAAGCCTTCAACAAATAGTACTTACATATTAGAACGAGTACTAGAACAACGCATGATCATATGCCCTGTTTGTTTGATCTTGATGTTTATTACATTATACAAGTACAACCCTTCATCATGATCATCTGCGGTGGTACCACTTATTTTTTGTTTATAAGAGCGCACCAAGGTCAAGGACAAGGTGTATCTGCATCCGTAGTTCCTTATTTTCTTTAGCTCTTGTCGTTGTCCTGATGTTTTTGTTGGAGTTCCTCTGCGCTCTTCTTCATAGCGGCCCTCGATCTACGTGCGTATGATTATCCGAATAGTAACGCCGTGCTCTATGAGGACGATCTCTGCTGCACGCTGTACGTGAATTGCACCGGCCAGCACATCAAATATCAGGAGCCGTCGGCGGATTGGGAGAAGTTTCCCACGAACCAAGTGTTGTTCGCAATGCTGGGGAGCCGTTTACTGGCCGCTCAAGATGGAATAAGTACAGAAATATCCAGTGGAAATCTCACCAGTGCGCAACGGGTAGTGAATCATCCCAAAGCGCTTCTTCCCCTCAGTGGCCCAGCCACCGGCGTAAGCGGGCTTGCCGTAGCTTCTCAAGTTTCCACGCCTGCTCCGTCGAACAACGGGAGTAGTGTCATCATCGGAAGCAACAATACGGGCGGTGGAGTTGTCACATTTGATCATGAGGACTTTTTTCTGACTGATGGAAATGCAGGATCGAGCGCCTCCCAGCAGCCACAATTCTACACTAAGATGAGTCAGTGGCTACTTTTTACTTTTATTAACATATTTACTCTACACATTCATCGGATAATATTTTCTACCAAAATCAATCCCATTTACCACTCACCTTCTCCCGTCCTCTCAGTGTGTGCTTTTTGATTGAAGGATCCTCTGCAAGGGGAGATTAGAGTTTAACTAAACACCGTCTAGTCCTTTCAGCATTATTTACTTATTTCTCATTCTCGTTACACTTACAGTATCACTATCAGATGTACTTGGATCTTGATCTTCATCTGCTGTTCTGTGGAAAAAAAAACACTATGAGTACATAGAGATAGAGGAACATTCAGATTCAATATGCGAATCATCGTAGGTATGAAATTGCAAATGCAAAAAAGAAGTAGCTCTAGCTTCCTATTCATATTCTAATCAAAGGATACTTTTCGACGACCCAAGAAGAAGACTCCTGAGGCGGCTGCGAATATTCGACGTTCCAGATAGTGCCACAACGGCTCACATACACGATGGTGACACTGAGGTCGCCATTCTCAGTGGTAATCGTAATTGAGTAGTCATCAATAATGTCTGTGGTACTTGGCACGAGATTCATTGCCCCCGTGGCTTGCGGTCGAGGGCTTTGACAAACTCATTGTATTCTTTGTCGCACATAAATTATTTATGATAAATATTTATAAAGTTTAGATTTGGCATGTTGATGTTGACTCTCAGGTGACCCGAACACCACGACCATGACGGAAGAAATACTCTGGCCGAACCAGGATAGCTATTATCTTATCGCCGCCGACGGAACTGATATGCGTTTCGCTCCGGCACGTCAGGTTTCTGGCATCGAGGTCAGGTCTAGGAATGGTAATCCGGTCGCTTTCCGCGGACTGCATATAGACTTACGGATTGTGGGTGCCATTCGTTCTCTACACGATTGTCGTTGATTTGGTATGCCGGGTAATTCAGGGATCAGAATATTCATCTTCATTATGATTATCCTATCAAGGGAAATAAATCGATACTCCTTCTCCAAAACCTCAATTTCATACTTGCTCTCATATCAGGCACCGACTTCAACCAGCGAATTTAAAGGTTATTAAGTAGAAGCTAGCTTAGTCTGTTGGTTGGATGATCGAAGCGATTTCCACTGGATCGAGTGAGGCGGCTACCTGGATGGATCCGCAGACATGGAAAGACAAGAAATTGACCAATTCCAGCAGGTCGCCTCGACCCGGTGCCCAGAGCTTCGATCCAACCATCTACTTTAACTAGCTACTTAACTATCTAGGTTATACCATAACCCGCGAGTCCAAATGCCGGAACGAACGCAAGTTAAGGTTGTGGAGAAGGAGTATGGATTTTCCTTTGATATATCCTGAACAAAGTAGAAGACAGACTTGATGCTTCCATAGCTGCTAGAGCTACACAACTACATTCCAAGTTAGCTCATCTAATCGCTATGCTCAATGTGGACCTCATTTCACAAGCAACGCGGGCAGAATTTGACACGGTTGCGTCGATGCTTCAGGGAGGCAAGCGGGTACCAGATTTAGAAGGGTCTGTGTCCTCAACTCTCGACCGCATTCGCTTGGTATACGAGGGACTTCTAGTGGGTAAAACTGGTGGGGAAAGGTAAGCCGCAACAGCAAGCGTCTTCTGGATTTTTTGAACATTTCGTTTGTTATTCTTTTCCACAGATTTTCGTTTTGACAAATTAAATCCAAGAAGAATTGCAACTAAGTAAGGTTAAACCCGGTTGTATTTTTGTTTTTTCGATACTTTTTTCTATTTCATCTAGTTTCAAGTAGTATTTCTGCGTCACACTCGCAAGTATATTGAATTTGAGTATGTTGTCTAGTATAAAGTCTTGTACTTCTGAGTATGTACGTGCCAGATAGATCTCCTGAAGTCGAATTAGGAACTGTTCCGTAGTCAACGCAACACTTGTAGGGATAATCTCTGCGGTTTACAGACAGTCCTCGAATGGTCCAGATTTGTAAGTCTTGGTACAGCTTCCACAGGCCACAGCTAGCACATAGGACGAGTTGAGGATTTCCAAGAAAGCTAAGTACGTAGATACAGGGGGGGGCATGCGCATGATCACGAGGGCTACGTGTGGACGAGGGGTATTCTTCGGAAAACAACGCTGCCGCATGCTCGAGAATCGCGCTTACCTAGCTCGAAAGATGAGTACGTGAAAGTGCCTTACTAGTATGCTCATACATTGTCTACAACTCAGAGAATGAAAGGTAGTATGAATTGACAGAGACAATCATGATCATCTAAGAAGAACTACCAGTGTGAGCAGGAGCAACTACTGTAGCTCCACCTCCTTTCCCATACACTTGCGGGAACAAGCCAACGCCAAGCGCAGCGTCGATATACGAATATTTATATTTTTTTCGAAATTAAAGAAGAAGAAGATAGTGTGCTGCACAAAGTCGCAACAGCGTCACCGCAATAATCCGTCCAAAGACTACATACCAAAGACATGTAGACTTCTAGCAAAACGACATTGCGTGGAGGAGTCTTCCACGCTTCGTGCTTGTTCCGTTGCAAGATCGACGATCGTTCTGTATATTAACCGACAAGGCATCCGCAGGCACCAGTAGCACACTTTTCTTGCAAGACGCGAGATCGAGATAAGTACATACAAGATCACTTCTGGTTCCTCCATACAAGGATACTATAGATTTAGATACTCTGGTAGAGGCAGAAAGAGAAACAAGATGGACAACAGATGATCCCAACATCATGGCAAGCTTGATGATGATGATCGCCGCCAAGCTCGTGGGGCTCCAAAAGTAGTCAGGCGCGAATAGGAACCCAACCATAGCAAACGCAACCATTTACAACAATCGAAAAAAGTATTAGAGTAAGATAAAGGAGGTATTCAGAGTTTTTTCCATTGCATCGAAGTGTAGGGCCACAGTTTCAGTTATTATTCGCATTTTGAAGTATCAACATCAAGCCACCGAAAAAGCGAGCGTCTTCGTCTACCGATCGAGTCTATGCTTCTTTCGAGAGGTCCGTAACCACGACAACAACTATCACCTTGAGACAGAGGCCTTGGGGGTTTTCGCGACACAAGCGCTGGCGATTGCGTGCGTTGATGACATCAAAACCGAGTGGGGTATCACATTTGGTGAGATTTTGGGGGTCACCGATCCCCCGCCAGACGATCCGTATAGCGTACCGGAAGACAACCGTAAGAAGCCCTTCGATGGCAAACCATTGGTCGTGACTGAGGCACTCGGAGAGGATGACAGTGAAGCGCTACTCCTTAAGGAAGTCCCGTACAACGCAGCAAGGCCAACTTCAAGTGACACAACGGCGAAAGCCGCGTCGACGAAACGCCAAAAAACAAGTACTGACTTTATCACAGTGCACGTGCAGGCCGCCGCATCATAGTACGTGTTGCTTTGTCTGAGGTATTTGCTGCACTTCACTTCCATCGAGTTGCAGCAGCATTATAGTCCTCCAAATTATTTGGATTGTCATTGTGTGACCTTTATTTTAACTCCTAGAAAATGAAGCATATTAAGAGAAACCCACTGCGACTGCAAAAAGTGTACTCGTACTGTGCCTAATTTATTTAGATAATACATGATAGATTGATTGTTGATAGCATAGAAAACCCATCATCATGGCGGATGCATGCAGGTGGAGCGCGCTTGCTCTCTGAAATATTTCAGAATCTTCATCTTTCTCTCTGTCTTTACAAAGCTCCGTGTCCTCGGTTGCGAAAGGAAATGTAAAGGCCACCAGCTTTTCATCGTCGAAAGCTCCTCGTCCTGTAGCGGTAAAAGCAAAGGCGAAAGCAGGCGCAAAATCGTCGTCAGCTTCATCTTCTACCCAAACGCTTTACTATCTCCGTTTCCATACCATTTGGTCAAAGTGGGGAAAGGGCAGCGAGAAGGACCACAAGAAGTTGTGACCTTACAAGACGAAATTAGCGGCCGTGACGGCCGCGGTCAAGACCATCGAGGATGCGATGGGTGGCTCCAAGTTCGGGAGGGAAATCGGAGGAGACATTATCGTAGTCGACAATCGGAAGAATCCGCCCGATAATGGAGCGCTCCTTCAGGTCGAGGACCACGGAGACTACCAGACGCACTTTGTGGATATTGAATCTAAGAAGCCTTCACACTCGGAGTCGAAGGAAGTTGAATTTCTCTCGGAAGAAGTAGATCAAGATATCTTCTACCTGATCATTTTATTGAACGAAGAGCAACACGAAGACGGCTGAAAACATTTGCGGGAGAGTAGCTCACAGACACAATGATAAGCAGAAAGGGGTTTCGACGAAGCGCCAAACTCGTAGCAAGCGAGGAGATGTGATCTTCTTTTCTTTGAATTTCGAACGCACGATGTTGATGACGTCGCCGACGAGATTGAGAAAATGAACAAGATAATCGGTCAATGAGATCCTGAAAATCTGCATCCACCAGCAAAGCTGTGGTCTTGCTCGTTGTTGCCACGTAAAGATCCCTCATATCTATCGGTTACTGTCACTAGTTGTGTCTGTGTCAAATTTAGGACACAGCCAAAGAGAAATGCGCGTCCTCTAGCTCTACTAAATCACGCACTCAAGACGCGAATGGTTGATCTGTTGCAAATATCGAGAAAGTCTTCAGTTAGTAGATCTTCTGCTTTATGACCCTTCAAGTAGCTATGCTACGCAACATTTTTCCGTGTGTATCGGTATACATAGTCCCTCAAACTACATCCTGCTCCTTTAACACTTCGTCCTGCTTACGTCCGTGATCACACTTTCGCGTGTATTTGTATAGCCAAAGAGTAAACTTCTTCTACAACTAGGTTGAATTCTTCTTCTTCAAGTACAAGATCCAAGCTGGCCATTACATTATCATGAACAAGACAAAGTCCTAGTCGTTTCTTACCACGCCTCGGCCACCTACCGTTACCGTAAGAGAATCATAATAAGTTGTACGACAACCACACCTAGCTCAGACGAAGATAGATCATGAACTACTGATAAAGATCAGAGCAGCAGGACCACACGTTTCCAAGAAATTATGAGTGCTCTTCACCTCGGGCTGGACGACGATGCTGGAGCGGAGGAGATGGGATCCGAAGAAGTGGACCAGCATCAAATTGTTTCAGTCGCAAATAGTCCAGAGCTCAAATACATGCTCCATGAGCGTGTACAGGGCCAGATCGATCGGCGCGTCGACTACTGGGATGTGGAAACAAAAAAACCGCGTTTAGTCTTTGATCCGCTGCGGCACATCCCGATCCCGCCGAAGTGGAAGCGGGGTGCGCCGCCGTTGCGCGAAGAGGTGGCTGCGAAGCTCGAGAAGCTGGAGAGCATCCCGCGAGAGACGTTGCGGTATGCTCCGGCTTCGACCGACGTGCCTGCTGCCATCGCACTGCGTTTCGCTCTGCGGAAAGCGAACTTGCACCGAGAACTGCATCTCTTCGAATCGCCGGAGGATCTGATGGTTCTGTGCGATTTCTACCACATCCCGTGGCGGTCCATCTGTCGCGTGAAGACCTTAGAGGAGCTTACAGTAAAAACGGGGTTTTTCGAACGCAAACCCGCACTACCAGATCATCGCCCGTATCGAATATCCGACTTCGTAGAACAAGTGGATAGCAGCATAATCGTGGATCCGCTTTATGGAGCGGGATTCGAGCGCGCTTTGTGCAAGGCACTTCCACCGGAATTGCGAAACATCCTCCAGGAGCGCGTGGAAAGGAGCAAAAAGATGGTGCTTAAGGAGCACACAAGCGACATCTTACGACAGGCTCGCGCAGACCAGCTCCAGCGCGCGCGACGGGGTCCGGCACGGCGGCCAAAGCATGTGTACTGGCAGCATCTGCGAGATCTGGAAACTAAGAAAAGACGAGACAAAGCCTTGGAGGTTGACTTGAGCGCCGAGGACGACAAATCTGTGAGTCCAGCAAAGAGGATTCATGACGAACACACGCGGAGAACCCGGGGTGGAAAAGGTGCCCCTCAAATTGGAAGAGGAAAAGGAACTGACGGTGCTGAATTTTCCAACTCGATGGTGTCGAAGCATGGGGAGCATTTCGAGGGCGAGGAGGGCAAATTAGAGCTTTCGAAAGAAGAACACGCGAAGTATTCCTTGCCCGAACCGGGGTATGGTAACTTGATGCAGCGTCTCTCAGATTATGCCTCGTTTTTAGAGCACTCCGAAGAACTACTTGCAATACGCAACCCTGCGCCCGGCCCTTTAGATCGAAAATTGTCGAGGCTCCTAGCGGTGCGTGAGGGTGACAGACCTCATATAGGCGTCTGGCGCATCGAAGCGGAGAAAATGCGAGCATTGCGCGATGGACAGCGCGTTTCAGTCTATGGGTACAGCTCTATCGACGCGCCACCAGAAAGACAAGCCGTGCGCATGAAAAAAGAGTACCGCAGTGGTACACAAACCGGTAAGGAGTATGTGACGCACGTGCGACAAGAAGCTGGATATCCCCCGCCGCCGTTAAAGTTACTGCAGAAGGACGAACGCAAGGTCTTCGGCGTCAGTAGCCCGAACGGGAGACAAAGGAAAAGGTGGTCTACGAGAAACAAAAGGATCTTTGCTGCGGCAGACGACCAAACCCACTTTACGTCCTTCAATTCCTTACCTGGCAGGAGACTTGGCGACGTCGTGATCGGCGCACAGGGGATGCCGGGGGGGTCCGCTGTAGCTCCTGGTGAAGCGTTTTCAACGATGACGCACTCTACGTCAACTGTTTTTTCCCCAAAGCATGGAGGTACTAGGAGCCATCACGTCGTGGAACGGCAATTCGATTTGAGTGGCAGCGTGGACTTCAGCACCATGTCATTCGGCTCCAAAATCCATCGCGGAGCGCCGCCTGGTGTAGCGTTCATGAATTTCTCGTACATTGGCCAACGACAGCACGAGCTCCACGAGCGTGATCAGTCGACCTCTCCTGTGACCCTGAACGAAGGTCGCCATAGTTCTCCACAACCCAGGGAGAGTGAGAGAGAATTCCAACTCTTACATGCATTTGATGAAGTTCAAGAAGACTACTGCACGAGCAAAGTCCCCAGTGTTTTAGAAGACGAAGTAGAGGAAAGAGTCAAAACAGATCACAACGAAAATCCGAGCGCTCTGTGTAGCAACCCCGAAAGCGAATCAGAAATACGCAACACCGACAAAGCCAAAGGGGAGGACAACGCCAGTGGTTCCAGTGATGTTGTTGAAAATAGTTCTCGCAGACAGCCACCAAGCGCTTCTCCATTTCCTTACACGAGGAGTAAGTCGGTGCCACCAGCTTACCTGTTCTCAAAAAAACGGCACATCCAGGGTGTTCCGCTGGTTGACAGTGCGGACGATCAGATTGATAGTGATTCTGAGCAGGAGCTGCGGAAGCATGATAGTTCTAGTACAAGAGGTAGAAGCCCAACGAAAGGAAGAAACTCATACTCAAGAATGATCAGCAATGAAAATGATGAGAATTTTCATGAGCATGATTTTCAAGAAATGGCGGGCCAACGCCAGAAGAATCCTGCTGCTGTTAACGAGAATGAGGCACCATCTTCGCCTGACCCGTCAACCGTGCCGGGACGGAGGAATTCATCGGGTTGTTCTTCTAGCTTCCTTTTTTCGCCCGAAAGCGCCGGGGGCGGTGGTGGTGCAATACGATCACACTCGGAAGACCCAAGTGCCACGGGCAAGAACGGTTCATCTCTGGTGACCGCACCTGCGAAGATCCCTCGTGAGCTCAACGTGCCTCACAAGTACTTTCGAAAACTTTCTACAGTTGAAAGCTGGCGCAACGACGCGTTGCGCTTCGCGCGGCAGAGTCAGCGGCTTTCCAAAGGTCCGAGATACGTGCGCACGTTGTTGGAAGTGCTCACGGATCAAGTAAGCGTCCTGCAGCGGTCTATCGAATGGTCCGCCGTCAACTACGCGTACGAGATGGCGCAACCTCAAACGGACAAGTGGAGTACAGCAGACACGCTCAAAACGGGATATGTGCCGGGGTGCGCTAAGAACCCGCTGGTGCCGACTAATACCGCGGCTGACGAAATCGGAACGCGAGTGTCAGACCCGCCGAAGCGGGGGATTGGGCGTGGCATCGGCCCGTACAAAGTCAAGACCGACGTAGACGAGATCGAAGACCGTCACCGTGTCCACGAAGCTGGACTCATTAAGCTGCAGCGACGCACGATTCGGAAGCAGCTTGAGGCTGCGCAGAAAGCCGATGACATGGGAACAGCGGCCGCCGTCCGGGAGAACATGCGATTAGACTACATGCGCGGCCCGGTTTCTCCACCCGGAGCGCGAGATTGCATGCCACGCGGCGCGGTCTCGCCTTACGAGCCTCTGGTGTTCGATGCCTCTGCAGGCGTTGCTGGTGCCGGAGACTCGGCCATGCGCGAGGACCGAATTCCGCCTTTCTGGTCTGATCCGTTCCCAGTAGCCGCTCCGACAGGGCGTGTCGGCGAACTAGAAAGTACGATCGGCGACAGTCTGCGATCCACAGGGAGGGAAGCGTTTTCGCCCAACACTGGCGGATCCTTACAAAACACGCAGTCCTCGTTCTATAAAGCCGGCGGGGCTTACAGATCCCCGACGGGTGCGGCTGGCGGGACTTCCTCGCAACATATACTGCAGTTTCAGCAGCAGCATAGTGGCCCGCCCTCACAGATCCCTTTCTCGCTTCCGCTACCAGCATTCGCCAGTGGAACGGGTGCTCCAGACAACTTCCGAGGAGGAAACAGTCGCAGTCCGCCGCATTCTAAAAACACGACACGGACGTCATTCTTTAGGCCGACTGCGGAGAGTAACAACAACACGCAAAATTCGTGGTTCAAGCCTGGTGCAAGCCAGGCCTCCTTCTATTCGCACGCTTCGAGTACCACTGCAGGTGGGGGTCTGACTTCTTCGTGCCAGCTCTCGGCCTTTGGTTCGAAGGGGGAGCTGTCTCGCGCGGGCACTTCCCAGCACCAAATGTCTTCGACGCAATCCAGCTTCAACGGCGCTGGCTCGAACAAGTCTTTCGCGGATCCGCGATTCAGCGTGCACACTGCCAAAGGCGCCTTCAACGTTTCGGTCATTCTGCCTACAACTAGTGAATTTGTTACTGGACGCCAGCTAACGGGGCTGCAAGGCGCGATGCGGGAGATGAACAAGATGAATGCACGTACAGCGGCGCCGGGCCGTCGCGCTGATGTGATTGAAATCGCAACTACGCACACCACTCCCGACGGAACGCGCGTTCGAATGACGACAACTCGTTACGACAGCTCTCCGCCAAAGGGCTCCAAGACTAGCAAGTACACTTCGGCCTCGACCGCGGAACTGGCTTTGAACAACAGCATCTTGCGGGACTCGAGTCTCACGGCGCAACGAAATGGAGAGCCGACAGGTAAACTTCG